CAACAAATGACAATGCCACCATCATTTCACTACAATACCTTCCTCTAGAGATTGTTTCTTAACTTTAGCAACTTATGATGTGTGGATTTCAGCTCCCACAGTTCAGAGAGAGTTAAATTTCAAAGCTTGAGGTACAGCACACCATATCACACAGTCTTATGCATTAGCCATTATGCAGATTAAATCACCTGAACCCATCTAAACTTTGTGTATTTTTGAATAGGATCCTTCAATTCTTCTTATTTTATTTGAACAAAAGTAACTGAACACCTAACCTTTCACAGTTCTTCATTCATGAGTCAATTAAAACATGCTATTTCAGTGGCAAAAAATATCCTGTAATAATAGCATTTGTCATTTGTCATTGAAGAACTGATACCAAGAGTTACCTCCCTCAAGACTTATGCAACTTTGATTTTTCTTAATCTTCTATTAAGATAATCTTAATATAGATAATATTTTATTTCTTTCTGGAAAGATACTTTGGGTGGCTTTTGTGCCTTATTTTTCTTAGCTTATTTAGAATAACATAATTTTGAAAACAACAAACATGGTTGGAAGGAACAGCAATTATTTTCATTTCAAGATGTACTCCCATCCTGAAAAGATGCTTAAGTATACTGATGTTTGCATTTATTTATTATTAAATTTATAATCATCCAATTACTTAATGATTTTGGATGATGTGCAATTAAAATAACACCTAAAAATAACACAAATAAAATATAACCACAGAAGTCCTGAAGATGAAAACTATCCAGTCTAAAAACAATGCAAGACGTATACAGGACATTTTCCCACCCCATCCTTTAAACTAAGTACTGCTGTACAAGTGGTGTGATATCATGTACAAAACGTAGGTAGCAAATACATTTATTAGGTTTTCTAAAGCGAATGTTGTATGTCTTCACAGAATGGCAATTGCATTTTTTTTAAAAAAAAATAAGAAAATGCACTCACAAAAACATGATTTTTATACATAACTTTTCCTTTTCCTATTAGGGCCAGTAGAAAAAACTACTTTTTCATAGTTAAAGCATTGAAGCATTTGTATCCTTAAGTTTCAATTATTCATTTTTTTAAAATGACACTTCTGTTTGAGGTAGGGACAGACAGTGTGCCAAACTGGGACGAAAATACAACTCATTTGCAAAAATGGTTTCTTTTTCCTTAAAAAAAGGGGAGAAAATAAGAACTTCTGGATTGTGTTAAACTTCAAACGAAACTCCGATTCAGCACCAAAATGATGACTTATATTAACTCTGCCTATTACCTATGACAATCAATCACCTATACTGTTAGCAATCCAGGACAGGACTGATATATAGCATTAATGACAAAACAAAAACCAGTCGTCACAGTTATTCAAAGTCAATCCTATATAGAAATGGATAGCATGCCCCTGTGCCGAGTTTGCAGGAATGAACAAAGGAACTTTTAACTAGAAAAATAGTTTCTAAAAGGAAAAATCAATTATCAAGAATTTTGAAACAGGATAAAATTTATAATACAATGTCAAGCTGTCCACTTACGTTGCATTCTAATATCATTTATATAAAGATGGAAGATTCTCTCACAAAGTGGACAAGGTAACTATACAATAGATAGATACATCCTCCAAGCCCATTTTCTCTGCATTAGTCGGCATCATGAGTTTCATATATTCATAAGTGGATATTACAAACAACTGGGGTGCATTTATGTTTGCTAAAGAATAGCTGCAGATGTGCATTGCTCCTGACAGTTTTTTAAGTACATAATTTACACTTAAGATATAACAAAAACACCTACTGGCAAGATTTTCCCTGAAAACCAATTGGTTCTATTTAATGGTTCCACCTACATTTCTGGTAATTCTTATATTAAGAGTTTTTAAGTGTGTACCTAAAATATAACTTGTGAATCAAAAAGGACACTTTGGGGAACAAGGTGACATGTTAAGGAGACTGGTAGAATTTAATAGAATTCATCAACAATTCATAAATCAAAATATTCCAAGCTCAAATTTGAGAGCCAGGATTTTGGGGGTTAAAAAAAAATTGGTGCTCAAAGATTTTGCCTCTATGTTTTTCTAAACTTGGATCAAAAGGGTGCCATTTATTCCATCTTCTCAGTGTTTCATCACCTGTGATTATCTAACTTTAAAAAAAATCCTGCAGGCTATGGAGGACTTGAAAGGGCATTAGTCAATGCCAGTAACCAAAAAAGTATACAGTACTGTTACTATCCTTATTCTGTTTGTGGACTGCATTGAAAGAAATCATTGTGTTGTTTCTTTATCTTGACAGCTATACTATACAAACTGGAAATGCTTGATTTTTTTTTTTTAAAAAAATCCCCTTGGCTATTTTTCCTGTAAATTGCACAGTAGATAGCATTTAGTATGGATTACTATACTATGTAGGTCAAAAAAACAAGGAAGTAAGAGCTATTTCAACTTCCCATTATACTTTATGATGAAATTGTGAAAACTTTCTTGAAATGTATTCATTTAAAACAGGGGTCCCCAACTCTCGGTCCATGGACTGGTACCGGGCCGTGGCATGCCAACAACCAGTCCACACAAACAAGCAAAGCCCAATCTGCAGGATGCAGGAAGCACACAAAACCACGCCCCCCTCCAGTCCTCAGAAAAACCTCTCTCCACTTAATCGGTCCCTGGTGCCCAAAAGGTTGGGGACCTCTGATTTAAAACACAATATATTTGAAATTGTTTGCTAAAGAATAGCTGCAAAAACATATTCTTCTTTCAGTTTTTTTAGCACATAATTTACATTTATGGCATAAGAAACATACACTGACAAGATTTTCCCTGTAAATCAGTTTGTTTAAAATAATGGTCCTTCCATATATTTCAGATAATTCTTAGATTATATATTAGAGTTTTTTAAGTGGGCACCTAAGATGCAATTGTTTTAATGGAGTGTTCTGAGTTGGTCTAATTTCTTTCGCTTAGGCCAAACACCTCATGTTTTGTTTGATGCAATTTTCTATTGTTAATATGTAATATCTGAGAAAGGGAACAAATTAAATCTATGAAATCTTTGGGTGGGTCTCTCTCAGTCCAACTCACCTCATGGATAGTTATAGCAAGAGGCAAGAGTACAGGTAGTGCTCTCAACTTATAACTATAATTGAGCCCACAAATTTGATTAAGTTGGGTGATGAAACCGTGCCCTATTTTACCTTTTTTGCAGAGGTCATTAAGCAAACATGGCAATCATTAAATGAACATGCTGGCTGTTAAACAACCCATCACTGTTCATTCTGGGCAGTTTTTGCTGGAAACTGTTTCTGGTGAAAATGTCATAAATTGCCATCATATGAGCATGATGCACTGTAGATAGCCATACATGCGGGCTGATTGCTAATTGGCCAAACTGGGTCATGTGACTACAGGAGGGGAGGCCTGCACATTGGAACTATGAATCTGGATCAAAAGTCCATTTTGGGTTCCATCATAATTTTGAATGTTTGCTAAATGACCAGCCACAAGTCAAGAACTACCTGTATTAAGTATGCTTGCTGGCTTGAGTTGAAAGAAAGGATATTTCAACAGCAGGTATTTAAAGCAGTTTTAATGCAAAAGTATTATTGGAAATCATTAACAGGAATTACTGTCCCTGATTCCATTTTCTATTTTTCAGGATAAGCAAATATGTGTGCATGTATATAAATAAAACAACAGAAACAAACAACAAAACAACAACAGAAACAATGAGCAGTTGTGGCTGCTCCATTACTGGAGGTTTTTAAGAGAATGGGCAGCCATTTGTCTGAAATGGTATAGCATCTTCTGCCTGAGCAGGGGGTTAGACTAGAAAACTTCCAAAATCCCTTACCACTTTATTATTCTGTTAGAAACTATCAGGATTGCTTAGGAGTTCATGATAGTTTGCAATATTGCATATTTCAATATTCTTTTGCAAACCAGAAGAAATACTAACATTCAATAAAAGCATAAAATATTTTAATTGGCACCAACTTCTCCAGGAGTGTTAATTCTTTCAGTGAAAATCCTGAAAGCAAATGCATTTATGATCATACCAAAATGTTACAGGCAATACATTCTTTGTTTTAGCCGTTTTAAAATCTTTGTAAAACGGAAATAACTTCATTTGTCTGTCCAGATCCTCCTGTATCTTAAGCCTGTCTTCTGGAGTTTTGGCTGTTCCTGCCAGCTTGGTGTCATCTGCAAATTTGATGAGTTCCCCAAGGGGATAAATGGGAAACTCATCAAATTTGCAGACAACACCAAGCTGGCAGGAATAGCCAACACTCCAGAAGATAGGCTTAAGGTACAGGAGGATCTTGACAGACTTGAACATTGGGCGCTATCTAACAAAATGAAATTCAATGGTGAAAAAAAGTAAGGTTCTACATTTAGGCAAGAAAAACCAAATGTACAGGTGTAGTATAGGTGGTTCCTTGCTCAATAGTAGTAACTGTGAGAGGGATCTTGGAGTCCTAGTGGACAATCACTTAAATATGAGCCAGCAGTGTGCTGCAGCTGCCAAAAAAACCAACACAGTGCTAGGCTGCATTAACAGAGGGATAGAATCAAGATCCTGTGAAATTTTAATACCATTTTACAATGCCTTGGTAAGGCCACACTTGGAATATTGCATTCAGTTTTGGTCATCACGATGTAAAAAAGATGTTGAGATTCTAGAAAGAATACAGAGAGGAGGATCAAAAATGATTAGGGGACTGGAGGCTAAAACATATAAGGAACGGTTGCTGGAATTGGGTATGTCTAGTTTAATGAAAAGGAGGACTAGGGGTGACATGATAGCAGTGTTCCAATATCTCAGGGGTTGCCACAAAGAAGAGGGAGTCAAGCTATTCTCCAAAGCACCTGAAGGCAGGACAAGAAGCAATGGCTGGAAACTAATCAAGGAGAGAAGCAACCTAGAACTAAGGAGAAACTTCCTGACAGTTAGAACAATTAACCAGTGGAACAACCTGCCTCCAGAAGCGGTGAATGCTCCAACACTGGAAGCTTTTAAGAAGAGACTAGACAGCCATTTGTCTGTAATGGTATAGGGTTTCCTGTGTGAGCAGGGGATTGGACTAGATGACCTCCAAGGTCCCTTTCAACTTTATTATTATTTCAAAATGAGAACATCTCTCCAGTATTCTGGATATTAAATAAGCTCTCTGCAAATGGCAAAGGAATACTCTGCCAGTTACTACACAATACTCCACTCATCTACCTGATCTCATCTCACTTGTACTTAAGAAATTAGAGGCATAAAGGAAGCCAGTACAAAATATTCAAAAGACAGTATTAGTTTGCATGTTATGTCATTCATGAGAACACAAATAAGTACCATTCTTCAAACTGCTGAGGCAGCTGTTTTGCAATATAGATGCAGCAGCTTTGAAACCTGTTATTCTCAGCATGCATCTGCCTGGCTAGCCACTTTGCTTTGCTGGTGGTCCCACTGTTAGTATTATCTGTGCATCCACATACATAGACACCCAGAGATAGCTTTTGATGTGCAAGCCTTGCAAAACACGTGGGTGCTTTCATACTGCTTTTTTAAAAATCCCTTCTTTTGTATACCTACATAATGCCAAAGGATCTCTTCTGAATACTTTGCACAAACCTACCAAAATATAGATTTTAGGGAGCTAATATTAATTCCAAAGGCCCCTATTTCTTGCCATCTCTTAATAAAGTGCAATGTCACAACTGTTATATTTTCATAAATAATGTGCAATGTTGAATTTTAAACTTTTTATCAGTGATGTTATTCATATATAAAAAATGGTGCAGATATAGCTGACAATAGATATGGCAAATACTTAAAGCAGAAGTTACAGGAGAACATCTAAGCAATGCGCAGACAGATAGCATTTTATCCATTTTTTTCATCTTTCAAGGGAAGCAGAGGGCGTCAACTTCTATATAGTAAGCCCTTTAGTCTCAACGTTAAACAGATGCCGAATCAGAAGAAATATATTTTGTTTGCTTTCTGAAACTAGAATCCATTTATTAAAAGGGGTTTTAGCCACTAGGTTCAGGCAAGAAAAACAATGATTGGGACCAGAAGCTATTTATACATACTTAACAAAAACAGATAATAAAATCTAAAAAAAGAGCTACCAATAAATAGTCCCCTACCGGTCACACAATACCTTGTGCAGCAGTGACTGCAGGAAATCAACTTTGTTTCATCAACTTTGACCTAATTCAACAAACAGGAAAACATTATTATCCAGAACAGAACCATCTTCAATATCTTTACACATCAATATGAATCCCATGTTTTATTGACATTAATTCTCTTGTTCCGGTTAAATACAAAAGGAAAGAACAGAGATGAGGCAAAGTTGTAGTGACGGCCACATAAAGCCAGTAAGGCAGGGGAACAGTCTTTCCAAAGGGACAGATCCACAGGCCATGACGTATTCCATCTCGAACATGATGCGAAGTCCAGGAGATAAACATCATCCAGGGAAGAAAGCACCAGGAATCCTTCAGCTTGAGAAGATGCATAAGGAACTTTAACATCAGGCACACAACTGGAATCACAGTAGAACAGTGAAGAAATGGTCTTTGTGGGAGAGTCAGGGCAGCCTGAGAGGGAAAAAAAATGATACAAATATAGCTTGTATTGGAAAGGAAAAGCATATGCTGTTTTTTAAGAGGAAAAAAAAAGGTTTGTAATAGCTGTACCAAACTAAGCTGATTTGCATTTTGACTAAAATCAACACATATGTCAGAAAGTATTAATTATCAGGATTATTTATCAGTAGAATTTTTATATTTAATGCTTTGCATGTTGTAGTATTCGCTGCTATTCCAAGTTTTGGTAAATGCAGTTCATTTAATTAATAGCTTGGACACATTCTCTGGTTGCTAGCCCTGGAACTACTATTCATTTTTAAAATTTACTTGGCTGCTGAACTGGGAACAAGGGAGTGATAAGTAATACTGATTGCAGACTTCCTTATTTTGGCAAAAAGTTCTAATTCTACATTTTTCTGGCAGATTTGGGAGTTAGTTAAGTAAAAAATGACAATTCTAAATGAACAAAAATAAAATCTTTCAGTTTAAAGTTGCCAGTGAGAGTACCTATTTGAAATCATTTATAAATAATCCTATTTCCCAATTTCAACTAAAATTGTTTGTACATAGGTTATTAATATCTGATTAAATAAAATATTGCCCACACATATGTAGGTTGACTAAGGTCTTTTTGAAGAGAATCTGTTATGGTAACCACATAGTAAGTAAGATTCTGAGTTGTTTACACGGTAACTATCCCGCTGTACTCTTTAGCAATATTATTGCAGCTTGAACTCCAGACAACAGAGAAATGTAAGGAGAAGTGGTTCAGGTGTTGACTGCTGTTGGGGAGATCCAAGATCCATATTTACCATGAAAGCTATCTGGGTGTCTTTGGATTAGTCACAATCTCTCAGGCCAGTGTACCTCATAAGGAAATTTTTTTTTACTATAATACAAAATACGCAAAGATCTCAATTATTACGTTTGTTGCATTATTTCTGATCAGTGTTTGATATTGATAGAACTGTCATGATCAAAACTTTATGCCCTGGATTATCAAAAGACAATAAAAAATTAAGACACCTAATTGAGCATATTAAAAACTTGCTCCTTCAAGGTTTTTTAAAGCAGATTGTCCTTAAAACCTCAGTTCTAGACCAGATAGATATTTTGCTCTATTAAATAAGGCAACTGCTATCTTTAGTCTGTTTCACCTGTAGTTGGCAGCTTATGTGAACCAGAAGTAAGGTATATAAATTATGATCACAATGAATGGATAAGCCTTGAGTGCTTCCATCTATCAAACGTAAAAAACCAAGTCCCTTGAATACATTAATCCTACTGAATAAAAGTTTGTAAATAAGAGTTAAATGAGAATTAGAAATCCTGCATGTAAAATCAATACATTCAAATTCTTTTTCAAGTATGCCATCTACTGGAAAAAGGTGTGATAAAACAATTTTATTGCTACCTGTTTTAAAATGCTAGAGGGAAGATCTTTAAAAAATATCAATATTGAATGCTAAGTTATTTCACTCTACTGTGTGATGGTAAAACTTTTATTTCAAATATATCTTTTCCTCTTAAATACACCATCCAAAAAGAGGGAACACAAACCAAAAAATAAATCTTTTTTTTTAATGAAATCTTAACATAAATTCTTCCCACTGTATTTTCTTAACTGGGCACACCTCAAGTATAATTCTCTATCAGGCACTTTTAATAAATCATAATTTTATGATAGCAGTATACTTTTACATATGGAAATTACAAGATTAAAAAGCCTGAATGTTAAACCTGATTTCCTGGTTGGCCAACCTGCCTATTAAACAGCAAATCTTGCTATTATTCCAAAAATCTTGAAGTAAGTATCTGAAGTGCGTGGAACGGAACAAGCAGAGCAGCATTATCAGAGGATTATGCTTAGTTGATTATACAGATCTTATAACTGATGTCCTCCTTAGCTAAGGAACCAACCAAGCAGCCGATCACAATACTGCACCAAGATGGTTAAGGTCAAGTAAGGATGAAGGCATCAACAGGTATTCAGCACAGAAACAATATAATGCACAGTTTTTCTAGACAATCAGACTGGACTGTTTTTATTGATTCTCAGTCTTAATATTCACACTATTTTTTTTAGCTATGGCATTCAACTAAGAGATGGAAATAGTTGATAAACAATGAGCTTTCATCCTCTCCAGTTTAAATATAGGTGACAATGAAGATAGTTCTGGAGAATAAAATCCTTTACGGTTATCCCCTGCCCCCAATTTCACTGTGAATTTTTTATTGTTTACCCATGGATTTCTCCATATAATGTATTAAGTCAAGATAAAAATCTAATAAATAAAGCATAATGTGTTTTGTGTGAAGCCAATCAATGTGGTATGAAACCTTAATCAACACATAGCGTTATGACAGGCTATTCAATAAACTACTGTGAAAAACTAGCCAAAGTTTATGTGCACTCCCCATGAAACAAATACTAAACTCCAGAATTTCCTCCAGAAAATCCTGGGAAGATCTGCCTCTGGGATTAGACAAGCTATGCTATTTCTTTTCATAGCAAACACATCCTGTAAAGCCAGTCCGTATCAAACTGTGTATGTCTAAGAATAGGGTGAATGAGTGATTTCACCCTAAAACTAAATGTAAATTATTCCCTAGCTTTGGACAGCAAATGGCATGAAAAACTGCCCAAGTTTCTTTTTAATCAAATTCAGTACAGGCAAGAAGGAGTCACATCAGGGTGGCCACTACAAAATACTACTTTTATTATACAATAAAAGTTGTAACTTAGAAGTCTACTAAATAGATTTGCTAAAACTTGAAATCATGATTTTAATATAAAAAGTTTTTGCAACATTTATATTATTCTTTAAAGTATCTTCAGATTTACTCATAAATATTCTAGAAATTTTGCTTACCTTTAGTGAAAAGGAGCCAGCTAGAATAAAATGATCCATATCAATCACGGAGGAGAGGAAGCCAGCTAAAATTACTTCTGTAAAGTCACTTTTTTTCTTGAGTCCAATCACTATTGCCCATGACCACAGTCCTATAATACCATGCACCATATTATCAGACAATGCCCGCAGCCAGTAAGTTTGCTGAATGAAAGAAAATTGTAGAAGTTTATCTGCTAAATAGCAGAAAATCCCCAGTCCTAGACTTGAAATAACAGATGCTGTGCTGAACAACTGGAGAAGAGCATGGGCTTTTTCAGTCTCAGATGCCATAGCAAGCAGCATGTCTCCATGCACAAAATCTCATCAGGGTACATATAGCCCATTGTCTGTAAAATCTTGAGTCATTCTGTAATTATCACAAAGAAAGCTTAATGAGAAGCCTTACCAATTCTGATACTCTTCTTCCTAAGCAAAAACATAATAGAAACCAGTGAACTAATCATCTCTGTAAACACATTCTTTTAGGTCACTGTCCCATAGAGAGGAAACTTTGTACCCTGGATGCACAGTTTATAACGTTTTTTGCATTTTGACATCACTGTATTATTTTCAAAAGTTGGTAATGAAACATTTGCAAGAAATCAAGCAAGCTCAGAGAGCACCAAGAACCCCTTATATCAGTGATGGCAAACCTTTTAGAGACCGAGTGCCCAAACTGCAACCCAAAACCCACTTATGCATTGTCGGGTGCTGGGTGGGTGTGGCCAATTGGATGGGTGTGGTCCATTGGGTGGGCATGGCTGTGGTAATGGCAGACTGGGTGGGACTAAAAAGTTCAATCAATCAATTCCAACTCTGCAAGATCTTTTTTTTCTAGCGAGAAGTTGAAATTCACTGATTGATTGAAACTTTTTTTTTTTTTGCACACAGTGGCAGAGGCCTAAAACAAAAAGGTTTTATAAAACCCAGCTGAAGGCCTAGAACTGGAGCGACGGCACGGGTGCCCACAGAGAGGGCTCTGCGTGCTGCCTCTGGCACCCATGCCATAGGTTTGCCACCACTGCCTTATATCTTTTTTGATTTTTATTCTACTTTTCTCTCTTAAGACCTTTTAAATATCTTTAAATGTTGGTTTGTCTAACCTTCCTTTCTAGCAAAAGTATATATGGTTATGTACATTTATTTACCTTTGACAAATTTATCTTCATAAAAAAAGCACTTTTCAATTATTTTTTGGAAGGTAAACACAACATATGCTGATCAATTCTTAAACAGAATTGCAGGACTAGTTATAAAGGAAACAATAATTATAATTATTAATTATTAAAATAACATTAAAATTATTATTGAATTATATTGAACAATGCTTGTTATTTGTTATAACATGTTTATTATGTCCATATTCACATTACCCAGTCCTTGTCTCAAAATGAGATGATATTTTCTGAATGCTGGGTACAAATAATATTTCAGAAATGATTCTGAAACTTGATTGCATCCTGCATTTAGCATCAGATGATGATATTAAAATAATCATAGTTACTCTTCTCTGACCATTTATAAGATATATCCATTTCCATCAACCATTCTGTAGGGTTCATTTGGGAATCATTACAAAATTATAAATCTAGAGAATATGGCAAAGGTAAAGATTTAAAAATGAAGGGCTGTCAGATCGCCCAGGAGCTCAGCTGGCGAGGCTTTATACAAGTGCCGAAGATGCAGGGACGGAGGCGGGACGGGGCGGGGAAGACATGGCTGAACACTGCCCATCCTCTGCGCTCTGTCGCTGCTGAGCGCAGCGAGGTTTTCGCCTGTTGAGTTTCTGCCTTGAAAAAAGGCAGAGCCTCCCTCTCGCCCCCAGGAGGGAAGAGACACTGGCCGAGAGCCACTGGCGACGCTCCTTGCATCTTTCCCTCTCGCCCACGAGACGCCTCTCCGCCAGCCCGGCGTCCGCTCGCAGCTGGTTCTTCCCCAGCCTCGGTGCCCTTCCGGATTCCCCAAAGGGATCCCGGCTTCGGGGGAAGGGTTTGAGGCCCGTTCCCTGCTTCCCCCACTCCCCGATACGGTCCCTGCTCCCCACTCACCTCCCGCCGGCCCGAAAAGACGCTCATTCATCGGCAACGCGCGCGGAGCATTCTGGGCCGGCCACCGGGCTGCGGAGATGAGAAGCCCCGCCCATTCACCTCCTTACCTACCCCCACCTCGGCTCCATCCCTGGTATTTCCCCGTCTCCGCCTGCCGGCGTGCAAAGATCCGTGTGGCAGGTTGGGGCTAGCTGAACATGGGGCGTGTTTTTAAAGGCCTGGGAAATAAAGGGATACTCGCTGTTGTACGTTGGCTTCATTTTTCGTTTTATAAAAAACTAGCATCTCAGGTATGGAAATGTTCATGCATTTTTCTTGGCAATGTTGTTGAAAGGGCTTGGCACAGTCTTCTAGGATGTAAGCTTTTTGGTCTTTTTTTTTTTTTTTAATTTTCAAGCCTAACTTGTAACCTTGGGATTTCCTTGTGGTCGCCCATCCAGGGACTAATCCAGCCTGACTCTGCTTAGATCCATCAAACATGTTGCCACCTGAGACCAGAAGGCACATGAATGTAAGAACTGTGGCAAATGTACATCCCCAAGGGAAGCTTAACACTATACTTCAAACACAGTGTATCTGATATGTTAGGATGACAGCCTAACTAAAAAGTATATTTTATTACAGAGCAATCACTCACAATATATGTAAATTTGCAACTTATGTTCACTTTTCTAATTGTGATATTCTGCTACGCTACTGATTTTTTAAAAAGGTTATGTAACTATTTTAGATACCTGTTGCTGCCTAGCAACAGAACAGACTGAACCTGAGTTTTTATAGAAGCTGTAAATATCTGCAGAATGGGATACAAGGATCATGTTTAAAAGATAGCATTTTGAATTTTTTTTATGCCTGAAACCAGTAAAAATTACATGCAAACTTACCACTCATCAAAATGTGTGAACTTATTTGTATGATTATTCTACCCTTTCCAATACTCCTTATCTGTCCTGTTAACTGTTTAGTTATATAATTTCTGCTGTATATAATCTGTGATCCACCTTAAAACCCAACCCTATTAATGTTATTTTAATATTCTACTTAAGACCTATTCCTGGTTTCTGCTACCTTCATTTTTACCAATTAAATCAATTTATATCTGTATTTCTTCCTCTTCCTATGCAATAATTTTGGTCCTATTCCCCATTGGGTTTTCTCTTTCTCTGTCCTATCTGTCTGTCCATCCATCCATCCAATTTCTACATTACCCATGTAACCTAAGTGATTTACAGTGGATGAGTGGAAAGTGATAGTGCTACATTAAATAAATGCACATGCTATAAATCAATATTATACCACTTTGATTAGAACATATTGACTTCATTAGGCCTTTTTGTGGACTTTGAAGAATATTGGAAAAACTATAAAAAAACAAATCAATAGTGCAAAATATCCATGCATGGTAAATTTTATTTGAATATGAGAATCTCAGTGAAGCCACATTTCACATTTCTTTGTAATCTGAATATTTAGTCTTTTAAAAATAAATTGTTTTGTCATAATTTATATAAATCTTATATAATCATCTGTGAAGTTAGTGACTTTTGTTTTTCCAGTCAGATTAAAGATGGACAGCTTTCTTTGAAATATTTTTGATTCCAATAGTACACTTTGTGGAAGAAGCCAGAAGAGAGTCAATATCATTTATAACTTTCAAAGTTTTTTCCAGAGACTCAGTTATGTTCTTGAGACAGACATCCTCTGCCAAAAAGACTTCTGATACACTTTCTGTATCTAGGTTGGATGACAGATTTCTTCCCACAGCTGAAATCCTACCTGGAATATTGCTGTTCTCGACTAAAACTATAGTAAGTAGTTAAGGAGAAACGTGATACTAAAATCAGGCATATCACAATTTAGAATTTTCTTTGGAGTATTTCATTAAATAAGAATGCAAAACCATAGCTAATGATAACTACAGTATGACATAACAAACATTGTCACAAGGAAGTCCGTAGCATATGAATGTTATTGTTCCCAGCTATTTTATTGATGCTTTGACTGGAAAACTGAATTAGAATTCCCTATAGGGCAATTGTTTGATGTCTCAAACCAAGAATTACCTATTTTAAGAAGTATTGTGGGCATTGAAAAGGTGTAAAAATGGATACAATTGAATCGTCTTATTTTTTCGAGCTCAGCAGCAACTGACCTATGGGGAAAAAGAAAAACCTAATTAAAATGAACAATTATTTTCTTGGTTGATACAACATTAGCAAAATCTGGTAGAATAGAATGGCCCTCTAAAACTGAACTTTAACAGTTCACTTTGTTTCATTACTTCCATTTAACATACTTCTACAAAAAAAATTGTTGGAAAGTGAATACACATTTTACTACTAATTTGCAGAAGAAACTATACTTTTAATTAAAAAAGGAAAAAGACCCTCAGAATATCAAGGCCGAGATAATAAGTCTAATGGACTTTACAAAGCATCACTGCAAATTTGAGATTATTCTGAGTTATTTTAGTTAAGAAGAATACCAGCTTTGTTCTTCAATGGATTCTTTTGTATTGATACATGACCCTTTGTCCTTGTTCAGGCTTTTGCACCATTCCACCACTGTTGTGATATATCTGCATTAAAGAAAAAAGTTTTGTTACATCTGGTGTAAATGAGAAACAGCTTTTAATGACTTGTGGCAAATGTGGAGCATCTTATGAATACCAATCAAATTAGTAAAAAGTAGTAAAAACTAAAGAGCAGAACAAAAATGCAGGAGAGTCAGTAACTTTTATGGGCTTATCAGCAGAATGGATAAGGGCTACATGAAAGCGATGGTGACATAAGGGATAGGAGGGACTTGTATGTTTGATCTTAGAAACCATTTAGGCAGTAGTACAAGTAATATATTTTTTTCTGTGATTATCTGCTAATATAAGGATTGAATAAATTTTAATGTCTCATAAGACAAAGAATTCTGGAGAAAAAATGTAATTCTTGAAAAACTATTTCAGCCATCTATCAGCAACTATACATTATGTTAACATCTGCCATATTTTAAAAAGGGCTTTATTGCTAAAGTAATTTGTAAAATAACTTCCACCACCTTGGTTTTAGAGAGGCTGAACTGGATCAAGTCTCCCAAAATTCCCCAGAAGTACCTCTCATAGGGCCCAGGATGATCAATCTGGAAAAGCTGTTGTGCTCCTTCAGGACAAGTCAGTTTACACCAACCTGCGTTGTTCTCTTGAGGATTCTTGAACAAAGGAACAAAAAATAAAATTAGGAAAGAATGTCTACTATCCCTGTCCATTGTAATTTATTCCAGGTCATGTTGATTTCCTAATCTGTTCCTAAACTGGGAACCAGCTTCCTGGATCTTCTGCAAGATCTCCCAAATTCCCTTCTAGTTTAAATAAGGCACAGTTGTACTCCCTATGTAGCAAGTCCCTTCTTTGACTGCTACCTGCCGGCGAGCTAAATGAAGAATTGGTTCATTTCTTTAAAAGAACCATCCTCAACTCGTTGCAGAAGGGATTCTGCCATACATATGATTGTGTTACTTTTCAAGACTTGAAAAAGACTCTTAATAGAGTAGGGGAGCTTTTCCTTCCATTCTATATACCCTACTGTCTGTTAATGACAGTGAGATGGACCCTGCCCCCCTCAATGCCACATGACCAGAAGGAAGTCCTCAAAATACATAGTGAAGAACATTCATGGAAGACCTAAAGACTCTAAATATCACACGGAAAGATGCTGAACTACTCAACCCAAGACTGAAAATGTTGGAGATCCCTTGCTGCCCAATATGGAAGGGTATAATGCCAACTCTGTTAAAACTATTTATTTTGTATTTACAGTGCTCCTGCAGCATGTATGTGTGTATAAATAGAATATAAAATAAAAAAGTCTATCCTGGGCAGTGTTGAACCCTGGGTAGACATTGAATATTTTCATGTCCCTCCCCCAAAGTTGAAGTCCATCTATCTTAAAGTTGTCAAGATTGAGAAACACTGTTTCAGATGGTGATATGTTAAATAGCCAATCTTAAAATCCCCAAGTTTGATAAACATTGTTTAAAAGATGGGAACTCTGCACTTGGGGACTTATCTGATCTGATCCAATTTATCCAATGATCCTTCTTAATAGTTCTTTAAATATGAAATAAATATAATTTACTTTATCTATTGCTCACCTGTGATCTTCCAGAGTGAAAACTGAAATCCCACTCCATATTCAGCACTGTCCCATCACAAAATATAGCATATACTTTCTTATCTGAATATGCAAAGAATCTTCCTACATTAGAAACAAATGTTTCAGCCACAGGGAGTGGTAACACTGTTCTTCCACCTGTTTCAGAAGACTATTAAAAAACAAATGAAATCAAATAAGATACATTTTAGTTGTACCACTTATCTTATGCTAATAGTTGATTGTCATATTCATACCTACCAATTTCCAGCAGCAAACATTATAATTATGTGTTAAGGAAAGCATGTTTTCAAGATCATGTTGAAGAACTCTAATTAGAAAAATAAAAGAGAGACTCAAATTTCACTTTAAGTTGCAAGCCTTTAAAACATTTAAAGGTATTACTGTTCATTGCTGTTAGTTATTGCATATTAACTTGATCTTAATGTTTTGAAGTTCTAAATTAACAGGATATTTTACATGTTAGTTCACTAATTAATGATTAGTGAGTAATGATTACTTCAAAAAAATATTTATTGTTACAATGCTTTTAATTCTCTGCCTTATTTATTCTTTGCTTTTTGTTTTTTCTGTTTTTCTCCTTGACTGTATTGTTAAATATCTAATAAGATAAAAACATTTGGGAAAAAATTATAATGACCAATTTATGGCCAGCACCTTATGCTAGAATGAGCAGTAGGGAGACAAGTCTATTGTACAACTGTTTGATGATTTAAAAGCTTGAAAACTTTTAAAATTCCCAGCTATTCTTCAGAATCAAAATAGATTTGTTTTTTATGACATCCATACATAGATAGTCCTCAGCTTACAACCATTCGTTTAATGACCAACAACACTGAAAAAAGTGATTTATGATCAGTCCTTGCACTGATAATTGTCAGAGCATCCCCAGAATTAATCCAGATTCATGGATTATCGTAGTTTGAACAGTTTTCATTAACTGGTGTCCTTTCGTCAATGTTACTGAAAAAAGTGACTAAATATTATTCCAAATTACCTAGAAAACTGAGCTCAGGTGGCATAATCTAAATAAATGAACAAATACCGAAAAGTAAGCAAAGTACCTCACCTTACTGATTGTGTTATAATTGTCCGTACAGAGTAGAGACTCCCGGGGACATCAGGTGGTAGGCCGCTTACAGAGTACATGGTTTCTTCTCTCTAAAAGATGAGTGTAAAAGAAAAATGAGTATTTACAAAAGCGCTAAACAACAAAGCAAGTACAACAGATCATTAAACTACTGGATTCCAAGTCAACATTTGTTCATTATACAGTTTAAAGCAATTTGTTCCTTTGGTGTTACATTGCTCTAATCCAGTGGTTCTCAACCTGTGGGTCGTGACCCCATTTGGGGTCAAACGACCATTTTACGGGGGTTGCCAAACAACGCGATCCGCCATTTTTTCCCTCGGGGTGGCGCCACGCATGGGGGCGCCGTCGCGCATGCGCGCCGCGCATCCTTATGAGCGGGGTCGCCGTATAAAAAGGTTGAGAACCACTGCTCTAATCTCTTGTTTTTTGTGACATATGCCACAGATAATTGTAGGTGGGATGCTTTCTGATGGCAGCTCTGTCAAAAAAACTAAAAGTGCAAGACTGCCTAAGACTGTTGATAGGTGTAGGAATTTGAAGATGATCATAAAGCACCTCAGTTCTTACAGTAAATCCAGAAACTAATGTGGAAGTAGGATTATCTGCTCCGAAAAGAAAAAAGTGGTAAGCACTGATGGTAGGAATATTCTGGGAAGATGGATAATATAAGAAGAAACCATGCTACCAGTTTGCTTTTTTTGGAAAAGGTGTTTGGCCGCTGATTCTGAAAAAAGGGTTTCTTAAGGTAGAATTAATTATGTTAGAAGCAGTCAGGAGAACGTGCTCTTTGTTTTTGTTTCATGAAAGGAAAATCAAACATCTAAACCACGGTTGCAGGACTAGACATCAAAAGTCTCACATCTGATGGATATAATTGTAAGAACTTAGATACAAAGAATTGGATACAGTATATGAATAAATAAGTAAAAAAATTACTAGATGCACCAACAGTCTGTGCATTCTTTGTCATCTGCAAAGGGGCAAGAAAACTGTACTGTGTGCACACATACACACACAGTACCTCTCCCTCCCTCCTTTCTCTCACTACTTTGTCAGCATGTATTCATGGTTCTTAATCTATCATGATCCTCATTTTAAATGTGCAAGTTGTACAATATTCCTGAAAAACAGTTATCATAAAATATTCAAGAAAAGACTTATTTACTGTTATGTACCTGTTTCGTTTGTTGATTAATACAATAACGAGTGAAGTATTTTCCCAAAAAGAAACCTCCTGATTTAAAGACTGATCCATCACCAGGATAAATTTCTATGCTTCTAAGTCCAAGAGAAAACCTAATAGAAAGTATGGGATATTAGCTCCACTATGTTTTTATTATCCCAATAGGCTATCTAAATTAATTGTAGACAAATCCAGCTCTGATTCTGGAAGAAGGCTAACAGAACCCCGTGGGATTTTAAAAATACTCACTGTCTATTTATCCATGAAAGAATTACAATCTGTAATTAAATGCTGAAATTAAAGAAATACTAAAAGATTATACAAATTTTCCCATTCTCCCGAACAATTAATAAACCAAAGTATTACAAAACAACAACAACAAAAAACCAGTTAAGGAATAGGAAAAACCTATGCTCTCTCTCTCTCTCTATCTATCTATCTATATATATAAAGCAATGTGATTGTAAAGCATGACCTCACATGGCTGCATTGCTTAATGACAGCAATCCAATAGTTCCTGTTGCCATCATAATCCCAAGCTGTGTGGGTCATTAAGCGGGAAGTGGAGAAGATCCCAAATAAACAGCAGGGATGCTGCTAGGGGAGGCCTGGTGCAGACTATGTGTAAGTGGAATAGGGGGCGCTGTGGTGTGGCAGCTGAAGGAAGGAGGAAGCAGGTTTGTTTGAGAACAGGGAAGAGGAAGGAAGGAGGACATGTGCAGGAAGACCCGAGGCGTGTGTGTGTGTGTGTGTGTAGGTAGGGGAGGTATTACCAGAACAACTTGTGACTTTCTGTTGGCTTACCCATCAACTTTGCTTATGTGAAACCAGGGCAGGTTGCAAATGCTCATCATGTGACCATGGGATGTTACAATCATTAAATGTAAGCTGGTTGCTTAGTGACTGAATCATGAGCATATGACCATGGGGGAACTACGATGTTAGAACTCAGAGGATTCATCATAAGTAGCACTCGTTCAGTGCCATCATAACTTCAAACAGTTGCTCAATGAGTGGTTGCTAAGTGAGAACTACCTATTCATTATCCTAGAACAGTGATTATCATTAAAAATCTATTATTTTGCAAATTATTCAGTATTCTTACAGTTAAGTAAGAATACAGATGTATTAGCCTTTAAATCTCCTTTCATAAACAGACATACACATACCTGTAAATAATACCCTTGCTCCAAAGTACTTTGATAGGCTGTGAGTATGAGTGATATCCATCCTCTTCCTGTTTTTGTCCAAAAAAATCAGTGAAGACCCACCTGTGGATCATTTTTAAAAAATGTTTTATTAAATTGTTATTAGACATACATAAATATAGGGGTATTTATACAGTGTTGATGAGAGATTATGAAAGTCTAATGTTTAGATGACTTAGACTATTAGATAGAAAAAAATGAAAATATGGGAATATTAATTATGATTTGGATTTTTGATATTAATAAGTATAACAATAAACCAGCCTGCCATAGAGGACTTGTATACTGTACGAGCCAGAAAGTGGACTGAGAAAATATCTACAGACCCCTCACATCCTGGACATAAACTGTTTCAACTCCTCCCCTCAGGACACCGCTAACAGGGCATTGCACGCCAAAACAATTAGACACAAAGACAAGTTTTCTCCCCATGCCATCACTCTTGCTAAATACATAATTCCCACAGCACTGTCTACTCTATGTCTAAGGATATCTAACCACATGGCAGGACTGTATTACTACTATCCTTCGCATCTTTCCTATTACATATTCCTATTGTTATCTTATGACTATCACTTTGTTGGGTGTATCTTATGATTTATGTTTGTTTTATGATTTACCACTTTGTTGCTTGTATGTATACTGGGGGCTTATGTTCCAGAGACAAATTTCTTGATCAATAAAGAATATTCTATTCTGCAGTTCGCGGCGTCCCTAGTCGTACGGAGAGACTCGTCTCCTCGTCGACTAGTTTTCCCTCTCTGGTAGACCCTTATGCGGGTCGAAAGTTGCCCTGGAGGGTGTGACTTCTGTCGAGGAGCCTTTGCTCGGCTGTGGAGGAGCAGCGGCTCCTCCAGCTGTCCGAGCTATCTCTAAGGATTGACGGAGAAGATCAGCCAGTAAAATGGCTGATCATCCTGCCGCTTCAAATCACAAGTCAAAGAACATCTAAGCTGTAAGAACCCCTGTGGTGAATCCGGGTAAGACTTTTCCTTGCTATTCTCTCTACTCTACTTTGTTTTTTGTGCCTGTAAGAGCCTTTTTGGAATTATTTCCCTGGCTTGGAAAAGCAGCTTCTTCATGTTTGGGAAGAAAGGCATTGTATAAAAATAGAGCAAAATTTTAAAGACTATATTTTATTTCCATATTTTTGGGGATACAGAAATTTTTTTTTCTCTTTCTAAGAACTGTACTATCATCTTATGCTGGAAGATTATTTCTTTCTTCACATTATACTTTAAAAAATAGAAAATAGGAAATGGTATCTGGAAAAGATCTTTTTTTAACCTACTGAGGGCATCTAGTGGCGAAAACCTAATACTACAACTTTTGGTTACTCTTTGAAGATGAAATAGACCTGACCTTCAAATTATTTTTGAAGAGAAAAGATAAGCTGTGCAGCTGTGAGAATTGTGGGGGTGGACACTGCCTAACTTTTATTAAATATAGCCTCCACAAAAAAGAAAAAAGAGACTCTTTTTAATTACTATCAAAATGGAGAAACCTCAGATACAATTAAACTGTAAACTTATATTGGAAAAGATTTATGACGTTACTGTAGAAATATGTGCTACAATGAAAGAGTTCACTACAGAATTAAGATCCAGAAATCTCACTTTAAACTGATGTCCAGACTACATCTGACTATTCTATAAATCAAAACATACTAGAAGAGGAATCAACATTGATAAAAGAGGAACTATTCTATCCTATAACCTTTCCATCTATAACTTTGAGGAACAGAAGAAGCAAAGAGTGAGATTTGAAACTACAAAGCAACGATGCTTTAAGGATGAAAGAAATAGATGTCTAATGCACAGCATGAGATTCCTATCCTTTCAAAGGCCACTGCAAGCAACAAAAAAAGATCTACTGGCTGAAAGGGAAGCTTGGTAATGGAAACCTGCATGGCACAGAAAAAAAGCCAGAATCAGACTGAAAAAAGAAATTTAAAATTGTGTAATGGATTAAAAGGCAATGTTGGATTTATGGACTGTTTTAAGGTTTAAGATTTAGAGTTAGAAGTAAGAAATATATATATATATATAGGAGGGTGATTATTAAAATAGATATTTTTAAATAGATTAAGAATGTACCTTTTGGAATAATAGATTTATTTTGATGAAAATTATTATATATTGGAATTGAAAAAATGTTGACTTTTTAGATTTGGATGGTTTCAATAATTAACTGAGTCTTTTAAATTAGTAAGATGACCTTTCTGTATGATAACTTAGATGTGATAAGGCACGATAATCAATTGGATAAAATTTGAATTTTGTTTAATGAATTGAAATGATTTAAGGTTTAATATTATTTTGTTATCTTAAAGAGATTGATCGATTGGGGGATTATATATGTATAGGGTAGATTAATTTTTTATTTTAATTTGGATATCTATTGTGTAGTGGAAGAAGAAATAAATGAGATTGGTGATAAAATGAGGGATGTGAGAGATTGAGAATTAGAATATATCTGGAAGGGATACCTGAATTGATAACTTGTTGATTTAAAGTTAAATTTGACTATGGTAATTGTAAACTGACAAAGTTTTAAAACAGGTTTAGCAGTAATAGAAATTTAAATTAGAAATGGAATATTTTAAACGTATTATGCTATTTGAGGGAAATAGAGAGGGGACAGTGAATGTATTGAATTGAGTTGTTTATATATGTTTTCACTTTTGAATGTTTGATTACCCAAACACCACGGTGTGTCCTGAGTACCTTTTTTTAAGAATTAAAAAAACCAATAAAATGTGTTTTTTTAAAAAAAGAATATTCTATTCTATGCTATTTAGATTTTACAATCCAAAGCTGAATGTAATGTAAGAAACAGCTGCAAATTACATCAAAGTATTTATTGTACAATAACGCTTTCTGTCTTAAAGGGAAATACTTAATATTAAGAACTCAAAAATCAATGAATGATTAGAATCCTTAAAGCAACTTCTCTCATTTGGTCCTTTCCAGATATTTGGATACAATTATTCCAATTGTCTAAAGTGCCTACAAATTCTGGAACTGACATGCCAGTATATCTGGAAAGCAATCAGATTAAGGAGGATGTTTAAAACTGAAAACAAGTGCTTAACCATAACTACCGTAGTAGTAAACCTTACTTTTTTTTAGAAAGCAATCATTGGAACAGATGCACAATAAATGAAATACACACAATACGGTACCTTATACATTCTTTAATGATCTCCTGCATTACACCTCACTTCATTTTAAAATAACAAAAAACAAAAACTTTTAATTCAAAAAAAAAGAAGGGATATCTGGCTTGCTATAAAGCGAAGTGTCAGATTCTACAATCATTTTTAGTTACAATAATGTTTCTGAGTTGCACACGTTTAGAAAAAAAAAAACAGATACTTTGTTTGGAAATGTACCTAAGTAAGCATATAAGCATGCAAATAACAAAAATCACCATGGCATATTTATTGGACATTTGTGAATAACGGCCTAGCATTTTCCCATTACTGGGTTAAAGTAAGGTTTTTTTTATATCTGGAAACTCCAAATATTAAAAAAGCTATTGAAAAGTCAAGAGAGTATGGCTGTTAGTATGGCTGCTATTTAAAAAGAAGTTGTTAAAAAGACAGAAATAAAGGATACAGACATTTTAATGTATAAAACTAATTTACCTGTGTAGAAATGGAGCATGACAACTGAGAGGTAAAGCTGAAGGTAAATAAGTAACTGTGTTAGCCATTCTGCATTCATTAGCAAGATCCAGGCTTAGGCTATCAACTTCATTCTTTCTTTTATTAGAGCCAACTTCATTTCCATTATATGATTGATTGATTCTTAATGCTAATGACAAAGGGTACTTCCATTCTTCAGGGCAGGATGATACTGATATATGCTGTATAACCCTACAATATTCAAATAAACTCTTCTGGGAAGACTGAGATATCTTATCTTTTTGCACAGCACTTGAATTGTTCTCTTGTACACAATGTTCTATACTTACATCGTCCTTCATTTTTGTCCCTAGCAGCCTTGAACACATTTTTAAGTCAGAGCTTTGGCTGGAACTTTTGTAACATTCTTGGGTTGACTTACAGGAGCTCCTCTTTGAAAACGATAATGGGGTTGATAGTCCCTTGCTTACTTTGCATAAAAACTCCACCGTGAATTCTTGCTGAAGCTCTGGTAAAAGAAGAGAAGCATGTCCATCTAAAGACGTGACTTTCACATTGCCATTTAGCAGACACATTTCTTCATTAGCCGCATGAAGGCCAGGCCATTGGGCTTCAGTGACATCTGTGAAAATAACCTGCAGAAGAGATTGAGTCTTAGAGTTCTGATAGCTTACACTTTCCCAAAGCCCTGCCAATTGCAGATCAAAAGAGAAGATGAAAAAAATGCTTGTACTTCTCTGTTCATATACTTGTGTCTAATAGGAAAGAATACATTTAGATTAACTCAAGGTATTTTTCTGAACTGAGGAATGGAAAAGGACAGGATATTATATCTAACCACACTTATTCTGGCATAATGCACATTTTTCATCACAATACTTCTGTTTTATTTTTTTCTGGGATGAATCTTCTGGTCTTAGAAACCGCCAGCTATCAAGATGGTATACAGCAGGCATGTCAAACTGCCAGCCCGCGAGCCGGATGCATCACGCTGAAACTGCGCCCACCCCATTGCCGACAATGGGGGAAAAGTCCCAATACATCGTGCGACGTCGTGAGTTTGACATGCCTGGTATAGAGATGCACAGCTTACCTCTTTGAGGTCAATATCCCGAGTTCAATTTTAGAGAAGGAAATTCACCATCCTATGGAACTTGGAATGCTATCTCAGGAGGCATAAGATTGTAGATATAAATAAATATCAATAAGGGAATAAAGGGAATAAGGGATGCAGCTTGCAACAGTACAGTTTATCTGAGCAAAGATAATTTCCAGGAATTTTCAAGGATTATTATGGATAACAAAAAGATAGTAATATGACAAAATTAATGTTCATATAATTTAGGTGGTGTTTGTGATAAGGGACTTAAACCTAATGCATTTCTTCTAGCTGCAGTAAGATGATATCAGAGCTTCAATAGAGGAATTAGGATTTGATTAGGCCACATAGGCCAATAGAACTTTTATTACAGAGTTATAGTAACAGAATCTTGCAAGTCTGAAAGTGCTTCTCTCCTCCTTGCCTTTATCTTCTTGTGAACTAGGAAGGCATTTGTGGAGACATGTTACATTCTTGCCTTGGACTCAGGCCTTTTTTATTTGACCATGGCCTTGATAGCAACTCTTCTTCTTGTCCCTCAAGGCCATTCCCTCTTTCCTCTACAGATAAAAATGATTCCTTATTAGAGGTACAGCTGAGATTTTTAAATATGAAAAATAGGAATGGATTAGTTTTCTTGATGTAATTATTTATAAGAAAATTATGTAAATCAGATTCCAATTATCAAAATGTACTCAATTCAGAGACTTAAGTAATACCTTAAAATAAAAATAATATTTTATCAATATTGTTAAGAATATATAGAACTGCTTCATTGTGGATTTTAGGATTACTTGTCAGTAAGAATGAATAATTACTCATTTTATATATATTTACACCAAAGACTTGCATAACCAAGTCAATAAGGAGTTCAGAACAGTGAGTGATTCAGTTAGATCTGGGGTAACTCTGAGTCAGATGATTTTATTATTTAACAAGCCTGAGAACCTGCAATGGAGGTCAAGCTCCACTTAGTCCTCCAGTAAAAAATGAGGTGGTGAATTAGGGGGGGCTCACATGGAAAGCATCACCCTATAAAACTTAGTATCAAAGCCAATCAGTGTATTTCCCAAAGTAATTGAATGCAATACTCAAGCCTGATCTGGCCAATTAGGAAGCCATTATTGGATAATGAACTTCTAACAAATCCCGACATCAAGCATGATTGGAGAAAATTGGCAGCAGGTCTGTAGAGCAAAAGGTGAAAGCTCTTGGCCCCTCTGGAATTATGGGTTTCCTGATTTATCAGCTATGAACCATGAAAAAGTAACTGCATGAAGAAAGTGTATTGTGCAAACACAGGTAATGTATAGTAAATCTATCTGTCCTTCCAAAAGAATCAGTATAATTATATGTTACTGCCTAATAAGCCAAGAAGATAACACATAAAATTAGCCAGTTAAATATTTCATTGGAATCTTTTTTTTTTTTTTTTTTACAAACATATACTCAAAACTTACATGTTTCTTTTCTGGAGGTATAATGTCTGAAGGTAAATAGGGTCGCTCAGAATATTGATTTCGGAAATCTATTGCCCGCAAGAGCTGTTCCTAAAAAAAGTAAAGAGAATTTGATTTTATATATTGGAGAAACAACTTAATTCTTATTCCTTAGCATTATTGCTATATTTATACAAGAATGACCATGAAGGTTCTATGTTCGGTTGCATTGCATTTAGTATATATATAAAATAAAGTAACAGATTTCTATATGGGAAGACAAAAAGTTTTGAAATGCTTTCTAGCATTTCTCTGATCTTAACAGAAGAAAATTTATTTTGACTTGCAACGTAAAGTGAGCATTCAGTCTTCTGAAAGGTAAATTCACTGGTATTCAGGTCTGTGCCACTCAATGCTGCATCCTGAAGAAATGGCTTAGAAGTCTCCTTGAGCAAAATAAAGACTATTCTATTCTATTCTATTTTAGGAAAAGGAAAATGAGGATATAATAAAAAAAAGAAAAAACAGACCAGCTTAAATTTTATAGCATAGGTAAGAAAGGAAAACCTATGGCTATTAAAGACCAGCTTAAATTTTATAACATAGGTAAGAAAGGAAAACCTATGGCTATTAAAGATAGCAAACGTAAGAGGAAGTTGAACAATTTGCAAGGATAAATTTCTGCCTGAAACACTGAAGAGCTGTTGAACAGAAAATGATGATTCTCAAGCTTCTATATTTAGAGACCTTTCCTAAACCAACTTGTCTAAACCAAGTGACTCCTGCATTCCCCCCAAACTCTCTCATGTTTGAGAGAGAACCAGGAAATATTCTAGACACATTTCCCATAGTTTATTATTGTCTCATATGAACAAAATATCTTCCTAAAACTGCATGCTACAAAGGAAGATTTATTCATACCATTCTTCCTATGAAGTGTTCTAGAAACAGAACAAGATTCTAACTGGATCAGCCCAAAAATTTCTTTAGTCCAGATTTGTTCTTGTAAAGCAGATGGGTAGCTAGATACTTATGCCCCAAATTAGGACATGTATAGGACAGTATAATGATCATGAGTTTGATCCCAAAAATGTCAAGAACACAATTGTAAACTGGGACTAATGCAACCTACAAAAACCTACATTTTACACTTTGGAGTGCTACTGTTTTGAATTCTAGGGACTCCTGGCCATTACAGCCCCTGTATCGGTCAGTATTTTACAAATTCAAAATGTATACAACTCTTTAATTGGATTGTTTTGGAGATTCAACATTGTCTTCATTGAATATCTTCTAATACTACTCTCCTTTTTGTGGGTGGTGGTATTTTGGCATAAAGAGTAGTAGCACTTATATAATGATGACTGGGAGTGATGATATAACAGGATTGAATGGAGCCTTATTCTGCTGGTATGTCAGTGAAGAATTGGTCCCCGTTGACATTTCAGAATTGCCAATTTTTTGCTCAGCTCTTTGAATGGCTTTTAGAGATTAAGCAAAACATGTCCTATTACAATCCTATTATCCCAGAGCAGGCCATCTTTCTCTCCTGCTTAGAGAAAAAAGATTTTGTTTATACCCGATAGAGACTAATAGCAAACGGTGTCCTCTGACGAACTCTTTCCGGTGGCTGCACTGGGTGAGCAGAGGGAGGAACAGCCTTTTCAAATAAGAACTCTGATCCACATGAAGAAAGGAGCAATCTGGAAGCATCTGGATAGTGGACTTCCACTGAATTATCTTCATAAAGGATCATGAGACTTTCTGACCCCATCACAACAATAAAAAACACAAACAGTGTTTTTACAAAGTGAATCTGTGAAAGGAATCACAACTGATTATTTAGTGTATAGTGTACAGGTATGGAAAGGAATGGTGCAAATATCAGTAATATTACAGGCAGTCTTCACCTATCAACTATTTGTTCAGTGGCCGTTGAAACTTACAACAGCGTAGAAAAAGGAGATTTACGACTAATCCTTAACGTTTTGGCTACTACAGCATCCCCATGTCAAGTGATTGCAGTTTGGGTACTTTACAACACACATGCATTTAGTCACTGTGCTCTGTAATCACTATTTGCAATTTTCACAGCTGGCTTCTCACAACCTCAATGGGAAACCAGCAAGAAATTTTGGTCATGTGATACTGCACTTAAGAACTATAGTTGAAACTGATGAACCTATATCCTAAATCAGGTACAGGTAAGAACTATTAACTCTGCATCCTCAGTAGGGAATACACAGCCCCCATATGGTTGAATTCATCCACAAAGCAGTTACCAGATTATTACTGCTATACTGTGCATAAAAATGCATTGTGATTAATTTATTAAATCAGTTTCAGTTTTTATCCTAGATTTATTCTTTTTTATTTTATGGTTCCACCTATTCGTTGCTGCTCTTAGTCTGTGTCCTTCTGTTTACCACTGCTTTTTCAGGTAGAAAGATGGCTGTCAGGCATTGTGGTATTTCTTCTTGCTTCCTAAAGCATTCCTTTTATTGTTGAATTTATGCAAAAGTTGAGGCTGAGGCTGGGGTGTATCCATGAAATCACCAGCAGCTCAGATGATTTGGAGACTGTATTTTTACTAATTTACAATTAAAGTTGTGGAGTAAGACTGCAAATATACCCTACCCATTGTGGGACTCCTCAGAGTTGAACTGATGGATAAGTCAGAAGGATTTATTTGGAAATAAAAGTAAATGGCTAGGATACCTACCACACACAACTATTTTGATCAGAATTTGAGCACCACAGAAACTGTTCTACTACAATTTCCTCTAAAAACTAGATCATCAGGGAACAAAAGGAAAGTTATTTCACATGCTCAATGAATCCTCCGAATTTGCAGACACAACCCACTTTAATTAAACTATTATTAATAATAATTTACTTGGAACAACTTATATCTTGCAAAGATATCTTTAACATCATCAACCAGCATCTGCCTATCTCAAGTCCTTGAAAAGGGTTTGATATAGGTGGATAAACATGCCAAATCCAGGCTAAATATCTGGCTGACTTTGCAATAACTATTTGCAATCATAATAACTTGCTGGTCCCAATGGTTATTGGCACACTGGGTATCATACCAAAAACCTTGGACGGCACTTAGAAAATACGCTTATTGGCAAAATTTCCATCTGTCAATTCCCAAAGGATATGCATTGATAGTACACTACACCAATAGATATCCTAAGTTCTTGTGAGTAAAGAACTGGCAGCTGTGACATCACATTGTTTTAATAGACAATAATTTATTAAAATTACATACCACCTAACTCTCTACGACTCAGGGTTGTCTACAACAAAGACGTTAAACAATAAAATAAATAAAAAATAAAGATAAAAGATGACAAGCGGTATGAGACCAGGCATGCTTAAACCTCCAAAATAGAACGGTGCGAAGATTTTCAGGGTGAAAGGCTAATCATACATTATCTCACTAGCTAGAAGTTCGTTTGCCTGGACCTCTCGTGCAACACATTCGGACGACACCAGAGGAGGGAGAGCTAGCTGGTTGCTCACACACAATAGTATTTCTTCTCCAGCAATCCGCCGAGACGAGAGCCCTCCACTCCTTGACAACTCGGCCGCAACTCTGACTCTCGTGGAAATAGGAAACCCAATATAAATAACGTACCTCGCTTAGGGCAGAATCACTCCACTAAACTCTTTCCTCGGCGTACGAGGAGCCGGGAAACCAACTAAAGAGCGCGGGGCAAAAACACTCAAGGGCGGCGCTAAAGAGGAGTTGGTTAGGATTCAAACGGACTAACGCGCCTCTTTAGAGAAGGCGGAGCTTGGGAGCAACCCGGAAGAATGGGAGCTTTCGGATTTGCGGTGCCTCTGCTCTCTCGGAGTTAACCAGTTTCTGGAAAAGGTAGCTGCTTCTCACTGCTAGTTCTTCCTGGATCAGAAACGTTGTGGGATTCTTTTCCCAAGGTTGAAGGGTTTAAAGATCTAGTATGATTTTATATGGAACCATGCACATCCCTGTGAAATCAGCTTATACGTTTTGAATAAAGCAAAGGGCACCTCCATTCTAGTCAGTGGATGCAATACTTGGAAGCACCATCCAGGCTAGGGCCACAGATCCAATTGTTTATACAGTAGTCACTGTCATTTCCTGTAATCTCTGATGGACATTAAGTGAGATATATCCAGTGTTCTTCCTTTCTCATAAGCAAACTATCCCCCCAACCTCCAAACAGAAACTTTTCTTTTTTTAAAAAGTTGGATTCTGTCTTCCAACATTTATTTTCTCTCTCTTCCATTATGTAATTTTTGTATTGTAAATTTTGGTAAGCCATAATGGCTGAGTTCAAATCACACATCTAAGTGATGTATCCAGTTAACTTTTTCGGATTGCATAATATACTAACTGTACAGTCCAAGTTCACACCACACAATAGGAGATGATGGTGCTGGTTTGTGGTTGAAGTATGTTGTGTAAATACTGTTCCTTGCAGAGGATTTAGTATTCTGTATTGTTGGAACGAAAACAAACACATACTGGAGAGATTCATGCAGTCCTCAGTCTTTCAATTTTTTTAAAAAATAATATCTGAAGATGAAGAGGCTGGAACCCTGAAAAGCAACAGCAGTGCAGCTGTTTTCTGCAGGTAAACAAGATACTGAAATTTGTATAGAAATAATTGACTTGTGAACTGTGCTCCCTCCAGTGATTATAGGACAACAGAAAGTTGCTAAGGTATATCAAGGCCACCATGAGTTAGTTCTGCCTCCTCACTCAGGAAAGGCTGTAGGGAGGATACAGGATGTGTTTATAATTAAGCCACTAGATGTTTTTACCATTTTAACATACAGGACTTCATATAATGGCCTCAAACTACAAAGCAGGCTCTGCCTTTATTTATTTGTTTATTTAATTATCAAATTTAGAAACTGCCCATGTCCCTCATAGAGCAATTCTGGGCTCAACACTTATTAATACCAAGAACAGTACAATAATAGAATTAATTATTTAGTGAGTGAATGGCATCTTTTTCATTTGTTATATCAGAGACTGAACAAGGATATCTCAGTTCCTGCACTGAGTTAAGGGTTGGATGCCAAGGTCTAACTCTAAATGACCTCGTCCACCTCTAGGATTCAATAATCCAAGATTTTGGAGAACCATCTGTAACTTTGGTGACTGATGTTATTGTACCATTGGCCCTGTGAATATGTGATCATAATGACCTTGGAAGGATGGAAGGCCGAGTCAATCTTAAACTAGTCAGGATCGAATTCCAGACTGTGAGCAGAATTAGCTTGCAATACTGCATTTTAATTACTTTCTACTAGGGCTCCCTTATCAGAGGAATAATCAAGAGAATATATCTGCTTTCCAAACTGTTGTCTACCCCAGTACCTACTACATTCCAATCTCTAAAACCACAATAGAAGGCATAAAGCACCACAATCATTTCCTGTATACATAGGATTCTGATTTTTTTTGAAGTCTGAGTCTAATGAAAAATGTTGTTAGTAAAATACATGATTGTTTAATCTTAGAATGCTTTAAGGTCAAAAACCTCTGAAGGGAAATCTTGAATTGATTGATGATCATGCTCTAGAACAGGCATGTCAAACTGCCAGCTCGTGGGCTGGATGTGTCACGCAGAAACCGTGCCCACCCCATCACGTTACATGATGTTGCTAGTTTGACATGCCTGCTCTAGAATGATAGTTTCATACTTGCAATAATACCTGGCATAATTGGAAAGGCATTTGTTATTTAACCAGATCATACTTTAAATAAGGGCACACAGAAATTGTGTCTTGAAAACTACAAATCATCTTCAGTTGGGCAGAGCGAACATGTATAATAGTAAAATATAAATACAAATGCTGTATAAATTGAAGACAGGGAGGGCCAGAAAACCACTTTTACATGCATATCTCATACCCATATCCTTCTAGAAGAAGAGAAAGCTGCAGTATAGCTTGATCCTAAGCAAATTTAACTCTTAATGCAAAAAAGAATATGGACTGCAATGAGAAATACAGCTATGTTGTAAATACATTTTCTCAGATAATTTCATATTTTCAAAACATTTAAGTGGCACGTGTAATACTTGTAAAGAAAAAAATTAAAATTAGGGGCAATTAATACACTGATTTTACTTCTGATAAAGCAACGCTACTTGTTAAGGGTCAGGTAGACTATTTAATACATCAGTTATCTGTATCTTTTAGGTATTTGTTCAATTACAAAACATACAAATTTGCTGCTTTTTATAACTATCCAGCAAAAGAAAAATAAATACTATTATGTGCAGAATTTGCGGCTTAATTTAAGAATCAGGTATTTCAAAATATTCCTGTCATACATTTCAAATATGATTTTAAAGAACATCTTATGATGCTATATATTAATTCAACTTTATCTTGCCAAATAGAACCATCTTTTAAGGAGTAAATAATATTTCTCTGAGGATTAATCAGAGGACACTTTTGTATTTAGCATCTACCTGACTTTCACTGATTTTGAAGAGGGTGAACAAGGTTGAATCCAGTTAATATTGCAGCAGGAAATTATCAAGAAATATACAGTGTGCCTTAAACTATACTGGGAAATTGAAATCGAAAAAAAAAAAAATTCTGCCAGAAGGCAATGGGAACCCTCCCCACACCATTGTTGTCAAGAAAATATGGATATGTACATGTAGTCATCAGGCCTTAAATGACATTTCACCAGTAACTATAAAGATATTACTCCTCAGCACAGAAGAAAATAAGGAAGGAAGATTTAATATCCTTTCTTAATGAAAATGAAAGCACTAAAAAAGTAAATAAAAGCACATCCAACAACAAACTGTTTATTTTTTTTCCAAAATATGGTGTTAACTAAAAGCTAAACAATCAGAAGATGTAATTTTATACTAACTCATTTAACAGACACAAATTGTACCAAGTTATAACAGTGCAATATTAAACAGCACTATTTACATACATATTTACAACTTACGTCTTTATATAAGTTATTTAACCTACTGCTCAGGAAGTTCAACACATTTGGTGTTAGGAAATAAGATTCTAGGTAATCTATTTAATATAAAATAGTGAATAAAAATGTTAAAAGTATCCTGGACAAAATTTTAGAGAGAAAAAAACAAATGATTTAAAGGAAAGACAATAGACAAATTTAATTTACTTGTTAAATGTGATGCAAACTAAAAAGAGACACGAGGGCTTCTTTTTAGTATGCATTTCAAAGACACAAATTATGAACTTTGAACTAAAAATAATTTCTTTAAATTTCAAAGTGGAAATCAGCAGAAATGGCTGAATTCAGACATTATGTTATATTTTGAAACCTCTAAAATAGCAAGTCTTCATCCTAGGGCCCAATATAGCTAGTCTAAAAATTGAACTATCCTTTGCAAACATGAGCAAAGTCAGAGTCATAGAATTTCTAAGCTGCTATCTGGATTTATGAAAGTATCCTAAACTATGGATTTTTGGGGACTTTGCAACCTTCTCTTTTACCTGATAAATCAGATTTGTTAACCAACATTTTAATCCTGATTAGCATTAATCATTGTTTTATTAACATAAGCCTGACAATAAACAATGGCTAAAGCAGGAAGTATTAATATGGAAATGGGTAAAGAAATAAACATGACACATTTCTGATCGTCTAAACCCATAGTTCAGAAGTTCACTAATATGACATCTAAAACTTAGTAATAATGTTGAAGACAGCTTTGATGAACCAAAACATCGATGTAGCTGTTTGAAAATCCAATTTTTATGCGTGGTTCCAAATGGTTGCTGGGTGGCTACAATTTTCATGATTTGTAAAATATTAAGAAAAAAATTTGGCAACTTCATGAGCCTAAAAATGTGGAAGGGATGCTACAAACTATCCAAAGGGAAGAATGTACAAATCCATTGCAAAAGCAAATCAAAATGCATTATGATTGAAAGGATTTTACTTCAGAAAAGTGTGAACTTTTAATACAAATTTAATCTAAGTTGAACTTTTAGATCAATGTTTCCCAAACTTGACAATTTTAAGCCATGTGGACTTCAACTCCCAGAATTCCACAGCCAGCGTTGCTGGCTGTGGAATTCTGGGAGTTGAAGTCCTCATGCCTTAAAATTGTCAAGTTTGGGAAACACTGTTTTAGATTAATGTGATGCGCCAAATAAATTTGTTACAGCAAAAACACTGCTTATTTAACTGTACATAAAATAAACTATAGTATTTACATATTATTCAAGATATAGAATTTCACTTTACAATTGCTTCTTTTTGGCAGATTCTGTTTAACAAGAAGAAAATTGCATACTTGGAAAAACTTAATTTCCTTTGATATAGACTAAAGGATTTTCCATTTGTTTACTTATTGTCCATTCTATGCTGTTTTAATTTTTTCAAAAAACAAACAATATTTATGTAAAACCTATTGTTTCCTCTTGCGTTCAGATTCTAAGCAAAATTTTTCAAATGCTTCTTCAATTTCTGGATCCATCTCATCATCTTTTTCTTCATCATCTTCATCATCAAAATATCTGCAATAAAATTCATGTTAAATACACATTTTTCAAAATTCAAGTGTTAAAAACATTAATCATAAAAAGATAAATAACAGTATTGATCTTATGATTCTATATTGGTATAAGCTGAACACTGGCAAGTTCCCATTGCAAACTAAGTCTAAATTGCTTAAGTGCAAAAAAGTTCACATTTTTAAATGCTAGCAACAGTTATGTGCAAGAATGGTCAATTTAAATTCCTAAGCGCAAAACAAGTATTCTTTCCAAGAGGAAACCACCTACGTTCCAGCTGCTAAGGTCTCCTCTGCACATTCAAATATAAGCAGGAATTTATAGGATCCAAAACACAAAAAATGATCAGATAAGGAACTGAACAGAAAGACAGAAATAATAATCTTAAAGTAGCTTTTTGCTGTAAGGCCTAAAATATTATGAAAATGTGTTTTTCAAAAGCAATAATTAGTAAAAAGAGCTCTATAGATCTCTTATGGCAGTGATGGCGAACCTTTTAGAGACCGAGTGCCCAAACTGGAACCCAAAATCCACTTATGTATTGTTGGGTGCCGGGTGGGCGTGGCCCAGTGGGTAGGTATGGCCCATTGGGTGGGTGTGGCCAATTAGATGGGTGTGGCTGTGGTGGTAACGGCAGACTGGGTGGGACTAAAAAGTTCAATCAATCAATTTCAACCTTACGAGATCTTTTTTTTTCCCGCGAGAAGTTGAAATTGATTGATTGATTGAACTTTTTTTTTTTTGCACACGGCGGTGGAGGCCTAAAGCGAAAAGGTTTTATAAAACCCAGCTGAAGGCCTAGGACTGGGGTGAGGGCGTGGGTGCCCACAGAGAGGGCTCTGCGTGCCGCCTCTGGCACGTGTGCCACAGGTTCACCACCATGGTCTTAAGGTATTAATTTAACAATTCAGAAGCATAACAGTAAATAAAATTGAAAGAAGCAATCAATTGTATACAAAAAGTTCAAGAATACTAAAGTATTTTCAAAATGATAAATTTTGACAAAAATACTCTGAAAAGTGATAACCAATGTAGGAAAGTTAATAATCAAGTTAAAATGAATCTGCATCACAAATTAGACTAAAACAAGAACTTACTCGTCTTCAGCTCCTGTTCCATTTTCTTCACACTTTTGAAACAAATCTTGCCTTTCAAGAAGTTCTTGATATTTCTCTTGGTAATCTATAATATCAACATTTTTATGAAGTACCACATCCAAGCTTATTTATTTACAATATCTATTAATAAAAATATTATAGATATGTATCTGATAGATAGACAAACATAATTTGTGTAAGCTCTATTGCAGTGGTTCCCAAATGGGTCGGGACCCCATTTGGGGTCGAACGACCATTTCACGGGGGTCGCCAAACAACGCAGTCCGCCATTTTTTCCCCCTTTTCCTTAGCTGTGCTACTCCCTTTTATTCTATTGGCTTTTGAAAGCCAATAGAATAGACTCTCTTGAATAGAGTCTAATTCTATTGGCTTTCAAAAGCCAATAGGAATTGTCCAGGCTGTCTCTGCCCTGCTGAGCCCGCCAAAAGTCCCATTCTGCAAACGGTGCTGCACCAGTTGAGTAGTCCTCGACTTACGACCGGTTGGGGGTCGCGGCATTAAAAAGGTTGAGAACCACTGCTCTATTGGCATATTGAAATAATTTGCTTAAAAGTATCATTTTACTGTACTTCATCATGAACTTTCTCTCCCCCTGGCTTTTCTTCAAATAATATCTGCACTCAAGCAGCATACCTCGCCATTAAACAACTTGCAATATATTGTACTGTAGCAAGGTATTCTCACTGCCAACAAAAGTAAAAGCCTGCAATGCACAATAAAGTGCAAAGACATGGTCTGTGCCTTAAACAATTAGACAAAAACTAAGTGCTAAGCAAAGGAGTACAATTGTGAAAAGTCACACAAAGAAAAAAGGACTATATTGAATGTAGGATGAGGGTATGGAATAAAGCATGACTGACAGCAATCATTGACTGTCACCAAGTTAGTGCCAACTCTTAGCAATCCCATACATATAGTCCTTGTTTAGCAACCTTTTGCAGTTATGATTGTGAAGAAAATGTAACTCTGTGACCAATCTTCACATTTAAGACTTTTATAGGTCTGTAAAATTAAGGAAAACTGAAGAAAGATCATTAGAATGGTTGCAATAGCTTTGTTTAACAACTAATTTGCTAGTCCCAATTGTGGTCCCTAAATAAGGATTACATATAGATGGATTTTCTCCATAATGATCTTTGTATCATTATGGAGAAAACTTTGTATCTCTAGATTTTACTTATCTTTGTTAATAATTTGTCTACAAATAACAGAAACAGCAATAGGTTCAATATGCTGCTGATGTGACTGCAGACAATGAAACAAGCATGATATTAGAATTCCATCTGGATAGAAAGCATTTTCTAGAACTTTTAATAACGTTCCCTATTTTTGATTGTCTTCCTTCCTTGATAACTATAAAATTTAAATTTAATTAACTAGCTATTTGTGCAAAGTAAATAGTTAGAACATACCTGGATCTGCTGCAGTGAAAGGCACACCCTCTGATGTGTAAAATGTTGGTTCGTTCTAGAATTAAAATATGCTTTATTTATTTATGCTACTATTTTTTAATCTTGTATGCTTTAGCATTTTATATCTATTTCAGTAAAGCTATCTCAGGGATAATTTATGGAAGAAGAATGTCAGTATACTTTACCATGAAGTAATTAGGATCGTTTTCTGGAGTTGCTTCCCTGTATGTTGAAGTAATATGTACCCTTCCCCAATTACTTGATCGCAATTCTACTAGTTTTAATAGCATATGCTTTACATCTCTGTAACAGAAAAGTAGAAAATAAAAATCATTATAATGTTTACCATTAGAATACACCTAACTAGTTTATTATAGCTTCTCAAAATGTAAATAAAATTTAATGCTAATGCATTGTCAAAGAACAACTTTTGTTATCAGTATTCTCATACATTAAGTATAGGTATTAAATATGACACATGGCTTTGAAGAACCTATACTGTTTAGGTTGGTTAAACAGTTATTTAAATTTAGCACTTTGTTGATTTTGTCCTTTCTGCTGAATTCAAGGTCTCCAGCCTCTTTCCTTATCACTCTTTAAGTGTACTTTCTTCTCTGAAATGTTTGTGTAAGCATTTTCTTAACTCTAACAGTTATGAGAAAAGCAGTTCTGGTCTTTTCCTAATATCTATTAGAGGCAATCATTCATACATGAGAAATAGCCTAATTATCTAGGCAAGCAATAGATTTTTTAACATGTGCTGATTTCCACAACAAATAAGAAAGAAACAGATAATCATGGACACTTTGATCAAAACAGGACTAAAGACAAATGAAGTTTCTTTAAGGGCTAGTAAAAATCATAGCCTATAGAGAATAACACAAAAGACTTTGCAAAGTTCATCTTGGTCTAAGAATAGCAATAAAAGAATAGAGAATGAATATGGAATTAGCATGTAGAATTATTTAGGAATATATGAAACTCTCATATTATTATTTGCTTTACTTTGTCAGCTCATGGCACCCTTCTGATGCAAAGATAGGATAGTGCAAAATCCAGCTTTGCAAACAGACACTGTAAAAATTTAAAATATCCTGCAATGCCTTGTGAGTTCATTACAATACCCCAGCGCAGGGCTTTTCAACCGGTGGTACCCGTACCATCTGTGGTTCATTAGCACGTAGAAGGTGGTACGCGGCCCTGCCCAGCCAACTGTAGTGGGGGAGGGAACGAGCCAGCGCAGCGCAAAACTTATTGTGAGAGAGTCTTCCGGAGCTGCAGAGTGGCTGGGGCGAGGCAAAGGCCCCAGGCTCACTTCCGGCTCACTTGGAAGAGAAAGGAGGAGGAGGGGGCGGAGACAGGAGAGGCTATAAAAGGAGGCAGTTTGGGTGGGAGAGGGAGAGAGAAAAAAAGAGGCAGCCTTGGGAGGAGGTGGAGTCAGCTGTAGCTGCACCGAAGGGAAAGAAGAAGGAGGACGGTGGGGGGAGAGGAGATCAAGCAGGCTGCCTATGAGCCGATCTACAACTTCTATGGCAGCCTCCGTGCTGGCAGCAACAAACAGGCAAGAAACACAGCGGGGGAGGGGTCACCCTCCACGAGGAATGAAGAAAGGCAACAATGAAGAACAGCAGTATTGGCTGGAGGTGAGGCACGGAGGGAGATGAATAGTGGAAGCATTCTTATGTGCTTTTGTAACTTTGAAATTCTGGGATTTGTGCAATATGGGTGTTGTGTTCTTAAGGAGTATTTGGCAATTTCTATTTGGCTGATGTCTCGTGTTAGCTTCTACTGCTCTGCTATTGTTAGCTGTAAGTTTTGCTGCAAGGGATTTTGAAGTATTTTTTTTCTGAATGGATTTTGCCTATAGCATTCCTTTACTTATGAATGGAGCTATTTGGGGAGGCTGCCTTAGCCGGCAGCCAGTACTTACTACATTTTTTTTCTTCCATAAGTGCAGTTAAGGGAATGCGGCCTTTTAAGCTAGTTCTCTCAGCGGCTTGTCTTTTCTGTCTCTGGAGGCTTTTCCTTGTGATGAATATATGGAAGAGGGAAAATATGGGGGGGGGAGGTGTTTCAAATTCTTCATTCAGAAGGAGATGAGAATGAGAAAGAGGGAGGCAGGGAAGGAAGTCCTACCTTAGCACTTGGCCACCAGCAGCCCTGCCATTGACTTTGCTTGTCAAAAGGGGATCACATGACCCTGGGAAACTGTGAACTCATAAATATTAATCAGTTGCCAAGCATCCAAATATAAATCACATGACCCTAGGCATGCTGCATTGGTCATAAGTGTGAAAAATGGTCATAAGTCATTTCAGTGCAATTGCAACTTTGAACATGTGGTTTTTTTGGGGTCATCAAGTTTTTGACACCTTCCTAGGTAGTACTCGAATATTGCCATATTCTAAAAGTGGTATAAACGGTGAAAAGGTTGAAAAGCCGTGCCCTAGTGTACAGTTAGTATTAATCTTTAAAAAATTTGAAATAATATTATGTCACTATTCAAAGTAACTGCAAGGAGATTTTAAAATAGGCAGAACATGTCTATTTCCTAGAAACCTCTATATGTTTTTTTTACTGTACATATTTAATTTATTGAAAGATGTATTTAAATATGACTGATATTTTAGCACACACTTAATTTTTGTAAGTAATGAGCAATACAGTTATAAATTGAACTGTTCTTTTTTATTCTATTAGAAATAACACAAAATAGTTTTATTCTATAAGGTAATTGGGAAACCACAGAATTTTCTTATTACCTGCTGCAATTTGCATCCAAGACAACATTTTCAATTTTCTGTATTATGTCATTCATGTAAGTATTTCCTTTTTCTTTCCATACATCTTCAAGAACTGATCCTGTCAACTGGGAAACAAATAAAAGCATTGACTGACAACATTTGTCAGATTAAACTAATTTGAAAAAGTGGGTTGCATTCAGAATTATAAGAACTGTGATTTCTAACCTTTTTTTGATTAGTGTCTATTCTTCTTGCAAAGCTTTTATTAATATAGTTATAAAATGCCTATGGCTGCTCAACTCATACCAAAAGTTAACAACAAATACAAACCCTGCCCCCAGTCCCCAACAAGCAACAAAATACATTAAAAAACAACTGAAGCAATAAAATGGCAACTGGATTAAACTGCACTGCAACTCAACTAATGGGGCTCCACTCATCTGGATCCAAATGCCTGGGGAAAGAGCCAAATCTTAACAGCCTTTGTAACAGTTTGAAGGGCCAGTGTCAACCATGTATTAGGGGACAATTTATTTCAAAGGTAAAGGGCCACCACTAAGAAAGCACATTGCTAAGGTCCCGTAAGGTGGCAGTGTTGGGAGCAAGAATGGGTCTTATTAGAGCATCTGGGACAACCCTTGAGTAGGCAATCCTGCATATAACTATGTCCTATATCATGTAGGGCTTTATAGACGATATCCAGAACTTTGAAGCCTTTTAGAAGCCAGTGCAGCTTGTGAAGTAGAGGTGTGTTCATAACCACAGAAAAGCCCATAACTATCTGAGCCATCACATTCTGGACCAAGAGAAGCTTCCAGATGTTTTTCAAGGGCAGCCCCATATACAGTGCATTGTAGAAACCCAAAGGGGAATTGATTAAGGAGTGAGTAACCATGAGCAAGGCCCCTTGGTCCAGCAAATGACACAGAATTCAAAATTGTTCAATGGCCTCCCTGGCTCTTCTGGCTGTCACAACTCTCCTGGCAGGAGTTGTGAACTGAGGAGACACACACTAAATTTTGAGCCTAGCTCAAGAGTCAAAAATGTAAACTTTCAAATTCTCAGACTTGTGGGTCTCAAGACCTACCGTAAGCCCTTCAAGGTAGATCAGGATAGGAAAGTAAAGTTATGAATGCTAATACTACTTTTATTATAAGGTACAGAATCTTTCAAGTCTGAATACACTTCTCCTTTATCTTTGTGAGAACTATGGAAAATCCTGTCTGAAACAATTTGTCCAATTATATTTCTGTCTTGGATTCGGGTTTCTTTTGTCTTCTGGGTGTTGTCTTGGTTGTTCCTCAAGGTTATTCCTTCTGGTCATTATGCCTACAGCCATTAATATTTGGAAGGGTTGGCTGAAGCCTATTCTTCCACATCCAGATACGGGAACAGACTTTTGGCAGCTTCATTTGGACAGCCAGAGGTAGAGATGTACAGCTGGATTATCACGGCATATTGAATGCTAGGATATCCTATAATAGGACACAGGCTGTCCATGGACTAAATGCAATATTTTTGCCATTTTTGTAGGACAACTGAACCTATTTCCCCAGAGTAAACAGAACACTTCATCACACCACAGTATTTATATTAATATTAATCAACACCCAAAGAGGCTCTATTAATAATCAACAAAACTTTTTTTAAAAAACCTCAGAATAGAAAGGACTTACTTTCAATAGTTTTACTGCACAAATTAAATTGCTGTCCATAGGATTTAAAAAAAGTGTATTTAATAGCTCATGAAGTCCAGTTTGAAGAATGTCAGCTCGAGTTACTTGTCCGTTACTTCCTTTTATCTATAAATATATAAAAATAATATTTGCATGAAGGTTTGTAAAACCAATATTGAAAATTAAAAACTATGCCAAATTCTTACTACTAAGGTATCTGGAGCTATTTTTTTTACATTAATTGAACAGCTGATTATATAATAGAATACTTTACCTCACGAATGTCATTTTCCTCAGTTCAAAGTTTTTTAGCTGCTGATTGCAAGCCAGGAAAATCTTTTATTTATTAAAAATTACTCTTGATAGTGAAATCGGCAGCATATAAATTTAATGAATAAATAAAAGTCATAAATTAACTACTTGTTAGATTTAATTGAATGAGAGAACTCACAATTTTATACCTAAGAAGCTTTAAAAGTTTACTGTAGCATGCTATAATTGGTTCTAGTGACGTAGAAAACCTTGATTCATGGCTGTTGTACTAAAGGGTAGCGCTCTGGCAATAAAATGATCAGGATAAGATGTACAAACATACTACTGCTTCATTTTTATAGTAACATCTCTGGGCCCTCTTCTGAAATGTTAAGTAATGAAATTATAAAAATCTCCATAAATAAAATTTATTTTTGGAAATATAATTGAAAATACGCTCTGCGTTTTATTCAATTGTTCATTTAAAAAATAATCATTTGCAAATTAGCGCAAGAACACCTGGTGCTTTTTATAAAAATGCAGCCATATGATAATTAAAAACAAAGTTAAATTATAAGAAAGACTCTAATAAAAAATTAAATTTGTTCAGAGTTTTCCCATTTTCACTGAGTCTAATACTCTACAGATTAATTCTTCAGCCTCTTTCCTTACAAAATGTCTGGCCAGAATTATAGATTTTAAGAAACAATTCAACCAGAAAGAAATATTTTTTACCTCTAGATTTAGATAAAGTTCAGCCAAAAATAACACAAATGCATGAAATCGTTTCCTCACAGCATCATCTCCTTTGGCAGCTCCATCTCTATTTTCAAATTCTTTTTGACACCTAAAAGAGACAACTTTATACTTATATTGGCAAAATTCATAAAATGTGATTACAAATTGAGGCAAATATGATGTTAAAGGATAACATGAAAAAGATTAATATTTATCCAATAACTGATCTATGGTTGCAAAACAAAATGTTCAAATAGATTATGCAACTTGATTAAATACTCATCTTTATATACTTTGACATGTTGCTTGCAATGTCATTTTTGAACCCCTTTACCCCTGAGGGCATGGTAAAAGTTTAAGAGCCATCGTAACTATCATCCAACACCACCGTATCAATTGTCTGCTTTAACATGACCAAGAAGGGACCCCCAAGGAGAAATAACATATTTAGTGGATGGTTCAATTCTCAAAGCCTTCCACGCCCTACATAACACAGTAAAAAAGGGTACTACGTAGGACAGAATTGTGAAAAAGCATTTCAGCTGAGTCCCTGAATAATGCTAAAATATGTAAACTGACTGGTCCATGTAAAACTTTAATCTGATTTATTTAGGGGCAATAGCATTTCACCGCAGAATATCTGGTATGACTTTCATCCAGGAACAAATCAGGATGTGGGTCTTCAATACTAGATAAAGAATCTCTTCCTTTTCCCCTTCTCTCAGGTAGCTTATTCTGTTCTCTGTGGTTGATTTTTCATCAGAGGTTCTCCCCAGACCTATCAGTAACTTCTCCAAAGAAGGAACAGAAAGCCTTGCCCTCAATGGAATGGAGAGAAAATATCTCCAGTATTGTAGTAGATTTTCTCACTTATTCAAATTAAAACCTGGCATTTTAGTACAAAACTATATGATAAATTAAGAGTGTGTATAGAACACACAAAGACTGGAATTAAGTATGATCTGAAAAATTTCCAATTGTTTTTATTTGTTACTTTTCTTCAAGGGTATATTAATAGTGCGGTAAAAAATAAAAAAAAAATATTTCATTTCACCAAAATGAACATTATTAAATATTTTATCTAAAGACTACAGAAACTTTGAAATGGTCCTCACTGCAGAGGAAATAATTCCTCACACAATTAGAGAAATTCTCTTGAAGACTTGAATTTGACTACTGCCAGAATTGTGTAAACAGAAGAAACAGTGAATTTCCCATTCCATAAGGGGCTGAATTTATGATTTAACTGAGCATATGAAACATCAAATCATTACCTTTTTGCTGCCAGTTAGGAAAAATCAACTGATGGAAAATATAGTCAACTTGTCCGTATGTGGTATATAGCTAAATATAACACCAAAGAAATGCTTTCTAATGTCTTGAGGGCCACTACATATTAAAGCTGATAATATCCATGAGAAGTGTATTGGATACAATTAACTGGACCCCAGAAATACTGAGTTCACACTCAGGATTTATTGCAATAACAAAAAAAGAAAATAAAACGAAACAAAATTTCTCAAACTTTGACTTCAGATTCGACTGTTTCATTCACTGCCAGGTGTGATTTCCAAACCTACCAATCCTCAGCTGCAGTACTAAGATGTGAAAAATGGTGAACTATAATATAGATTATTTCCTTTCCTTTATGAAGACTGAGATCCAAGCACAATGTCCTTCTGTTCCATACTGAAGCCTAGTAGTTATCAAAGATAACTATAATTGGACAAATATATGAGCTGAATAAAGTTGTTCAGGTTTTGGAGTATGATAAAAAAGTCCAATTGCTTTAAACTTTCAAAACAGTAAGTTGTCAAGTGTGACATATGACAAACCTTGAATATTCTATATCTGAAGCTTCAAGGGGCAAATGCTATTATAACAGCTCATTATAATCTGATATAACTGATGGGTCTTCTCAGTGATGGTTCCTACTCTGTGGAACACTACCCATCCCCCTAGGCTTGTACTATTCCCACCCTTTTGACTTTGCATAAATTGCTAGAAACCTGTTCGTTCTCCTAAATGTTGGCTTAGGATGATGGCTGAGCCCCCTTGGTTTGGGTTTCTTTTAATTCTGTCTTCTTTTTTCTTAATATATTTTTAAAATGTTTTATTTGTAAGCTGCCTAGAGTCGCTATGGAGTAAGCAGTCTCAAAATTGGAAAAATAAATACATGTTTCTAGACAAACTCAGGCTTTATTTTCTTGACTTGATCATGTCCTCAATGGCAAGATTCTTGACCTCAAGGGGGAACAAAGGAGCTTCACCTAGTCTGTGGCAAGCAAACTTCCTCATTGCTTACAATAATTGAAACAAATGATGTCTGATAACGTCTCTGAAATTTGCAGATGGTTTGATTTATTTTTAGTTAAGGAATTTTTTTTATTTTGAAATTTCAAATAATATTTTTGGAAGAAGCAAGTTTGAAGAGAAGTGTTCTTTGTTTTTAACAAAATGAGAAATGATTTTAAAAGTTGAAACAATAGTCCTAAGAAATATTTATCTAGCATACTGTATTACAATTCATTTTTAAAGCCTTTTACATAAGCTTGGAAACAGATACTGCTGCTTTAAACTATTCTATTAATAATGAACATCTTAAAGGAGCATAATTTTTCTTCATGCTTGATGGGAAGTCTGGAAAAAATGGACTGCTTTAATAAATAGTAGAAAGATGTTGTGTTAGCATATATTCTGAATCGTTTTCAAAGTATGCAGAGCTCTAATGCAGAATACACACAGAATCAAGATTGACAGTCTTGTTTCCTGTTAATGGCAGCTTTTTTCAAAAGAAGATCTACAAACTTCCATTTCAACATGATATAAGTATCTTATGAATTACAACTGGTAACAATGCATAGAGAATTAATTTTGGAATAAAATTGTCTTGAAAAGTTCCTGGAAAATATTGAATCAGAAGGTTTTTTTTTTAAATTTACACACACACACACACAGGTACTGACCTGTGAAGCAGTAATTGTCTGAAGTTGCCACTTTGTGGATTAATGGTGAGGTGATGAGAAAGATAATTGCATAGCCTTGCCCCGATATAGGAAAAATTGGGGACAGAAGTAGCCTTTCAAAACAATCAGAAAAACAATCAGAATTAGACATTTTCAAAAGTTTTGTGATGGTTGTCTATTTTCTACTTATTTCAAATATAGGTAATATTCTGAATACTGTTTCAGGAAATTTAAATGGCAAACCTCTCTGGATTTTTGCTAAAACTTGATATCACAATAAAAACTAGATAGTCATTAATGGAACATTAAGGTTGTATTTGACTTCAGAATTGAATTTTGAGTTCTTACTTTTTCATAAAGAGACAGGAACCAAAAGATTGCTTAAGTGTTAGGCTATCCTTCCTTTAAACACACCTGAATTCTCCCAAATTATTAGTTCACTTCTTTATGAGAGCCAATTTGGTGTAGTGGTTAAGACACCAGGCTAGAAACCAAGAAATCATGAGTTCTAGTCCTGCTTTAGACACAAAGACAGATGACCTTGGGCCAGTTACCCTCTCTCAGCCTTAGAAAGCAGGCAAGGGGAAGCCAGATCTGAAATCTTGCAGGGACTTGTCTAGGAAATAGCAAGGAGTCAAAACAAAGCTCATGCACATATCTACATGAACATTACTAGCATCACCTAAACCTTTACTTAATAACAATTGTGAAGACACAATATTATCCAACATGTACACCAACAGCATAAAGTTTTTAATCTGTGCCCAGCATTATGAATTCCTGAAACATTTAATTTTTTACAGGTACACAGCTTCCTTTCCCTGAATGTCAATTTTTAATTGTTTTTAAATTGAGAAATGAAATTGCCCTTGCTATTTTCACTTTCCTTTAACGAAGAATAAAACCCACGCTGAAACAAAATAGAAATCAAATGCACTTAGCATAACGCACAACAGAATATTTACCAACATATGCTGCTTTGCAATCTCAAATAAGTTCCCTAGTGGATTCATATTCTCAATTCATAGTCTTTGTTCTCATTTTCAAAATATGCAGATGTCCTCAACTTTGGGATTTAAGTGTTCGTTTTCTACAATTACTACCTTCCAGTTAAGTATTATTTTGCCACATTTATGCAGCAGACGTTTTCCAAGATTAAAGAACCAATTTCTTAAATGATGTACCTACATAAGATAAATATATTTGTGCAAGTAGTCCTTGACTTACGACTGCTCACTTAGCAACTACTTGAAGTTCTAATGGACCTACTCAGGATACTTACAACCTGGATTCAAAGTTCCAACCGTCCCCACCCGTGGTCATATGACTAAACTTTGGGCACTTGGCAACTAGGCCACATTTACAGACATTTGCAGCATTCCACGGACACATGACCAGGGATAATAATAATAATAATGATGATGTTGGAAGGGACCTTGGAGGTCATCTAGTCCAACCGCCTGCTCAGGCAGGAAACCCTATACCATTTCAGACAAATAGCTGTCCAGTCTCTTCTTAAAAACTTCCAGTGTTGGAGCATTCACCACTTCTGGAGGCTTATGACAGTTTTGCCAAAAATCAGCATTTCCCGTTTATGGCAAAACCGTGCTTATAGCAAACTATTGATTTTTTTCAGTGACCACTGCAAAAAATATCATGAAATTGGGTTGATCACATGACTAACCCATTTTATCATGGTCATGAGTTACGACCGTGATTGGCAGGCTCCATTACTGTTATAATACGAGGACTACCTATATAGTAAAAGGCTAGAGAGATGTCATGCCTTTAGAATACTATTTTAAAATTTATCAATAAAAAACAATCTATTTCTGGTTTAATTATATAGATAGTAAGACAATATTAACAAACATCAGTGTTTTTTTATTATAAGAGATGCCAAATCAAGAAACCAAGACTGACTATCCTAATATCTGAAAGCATTGTAGAAAGCCAGCCTATTATTCGTTCATGGCACCTATGTACTCCTACCTAACTCCCCTCATAGAAACGAGGTTCAAAGGGGCATTTAAGCTATTGAGTACAACCCTCTGCTTAGATCAAGAATCCAAATTAAAATGCCCTTGACAGATGGCTGTCTAAATTCTTTCTGATCACATTCACAGAAAGCAGCTTAGATCTCCCTAGATAATCTGTTCTGGTCAAATTGTTTCCTAACATTCAATCTGAACCTGTTTTCTTTTAACATAAGACCATTATTCCATGCCTTGTACTCAGGACTGATAATAGGTTCCAACAGAAGAGAATATATGTAGCTCAGGGTTGAATTGTGGAATCCTTGGTGCTCTCTGTTTGCTTGCAGATGTCTCATCACATGACTAGAGAATGTAAACCGCTTATACAGAGCTGTAAAGCACTGAAGCGGTATATAAATGTAAGTACTATTGCTAATATCATTATCAACATCATATTAGTTAGTCAGTGATCACAGTATTAGCTAGTCGGCAAACAGTAAAGCGCCAAGAGCATCTACAACTCCAGAAAACAGGTTTTTGCTGCCTTCTGTGTAACACATCTTGATCATTTTCACTGTTTTTATTTGCACTGGCTTTCAGATTGTTCACATTTTTCTTAGGAGTCTAGAGCCCACAACAAGGCATTCTATTCAAAGTGAGACAATGAAATGATTATTTTGTATGACTGGAAATGATATTACTGTTGGTGTTTATTTTTTCTCAGCAAAATACTTTGCATCTTTATTGAATTCAATTTGTTTACATCCCTTTTCCCTACATCCCAAGATTGCCTTGGATACTAGTAATAATTTTCTCTGGAATTTAGCACATTCACATTTCTAGAACCTGATTTGAATAAGTAAAATTATGTTACTGCAATCACAGTATCCTAAATGAGATGAAGAACAACTTCTACCAGACTAAAGATTCCAATCATATATTTATTAAATTTATTGCCGCCCATCTCACTGTGGAAGCAATTCTGGGTAGCTTATAAATGTTAAAAGATGATATAAAACAATTAAGATTAAATAGAAACTAAAAATCAAGAGGACAGGTGACACAGAAGGGGATGGGTGGGGATCTTTTATCTATCCTGTCAGGAGATGGCAATCCCCCCAATCAGGACCCCAGACCATCCAGCTGAGCCAGACTTTAAGCCTCTTCCAGAAGGCCAGGCAGATGGGTCTGGACCTCACCTCTGACAAGAGAATATTGGAGAGGGCAGGGGCCACAGAAGGGTCTTCTCCGGGACCCCACGAGCCAAAATTCTTTGACAGACAGGATCTAAAATAGTCTTCTTCTGCTAAAGCAGGTCAGGCCAATCCCTTTGGAATGAGATAGCTCCTCAGATATCCTGCACACAAAGGGCTTTAAAGATATTAACCAACACCTTGAATTGGACTTGCAGTAGTGCAGCTCACCCAACAACAGTGTTATATGTGCTAGCCGAGGGGCCTCCAGAACTCTTTGTGCTGCTATGCTCTGCATCAGTTGTAGCTTCCAAATATTCTTCAATGTAGTGTGTGTTGTGGTCAACCAACTGAGAGATGACCAGGACATAGTGACTGCACACAAAGTCTCATGATACCAGAAAAAGATATAATGCTGGATACAATCCTGGTTTCTTTTTCCTGCCCTTTCTTAAAGAACTGGTAGCTGGCCTTTTCCTCGTCTCACTCTGCTAACTTCTATCCTGGCATTAGTCTATTAAGATGATTTTGTATTTCCATCTTTTGAAGTTTTAGCTTTCCTAGCTTTTATACCATTCACAAGTGTGAAAAAAAATCCCTTTTTCTCTTTGAGTCATTAGGGAATATGTTTATCTAATGACCAACCTATATGGCAGGTCCATTTGAAAACTACTCTCTGAAAACAATGATTGACATTCTTTGTAACTTTTCAAGTCACCAAAGGATCTAACTAACATCCCATCCATCCCATCTTCAACTAGGTTGCCAGTAAGAATATCATGGGATATTTTGTCAAATGCTTAGCTGAAGTCCTGATGCATTATGTCCATTCCATTTCCACCATCTACTAGGAAGATGGTGGAAGGATTCGCCTAGCACATTTGCTTGGCAATGATAGCATTGTTTTTGAGACATTAACATACTGGTTTAGAATTTGAATCAGAATCTTCCCAGATACTTTTTTCTCTTTTTGAAAACAGACATTGCATGGCTTTCCAGTCATTTGACGCTTCACACATTCTTCAGAATTTCTCAAAGATACTGAGAGACTTGGATAGATCATCATCCAGGTATTTCATGACACTAAGATGCAATCCACATGGGCTAAAAATCTGAACACAATTCAGAACCAGTAGGTATTCCCTTAACTCAAATTGAAATTTACACCTTTTACTACTTCTTTACAATTGCCTAATGGAATCCATATCCTCTTTTTTCAAAACAAGATAGAATAGATGCTGAATTTTGCTAGTCTGTTCATTGAGGGTTTGGTATATAGTTTTCTATTTTGAATCTATTTACAGAAGCTCTTTTTATTATTGTTAGCATCCTTCACTAAATTCAGATGAGTTTTGTGCTTTAGCCTTCTGGACACCATCTCTACAAAACTGGACTATCTCTATGCACTCTTTCTTGATGGTCAATTTCTTCTATCTACGTATCCTTGTGATTTTCAGATTCTGTAAAAAGCATTCTCAGCACTTTCATTTCTTCAACTATCTTTTTTTGGGAACTATTTACAATTTAATTTTAATAACTCAAATTTTAAGATTTCTCAGTCATCTTAAGTTCTATTTTCATATTACCTTCTCCATAATAAAATGCTATTATTATTATTATTATTATTATTATTATTATTATTACCCTATTATAATCCGTTTTCTTGACATCCTGAATATGAATGTGAGAGCTTTCAGCTTTAGTTTCCTTTAAAATCAATAATTTGCAAAATATATGGCTGTTTTCCCTGCATGTTTCTGTTACTTCTGCTTTATATACTAAAACTTTCCTTTGGTTAGATTCTAATCAAAAACAGCTGATTATCTGATGATTTTCTTCTAAAAAATGCCTAGAAGTTTACTAAACACTCTTTCCATTTATTTTCTTGGACAAAAATATTCTCTGTTATGCTAGATTGCAATATTCTTTCATATCAGGTGTTGAAGCAGATAAAGTACACAATTATTTTGCTGTTCAATATTCAAAAAATATGCTTCCCCTATTATTTTATATTGCACAGCAAAGCTTTGTTTTAATCTCAAAATCTCATTTGCTCTAAGCCTTTAATTATTTGAGGTAAAGGTTTGATTGCATTACTTGTTTACTAATTTTAAAGATTTATATGACTGTCCAATTTGCAAAAATGGGACTCTCAGAGGTATACAGCAATAAAATAAAAAATTACAATAACCATTAAAAGGTTATATAGTTGTCACACACCTGTTACACCTACAAGATGAACTCCATTCTGCCCCTAATGCCTAAGGAAAAACCCGGGTCTTCAAAATTTTCCTAAAGACTAGCAGGATTGTGGCTAGTTGAATCTTGGGGGTGGGTGGATAATTCCATAAGGCAGGTGTCAAAGCAGAGAAGTCCCACCTTCTAAGTCCCATGAGATGACTCTCTTTTAAGGAAGGGACCTGGAGCATGTGCACTCTGTTGAAGCAAGTTTGGATAGGCAGAAATGGGTTTTTCAAATAACTTGGTCTTGGGCCATGTATTCCCTTGATTTACAGAAATTTCTAACGCCATAGCCACCCAACACATTACCTGCTGATATATGAGTTCAACAAGTACTTGTAAAGCTTCATATGTAGTCACACAGCCATTTAGTATTTCTGCAAAATGTGCTATTTCAGTTTCAAAACAGGCTGGCTGCCCTGCAAGATGATTTAGAAAATCCTGCACATATTCTGTTGAAGTTGGATATCCATCACAGTCATCTTCTAAAGATTCCTAAAAATAATTATCAATTTGAATTGGTTAATTGTCATTAATTTATCCTTAAAATGTTCAATTTAGTATTCAAGGGTCCACTGGAATAACATTTATTGATTTTAAACATCTTAGTTTTTAAATCTATGTGACCAAGAAAAATTTGGGAATGAAATAGTTGTTCTTTTAAGAGTTGAATGCATTTCTTAATTTTTTTAAAAAATAAATTTATAAATTACTTTATTTAGGTGGAGCAGGTAGAGAGAAATTCTTAATACTTACAGAATGATTTAGGCTGTATCCTGATGGGTAAAATTCAGGAGCATTTACTGACAACTTTGACATTACCACTGGAGCCACAACCACCTGAGGTTTAGTTACTGCTGAGCCTGAATTTTTTTTCTCTGGTAATGATGCAGGTCTTGCTGGCTCTGAAAAAAATATACAAAACCCAATTAAATAGTTTTCATATGCTACACTATATGACAGTTTAAAACTACTGTTATCTGTTCTGGCAGTAGATAGATGCAGTCTGTCATTATAAATTACTAGCTCAGCAAATAATTACGAGATATGTAATTATAAAATATTATATAAATAAACTAATGAAATATATTAAGTGCATTTATTGAACAGGTGAACCTTCATATACGACAGGATGTTTGCCTTCCCTCCTTATATACCCTCAAAATCCACTAAAGAGTTGTTTTAAAGCACCTGGAATTAATCGAAATTGCTTCTGTAAACAGAAAAATAGTAAAATGGATTTCACTCATTGTTTTACTGTTTTTACTATGGATACTTCATCCCTAATGATAAATTCCTTCCAAGATATTTTACAATATTAAACTCAATAACAGTAAAAATCAATTAAAATTAAGAAGTACTGCCTCAGCAAAATGGTTTTGAAGCACTAGAAAGTCAGTAGGAAAAAAGTTTTCTGGAACAAGAAATGGTTTGATAGCACATCTAAATGAGGCAAGAACTCCTTGAAAGTTCTGTGACTCTGAAGCTACTGGTGAAAAAGTGCTTATCTGGTACCATCTGATCTGATATTTTCTAATGATTCTGTGAACAGAATCCCTGAATTAGATGGCAACTGTACTCAGATACTTTCTAATATCTGAATCTACTTTGTGAGAATGGTGAGGCATTTCTATTTCTCTACTCTTACCGTGTTGGTGGACTTTCTCCTAGCATATTTGTTTACTGATTCTGAATCTCTAAAAATGAGGGTGAGGCAGCAGCAATCTTCTTTAATTTTTTAAACAAAAAAAATTAACTATATGGGAATTGATAATCATCTGCCTTCCTTTTTTCCCCTATCAAATCCCACCCTGGGATGATAGTGTGAATTGTGAAAGTACAGTAGTGGGAGATCTGTGTCTGTCTGTCTGTCTGTCTGTCTGTCTGTCTGTCTGTCTGTCTGTCTGTCTGTCTATCTATCTATCTATCTATCTATCTATCTATCTATCTATCTATCTATCCTATCTAAACTTAAGCTGCATTTACTTGACTATATTCTCTGCACCAAAAGTGGCCAATCAGATGTCTTAAAGAAGATCATGAGCAGGACATGAAGATAATACCATTTTTCACTGTTGCTCCAGAACATATAATAAAGGCAGCTAACTGTAATTCATGTATGGACAAGACTAGTAGCCATTGATAGATATATTTTTCATGTATATTTTAATGTGATTTGCTTTTGATTTTAAATATTTCTCCATTTTTATTTTATAAACTACTGTTTAAATGTATAATTTAAAAAAAAGATTACGTTTTTCGATTGAGTTGAAATTATTACTTAATTTCAATCAGATTCTGCTCCTCTGACCCCTTTATACAATCTTGCATTAGCTTTCTCATACATATTTTTCCTTCCCATCTATTTTGCCACTCTGGCAAGATGACCCTAGTTCTCACCAGTAACACCATTCTGAAAACAAATGTAACAGATAAAATTACTAGCTGGAAACTCATCCTACATGTATTGTTTATTTTTAGAATTCAGTATAAGAATCTGTGGTAATTTAAATGAAAATTGCTATCAATCAGAAGAAAAGTTGTACTAATCTTATAGTCCAAGTTCCTAAGAGAAAATATTTCTTTGCAATTTTCAAATCAATGAAGTAGAATAAACCAGTGACCCTGACTCTAATCCAAACTTAACTGCAACATCTATAGCAGTTTTCAATCTTAAGAAAGTTATTGAGTTCTTCAGTATGAAATCTGCAACTCACATAGAAAAACACAATTTCAAAATGCCAAGTAATAGCTAATTTTATAACATTATCATCATCATTAATTCTGTTCACATACTGTTAAAGTACATAAAGTATAGAATCACTTCAAAATTACAAAATAAAATTATAGTGCATAATGATTTATGTTTATATAGTACAGCAAGGTAATGCAGCTCTTTTCCAACAGCATCTCAAAGACAAAACTGAGGAATTATTGGATAGGTGGAATATCTGGGTGATTACCTGAATCAAAATAACTTGTTCTTCCTACCTCCCCCAGAAAGCTGACTGGGGATTCTGTAATTCCAATCAAAGAGCACTAATCTGGGAAGGCTGTTTACACTGCTGTAGAATTGTTTAAAAGTAATAATACCCAATGGACTTCTCTGCCCTACAGCCTTCAACCTGTGTACATCTGATGTGGAGCCAGAAAACAGAAACAGAAGTAATGTTAGCTACTAATTGGGGCTGAGTGGAGAACAGCATCATGCATTTCTGCCAGCAATAGTATCTGTGTGGGGGTCATTCTTATACCAGAGCACCGATAATGTTACCTAGTATAGTTAATGAAATGTCTGCAAGAAAGCAACCAAGCTTGGAGAGCACCAAGGACCCCCACACAAGAATAAGCTAGAATAGAGGACTTTCCTTACATTTAAGTTATTAAGAGTAGTGGACTATTTTCCTAGTTTCAAGCAAAAATGCAAATGTTATTTTTTTGTTGCTGATTGAAACACCTGAGGTGTTTGAGTCCACACCCTCCCCTTACGAAAAGATAAACAGTCCAGGTAATATATACAGTAGTCCTCGAGTTATTATCATAATTGACCCCAAAATTTATGTTGCTAAGTGAGACATTTGTTAAGTGAGTTTACTCCATTTTATGATTTTTCTTGCCAAAGTTAAGTGATCATTGCATTTGTTAAGTTAGTAACATGGTTGTTAAGTGAATCTGGATTCCCCACTGACCTTGCTTGTCAGAAGGTTACAAAAGCTGATCACATGACCCTGGGACATTGCAACTGTCATAAATATGAGTCAGTTGCAAGCATCTGAATTTTGATCATGTGACCATGGGAATGCTGCAATGGTTGTTAAGTGTGAAAAACAGTCATACATCACTTTTTTCAGTGCTGTTGTAACTTTAAATGGTCACTAAATGAACTGTTGTAAACTGAGGATTACCTGTAATCACAAGGTAACAACATTTTTGTTTCAAAATGTTATCTCTTCTATCCAAGTACAGATCCTTATACTGGCTTTAAATATTATTTAAAATATACTGAGACCCTTCAATCTTGGAAGAAAAAAAGCCAAAACTTGAGCATCCTTCCAATATGCAAGAAGATATGAATATTTATTAAAATGAATGGGTAAAGAGTACAAATAGGATGGATCAAGAGCAATACTGTATGTTATTTATTTATGTATGTATGTATGTATGTATGTATGTATGTATGTATGTATGTATTTGATTTGTGTGCTAACACCATCTCGTCTAGAGGCAACTCTAGGCTACTTACAAACATTAAAAACCGATAAACATTAAAATGATAAAACAAAACATTAATAATAACCAAAAGATGTATGGAATATAGATACTATTTTCTGAAAAACTTAGCAATCAATTTGTTTTAACTGTATTTAATACAGCACATTATCTCATGATTATTTTAATTGTGCCATAAATATGTATGTTATTTTACAGAATTGAATAAACTATCCTTCCCAAGGAATATTTTTTTTCTAGAGCAGGCATTTATTGAAAATATACATTCTGACTTTTTCATTCACATTTGTAGCTTGATAACATTCTTTTAAAGTACAAAAATGAGGAAGTCTGCGTCATTTCTGTTTTAATTTTTGATCTTAAAACTATTGAGAGCTATGAAAGGAGGTCTAGAACATTTTCAAGCGAACAAATCAAATTTATTTAGAAACAAGCTAATGAATTCAATAGAATTTGCTTCTCAACCAGAGTGCAACATGTAAATGGCTTTTACCTGGCTTGCTATTTATTCTTAGTGTCTTATTATGTATTGTAAAATTGCTTTAAATATAAATTCAGTTTATGTCTTTTACATGCTAAGAACAGAATTACTTGGTTATATTATTTTTTTGGATTGATTAAACATAATTGCAGTAAGTTTAATGCAACCCTAAACTTGAGTATTCTGAATTAAGTTTAGGATTTTTTTTTGTATTTTTATTCACATGTTTAGGATTTCACAGAGCCAACAATATACAAATTTGAAAATAAATTCTACTAATTGAGAAAAACAATGTCCAACCGGCATAAAATTTAGCATCAGGAAGGCAAAAAATAAAAATAAGTTATTTAGTCCTTTATTTAACAGTCTTCATATTCAAATTCCCATGAAATACAGGCATGGTTTTATGCATTGAAAAGGTCAAATTATACATACCTCACTAGGTAATACCAGAAGTTACACAAATATAGATCAATGACACATTGTTACAACCCTACATATCTTTTCTAGGGCATTTTAAAGGGCAATCTAAACAGAGGAAAGAATAAAATAACCAACTGTAAGTGAAGCCAGTCAGTTCTAGATATATTTTCCTACAATATGTATAGCTATATCCTCTCACCACTAATAAAATGAGGTTATATAGTCTTTCATAAGTTAATAATTCAATTTATTGAAACCTTTCAGGTGAGAATTCAGATTTCCATGAGCAGAGATGTTTCACAAAGATGACTAACAACTACAACTTATAATCGTTTATTCAGAAGTCCCATTATATTCACTGATATTTAAACGAAACCAAAATTGCTCCCTAATATTTGCAATAAACATTCGAAGCTTACGTTTGGATCCAATCTGATGAAACTGCCAAATTTCACACAAATTGCACACCGATGTCAAAATCCCCAACTTAAATGCGGTTTGATGGTACTGTGTAAGGACTACAGCAAAAGCCGACCCGGCTGAAATTAGGGAGACTGCGTGTTTTATTTATTTGAAAAGCAGAGATACCTGGGCGTAGTATTTTGCCACACAACTGCAGAGATCCGAGAAGACTCGAAACTGAGGAATGTGACGAGTAACTTACATGGCGTTAGGACACATTTGAAGCAGACGGAAGAAGGCGAGAATGCACAATGGTGCATTAAGGAGGGACGGGGGGTGGGGGTGGGATGGTCTTTTTTCTCACCGGGCTCGCCTTCTCTTGGGGACGGGCAAGCGGGAAACGAGACCGGGCTGAGCCACCCCTTTTCCTCAACCAAGCCAGAAACTGGGCGCTAGGAGTGAAGGAGACCCGGGGGCGACGGCAAATGAAGCGACGGAACGCAGTACCTGAGGCGGCGTTGCTGCCCGGAGGTGCAGTCTTGGGGGGCCGGAGAGGCTCCTGAGGACGCGAGAAATCCTGCTTGAGGAGCTGCTCGGGAGTCCCGAAACTGCCGCCGCCGCCGCCGATTCCCAAGCGAGCCCCGCTTTCCGGGGCCAATGGGGCACCACCCCCTCGGCCTCGACCAGCGCCGGGAGCCCGGTCGAAGCCGTTGTCAGACATATCAGCTTCCAAGCCTCTCTTCAAGTCCTGCCGAATGGAGGGGGGGGGCAGCAGCAGGGTCCGGGCCGCCCGCCGCCCTTGCCCCACCGCTCTCTGTCCTCCCCCTCCGGTTCCCCGCTTCTGGTCGCACACACGCCGACGAACGAGAAGCAGCGCTTTCTCCTCACCCCTCTAAGCGAGCCCCCCCTTTTGCCCGCAGCGCCTCCCAGCGCTCCGGAGGCCTCTCCCAGGACGTCGTCATAACAAACCAGGACTAGCAACCCGGCGAATATCTTACTGTACGGTACCGTACACAAGCAAGTCTCTCCGGCTGCTGAGCTCGCAGCGCCCACTGTTGGCACAGCGGAGGAAGCTTCTTCCGGTCTCGAGGCTGCCACTGCCGCACAACGCGAGCCGATGTTTGCTGAATGCGCTAACGGGGCTGCTGGTTCCATAAGAACGCTTAGCTACTGTACATCAGACTAAGCCAGAACAAAACGAAGCCTTATGGTTAAAACTTTTTGCTAAATTTTCGGTGGACTGAGTTTGTTGCAGGTTGTTCAGTGAAACAATAGAGAGGGTAGGAGAAAACAAAGAAAGGAGAAAATAAAAGGCAATAAAGCCTGACAAATTTAGATTTTTATGTGTGTGTGTGTGTGTGTGTGTGTGAATTAGGGGTATCAATGCAATACATCTCTACCACCTTTACAAAGTGGCCTTTCAAAAGTATTTAGCTAAAATGGGTTAGGTTTGATTTATAAAAATTCTTCATTGGCATTTGGAATTCCATTTCCTCTTGTTATTGCTTGATCAACAAACCATTATGAAAACAATTGTTTTTACACAGGGCAGTGGTGGGATTCAGCCGGTTCACACCATGTCGGCAGAACCGGTAGCTATTTTTTTGGTGCCCAGGCCCAGAACGGACTTCTAGAAGCGGCATCCACACGGAAACGGTTGTTCACATATTTGAATCCCACCACTGACATGGGCAAGAAAGATGTCTTTCAAACAATTTGACAAATTTTCTTGCTTTTTTTCATACAATGTCTCCCCCCCAAGCCTTTTTTTAAAATGTCATGATATATATGTTCGCACAGCATTAAACAACATATACATTGGTTTTTATATTTGCATATTTTTGTCAAATATAAACAAGAAAATGTAATATGTGAATCCGTGGACACTGTAATGCTGATTAATTATAGTCGGAGTGGCAGATAGTGGAATCAGTTATCTCCTGCTCTTTGCAACATATATGCTATAAACCTACTTTGAAGGTATCATAGAACAGGGATTCTAATATAACACAAAGGCTACACAAAGCAGCCATGTGCATCTTAAATCCTTGCCAATCAGATCCTGATGTTAATACTGAACTATTCCAACAGTCTTCCAATGTTCTTATGGCACCCCTTCTTAAAAGATATTCTATCCTTCACAAAAACTTAAAGGGATTGGTCTGGTTTTGCTCAGAAGAAGGACCACTAGGAAAACTACTTTTTCACATTCTTGCCAAGTTAACTACAGGTAGTCCTTGTTTTACAACATTTGTTTAGAGATTGTTTGAAGTTCTAACGGCACTAAAAAAAAAGTGACTTACAACTATCACAGCACCCCCACGGTCATATAATCAAAATGTGGGCGCTTGGCAACTAGCATGTATTTAAAATGGTTGCAGCATTCTGGGTCATGTGATCACCATTTGTGACCTTCCCAGCAAAGTCAATGGTAAACCGCATTCCCTAATGACTGCATGATTCATTCTTAGCAACTGTATGATTTGTTGAACTATAGTGACCAAACACCCCCATAAAATCTGGTATAACTCACTTAACAACCATCTTGCCTAGCATTGCCAATCTTGATCCCCATTGTGGTCGTAAGTCAAGAACTACTTGTATAGGCACGTTCATGAAGTAACTGGGAATCAAATTCAATTTGAATAATATTTTCTTTATTACTATTATTATTTGAAGATGACTTTTCCCATTGCTGAACAACTTGTATACTGTAACTTGGATATTTTAACATTTATCTTAAATCTATCTTTTGATGTTTAAAAAGCAAGAAACAATTGTGCTTTGGTCCGAGCTTGCTTAAAGCCAACACCAACATTGATTGGAGATAATTTCTTCAAGTAATAGTGTAAGCCTAAGAATGTTCCATCTTTACTAAAACAAGCCTTTGTCTCATTATGTTCAGAGATACTCCTAGCAAAAATGCAACCAGGAAGCAACCCTATCATCTTTAATGAAAAATGAACCCTACCATGCTTCATTAAGGCTATTCCATGGAACAATTCAGAGGATCTTGTTACTGCAAGCATGTATCCTTTGGTCTTATAGTTTCAACACACAGACTGGTTTACGGATTGCCCTACATCATAACGTGTGTTTTTGATGCAATCTGATTGTATTCATATTGCAAAAACCAAAGCTGGCTCATGGATTGAGACTGTAGTCTCGTATTATCATATTTTGTTCCACTTGGGCAACATAGATTAAATGCTAAAGCAAGAAAGCAAACAAACCAGCCCATAAAAATCTGGCTTATGTTTGAGATATCTGATGATCTCATTCTTTTGCTTTCTACCTCTGTCATTTCAAAGGCAAGGCCTTCCAGTCTTGTTCTTAATTTTTCTTATGGCTAGTCTGTCTTTTTTTCCCTTATACCTGACTCATATTTGCACCTAGATTTATAATGTGAGGATAGAAATATATAGTGTTATCACTGGGCCCATATATACTTTGCTATCTTATATTCTGTGTGCTAGAATTTAGATTCCAGGAAGATGATGCCTCTTAGAATGATTTGATGAATGACCGACAATATATAAGCAAAAGGTTCATTATCTGCTTTACATATAAAAAAATGCAGTCCGACAGTTTTAGAAACAACAGTTTTAGAAACAATTCAGGCACTATTTATTATTTATTTGCTATTTTATACTCTATCTTTTTGGCAGATTATTATTGTATTACTTTTGGAATAATTTTTGAAATAAGTTTAACCTAATAGATACTGGAAAGATGTTATATTAGAATAATATACTTCTTGCTTGCAGGTTTATAATCCCCCAAACAGGGAAATGAATGGGGAGACAGGGGGAAACAGGTATAGATATCATTTTAAAAAACTGGGCAAGTTCCTACAACAATCTCAGTTCACTGATAGGAGACATTTTTATTCCAACACAACCTGTTTAGAATTTTAGCCATTTTCTGCATTTCTAATCCAATAATAGCTCATAATTCAGAATGCTCAGCACTGCATTTTTCTTGATTTTGTTATTATAATCTATTTGTAGAATTATAACATTGGAAGTACTCTAGATGTCAATTCTTCTCTGAGAACAAGATTCATTTAAGCATTTCTAGCAGATGAGCATCTAGCCTTTGAAAGCATTCAGGGAACACTTTGCCTCTTCATATTCCACCCTATTTTACTGGCTGACAGCTTGTAATATCAGAAAGTTTTTCCTGATGGCTACCAGTTTTAGTTTTGGTCTTCCTCCCTGGGCAACAAAGAATAAGTCAGCTCCATCTTTTACATGACAGATATTTAAAGATGGCTATCATATTTCAATCTCTTCTATTGAAGAGTTTTCACTGATCCTGTTAGGGTTTGCTTCTAAGCCATTCATCCTTTTGGTAATACGCTTTTAAACAAACTCCAATATGCCACTCCCTTTTTTTGAACTTTACTGCCGAGAACCAATATTGCAAATGAGGTCTGACTAGAGCAGACTAGAGTGGCACAATTACTTTCCATGAACTGAATTCGATGCTCTTGTTAATGCACTTGAAGATAGTAGCTGCATCATACTGCTAGCCCACAGTTCATGTTTTTGTTACCCAAATGCAGAACTTTACAATCTCCTTACTAAATTCCATCCTGTCAATTTCAATTGCTCAAGCCTGACTAGAAATAGTCCGATTTACAACCATTCATTTAGCAACCATTTGAAGTTACAACAGCACTGAAAAAAGTGACTTAATGATGGGTCCTTAACCATTGCATGTGATCAAAATTTAGGCATAGTTCAGAGCTGTCAAACTCGCAATGTCACGTGATGTGTTGCAACATGTCGCAACTCTTTTTCCATTGCCGGAAATGGGGTGGGCACGGTTTCGGCATGATGATCCGGCCGATGGGCTGGCAGTTTGACACCCCTGCCATAGCCTCCTGGGGTCATGTGATTGTCATTTGTGACATTCCTAGCATGGGGAAAATCAGATTTGCTTAACAACTGCATGATTCATTTAACAACTGACTGCTTAACAACCATGGTAAAAAAGATCAGAAAATGGGGTGCAACTCATTTAACAGCTGCCTTGCTTAGCAGTGGGAATATTGATTGCAGTTGTAAGTCAAGGATTACCACTTCAAGTTTAAAAATACTCCCTCTCTTCTGAAGCCTTAGTCACCTCTCCCAGCTTTTTGTCTAGTATAACCAAGAACTTCTAAAGTAGCCTTTGGGTTAGGCTTACAAATTAAGGTTATTTCCTCACTAGTGATCTATATTCAGCTATTACTGAACAGAGCATAGCAGGCCTTCTATTTCCAACATGAGGATTGGGTTAGGACATATTATACCAGCAGATACTTTAAGTCCCTAATGAGGAAATGGGCAAAAAGACAACAATGTAGTTTGACTTAGCATATTACTTGTTCTAGTTATTGGAATTTGTAATTCATGGTTTATGGCATGTGTAAAAAACAAAATATTATGGTTTATATGCACTATTTTTTTCATTTCAGCTTCATTTTATCAGTTCAAAGGCTATCAGCTTTAGAGGTGGGGTTTTTTTTTTAGGTGGCGCAGCAGTTAGAGTGCAGTACTGCAGGCCACTTTAGCTGACTGTGTTCAGCAGGTCAGCAGTTCAAATCTCACTGGCTCAAGGTTGACTCAGCCTTCCATCCTTCCGGGGTAGGTAAAATGAGGACCCAGATTGTTGGGGGCAATGTAATTATATATATACATTGCTTACTGGTGTACACCGCTTAGAGAGTGCTTGCACTTAAAAGCGGTATATAAGTCTCATAAATAAATAAATAAATAAACTAAAGCTAGGACTTCATTAGGAAATGTCAATCTCTGAACACGTTAACATAGGGAGAGAATCATCTGATTGGATCACATAAATCGTAGGAAAACGATTTTAAGATACTTTCAACTTGGGTTTCACCTTCAGGCGAGGAAAGTGGCAATGAATTCTTTTCTGAAACGTTATTTTTTGCGCGGTAGTCGCGGTTCTGTAATAAATCGGTTCTTTTCAAACTGGTACGCTTTAAAAGCGCTCCATTCGTCCCTAAGTAGCCAAGCAAATGAAGGGAATCACCCCTCACAAGGAGGGTTTTGGCTTGTTGACTTGAGCCGCCGTCTCCCGATTTCAGCAAAGCACTCCTGCTGAACTAAAAAACAAGCCAGACGAAGGCACAGAGCTCTGGAGTGGAAACACCTCAAGGATTTCTTCTGCAGGAAGAAAAGGGGAGTGATTTCCCCCCCACTCCCTCCTGCCTTACCCAGAGAAGTCTTCCTCCTCCTTTAAGTCTTCCCCGAAGAAGCCACTTCCTACTCTACCGCAAAGACGGTGACAGACCTAAAACGCTTCTCTTCCCTTTCGCTGTGTAAACTGCAGAGCGAGCCCATGCGCACTCGGGCGGGCGCAAAAAGGAAAAGCAAGCCGCGCCGCCCCCTCGCTTTGAAAGAGCGTGACGTCGCCTCCCGCCCTTCCCTAACTCGCTTGGCCGAGGTTGGGCTCCCCTCCAGCCTTGCGTCGCCGGACGGGAGGCTCTTGCTCGCCCGGCCGCCCCGCCCTCTTGGCCCGGACCTCGCGCTGGTGGCGGCGGCGGCGGCAGCTCTCGGCTTCCCGTCTCGAGCCGGCTAGGGCGAGCCGGGGAGGTCGGCACAGTTGCCGCCGCATTTGCAAGGCTGGGCGCAGAGGCGGTAGGTAGTCTTGCTCTCGCCTCTCTCCCCCTCTTTACGCCTTGGGGAGGGGAGGCCGGCCTGGGGCAGACCGTTGCTCGCTGCGGATGCCCTGGGGTGGGGACGAAAGCGGTTCGTCCTTTAATCCCCCGCGCGAGGGCCATCCCGCCGGCAAGCAGCCTTGAGGTTTTCTGGAGGATTTTCCTTGCACTCGTTGCATCTCCCCCCAGTGCAGCCGAGCGCCCACCAGAGAGGTACCGGGAGGGGAGGGAGAAGCGATCGCAGGAAAACCTCAGCCGTCTCCTGACTGTGACCGAGCGCAGGACAAAGAGGTTAGTTGTCCCTTTCCCGAGCCAGTTGTCGTTCATGCGCATAGCAACGCGGGTTCGGGCAAAGGAGGGGTCACAACCTGCGGTGACTTTACCCCCTTCCTCCAAGTTGCAGAAGGAGGTAAAACAGCTGCTTCCCAAGCTGCCCTCTTGTTGGATGCTGGACGGAGTCCGGGATCGGTCTTCTCGCGAGGAGGCTCCTTTTATGGTCCAAGAAGTGGAGCTTGTCCTGCCTGCTAAGTTCTGTAGAAAAAACCTCGGTGGGGAATCTCTGGGGCGCGTCTGCCCTCTCTGGGCTGCAGGGTGGGAAGGTCTGGTATCCCCACGGTCCGTGCAGAAAATAGGAATGTGCGCGAGCAGTCACCAGAAATATAAAAATCGGCGTGCCTTCTAAAGAAACAAAAGTTATTTCGGTACCACTAAAGGAGAATATTAATTTCAGTTGTTAGGAAGTGGGAGATGAAAAACCAGGTAGCAGGAATCTGACTTTATGCAGTTTGAATCGGTGAATGCTGCAGGTTGCAAAACAAGAACACCCCACCCTGGAAGAGAAAGTCATTAGGTTTTCTCGCGGATAGAGGGCAACTAAAGTCAACCACGGTCGTGTTTCTGTTACGTGGAGGTCAAACATGCAGTGGGAATGGTGGCAACGACCTTGGTTGAGTCTTTTATCAGCCAATATTTAGTGAGGTTTTTAAGCACAGTGAGTAGAAGGGGCTGTGGGAAGAGGAAGACTTAGGATTCTTCAACAACTTTTGAGTTTAGAGAGTCACACCCTTTTAAGTTTTGAGATAAATAGGAGGACCTATTTTTAAATTTTGCTTTAATGAATACTGTCTGTGAAACTGTCTTGACTTCAAAAGGGGCAGAACTCTCAAAATGTCTTGGAAGATGTTAAAAGTTTTTAGTTGGGCTGTACCTCCATGCATACTGCTTTGGTGGATGCCTTTGTAGAACTGTGAATGTGTCTTGGATTGAATGTAGATACTTCTGCTATTCAGAGCTAATGCAGACAGTCCTGCACCCCAGCAAGACAGGAAAAGGAAATATGTGCCTTCATGCTATTAGAAATGCAGATGAGAAAAGTGTAATAGGGTGTATTTCTTCCAGTAATTCTTAGTGCATAACCAGGAATTAGTGACCTAAAAATGTACACTAATTGCTGTCTCTATCCCCATCTCTTAACTGCAATGTTCAGAATGAAAAAAAGTACAAAAAAAGTTGTCCTAAAGCTTATCAACTTTTTAAAAATACTGTTCAAAAATTCATGAAGATGAGCTTTAGATGGTATTTCTAATTGGAAGTAAGCTTTTGAAGTAAACAGAATGTGTTACATATTTAGACCCCATAAATGAAAAACTAATTCTAAATTTGCAAGTACATTCCAAATAACTCCAAAAACAGTGACAGAATTTTTTTTTTTTAAAAATATATATTTGGATGGTTTAAAGATTAAAGCACGCCAAAACTTCTGTTTCAAGCTTCTGTTTAAAAAGTTGGGGGACTTGAAACAGATTGGACAGTGACCGCAGATGGTGTAAGTTAAAAGTTCACAAACTAAGGCAGCTTTTACAAATCAATGAATGAACTTGGCACCTGTTGGAGATTGACAGAAGCTGTATCCAGTCAGCTATGCCTAGGCAGATTATGCACATCCTTGTCGTTAGCAGACCAGCGATTGGAGTTTCCTTTGAATGAAGAATTCAGCTTCCTGCATTTGCGGAAGATTTGGTAATGCCTCATTAGTCAGGGCACTAATGTAGGTTATTGATTTAAGGGAATTCTTTTATCTGCCAGCATGTCACTCTTGAGAGCATAGAGGACTACAAATGATGTTAATTTTCTCTTTGCTGGAAAGAATATGTGTTCTGAATGTGTGAGTACGTGGCAGAAGTCTGTTTTTCAGTGTTAGTGTTTTCTATTTATAGCAGTTTCCTTAGAAACTGTTCATGTTGCTGTTGGAAATGGTTACACATATATTTCTAGTTGAAATACTATTACTGTATCTCATTGTTGGGTAGCTATATAATATTAGCCAGCTTACAGTGAACTTATTTTTTAAATGAAAATGTCCATGATTTGATTTATTTTGAAAGCTTAGAATAATTATGCATTTTCAATGCTCAAGCATTTTTATTAGGATGTTTAATAAATTGTGGTAGGTGCATGTTGTATATTGCTAAATATGCAGTAGTTGTTGATATATAGGTTATCCCAAAAGCAAAACTTTTATTCGCTATCATGCTAGCTTGTGTATTGCTTGAATTTATTGTGGGTATCAGTATACTGGAATGCTAGACTCCACTTTAAAATCTTTTGAATGTTTGTATGGTTAGATTTATGTGTTAACCATTCCAATGATGAAGATTATAATTACTGTACCTAATATAAAATGCTTGCATTGGCAGTTGTATGAAACATACTTTAGAATAGCTCAACAGATCTGTGCTATTGGCTACCAACTATGTACAGTTGGTGTTTTTTTTTTGAAAATTCTTCATTGTTTATCAGCCTTTGTTTTCATGGTTGCAATTTGTTTAATCTCCATGTTTTGGGTTATATGCAGTCCAGGTAGATAACCAAAAATACACAGCTGAAGGTTAATAAAGAGATGAAATTTCATCCCTTTCCTAACATAGATAAAATACACAATTTGAAATATTGTATTTATTGCAACCAACAAGTACTCTTTTGATACTTTAAATTATTGCATTTGCTTTTGAGGTGCAGCTGTGTAAGTAATTTAAATACAAAAATGTAGTCCTAATCTCTGAAGTAGTATAACTTTACATGCACGCACGCACACACACACATTTAAATTATCATGAATCACTCTTGGTTTCTTTACTAAAAATTAGGAGGAAATTTCAAAGGGTTCAGACACTAATCTTTCCTATTTTTATTTGGCAACGGTACTTTGAACTCTGTACTTTGTACTTGAAGAATATGTCCTCTATCAACTCTCCTATTGAAATTAGATGGAATTACACTACATAATTGTGTATATGTTAGCTTAAATTTTAACACTGATGCAGTGTTAAGTCATGATGAAATGCAGTCTTTGTTGTGCTTTGGCAATCATGTTCTGTACATTTTCTCAAAGTGTGTATTTAAAACAATTACTAAATCATACGTATTTATGGAGAAAAGATTTATTTATCTTGTAAAATTTGCCGAACAGATTTTAAAGTCCAAATCTATTTTGTAATCTTAAACTGGGCTTTTTTTTAGCAATGACCCATACTTTTCAAGTTTCATGTGTTGTTATTTGCTAAGTTGAATTTTTTTTTTTTGTATACAGGCAGCTGTGCAACTTCCTAACGTGTAATCTTGCTTGCTGGATTTGGGCAATATGGCAGGCATCCTGCGTACAGTTGTTACTAATTTCTCCGAACCCCTTTTCAACAATGTGATATGCCATAAGGTGAAGATTGCGAAGGTGCCAAGCTTGCGGACATTCCTTACCCACCAGGTTCTCTGGTGTAAAGCAGCTATCAAACCAGGTACGTCAACTAGTTCTCAGAATTTTAGTTTAATTCTTTCTAGGGTTAAAACATACGAAGGCCACTTACAATATATTTTTCTGGCCTTCCAGCATCTATCACACTAATAATATAAGAAAAAGAATCCAGGATTCAACTGTATTCTACAAGAATCATCGTTCCTTTAAAGATAAGCAGCAGACTTTGGCTATGTTCTAATAGAATTTCTGAAACTTGATTCACTTATTGCGCTAGAAGAGTAGGATGTGAAAGGCCTAGACATTTACACCCTAAAAAGAAAGACAACTTTTTTGTATTCCATCTCTAGAAGGTAACTGCAGAAATGTATTCAATATCACACCTTTATTATTTTTACAAATAACTCAAGGCAGCAAACATATCCATCACACCTTCCTCGTCCTATTTTCCTCACAAGAACAACCCTGTGAGTTGGGTTAGACTGAGAGAGAATGACTGACCCAAAATCACCCAATTGGCTTTTGTGGCTAAGATGGGACTTGAACTCAAATAATTGAATAATAGGCATTAGTAATCTGCAGGGCTCCTTCACCATATCTCAGTTCAGAAGGTTACCTTGGAGAGAGGGTGGGAAATTAATTTTCCCAAGGGGCCATGAAAAATTTGGACTGTTGTGGAAGACTGAACCAATAGGAGTGTGAAGGTTCATAGGCATGTACACATGCATATATGTGAATCAAAATAAGGGCAAAGAAGTTGTATTTTGTGTGTGATGTACATTTATTTATGTTTGATTTCTAATTTCTGATTGACCTTATGCTGGCTGGACAGGACAGCCAAAGGGCCAGATATGGCCCCAGGTCTGTCAAATTCCTAGGTCTGGTTTGAAGGATATAAGCTGGGTGTGTGCATATACTCTTTACAATTATGGTAGTGATGTACTTTCAGAGGAAAACAAAACACTCCATTTCAGAATTAGCATTTAGAACTTATTCAAGAGCCCTGTCTATATTAATGTATGTCTTTCAGAGGTTCTTTGTACTACATAAGCTCTTGTTCTTTGATTGTAACAACTGATACTTTGTTAACAAAGACAGTAGTTCTCCTTGAGAGTATGTGCTTCAGAAATGTGTATGTGAATTAACTAATCTGTTAGCCAATTATCTAGAACAGTTCCTAGATGAATGGGTTGTTAGATAGTTACACAATACAGTCTTATTGCAAACTGGAGAATCTCCTGTATTAATGAAATGGGTATGTGTCCTTGCATGTTTTATAATTTAGCTGCAGTGGCAGAATTTCTCAGAGCACATTTTTGCACTTATGTGTTTTAAAGTGATTTATATAGTTTGGCATGGGACCTACAAAAATATTCATTCATTTTCCTACTGTTGTTTATTGCTTTCCCCAATCTAGTCCCAGATGTATTGCAATTGTAGCTCTCATTGTTTGCTTGGGATTGAAAGAGAAATGGCACCATAGTCCTTGATTTATAATCATTCGTTTAGTGACTGTTGAAAGTTACAACAGCAGTGGAAAAGAGATGCTGGACTTTGCATTTATGCAGCATCCTAAGGTTATGTGATTGCCATTTGTGATCTTCCCAGCTGCCTTCTAACAAGCAAAGTCAATGGGGGAAGACAGATTTGCTTAATGACTGCAAGATTCATGTAACCATGTCAAAAATCATAAAATTGGGCATGATTCACTTAACTGTCATGGTTCCGACAGATGAAACTCTTCAAAAGAACTTTGAGGCATTGTTTACCTTAAAGAATCTTTTATTTGAGAAACAAAGTATCGGCACTACATAGTTGAAATCAGAAACTAAATTCCCCTCCTCTGGATACAAAGTAACAAAGTGCAATTCCCTCCTCCAATAAACCGTCATCAATCACATTTCCCAATTAGCTTGAAGTGTGGGCTTTCTCCCCAGCTCTTCAGCCCGCCAATACACTATCAGCTGTGGACCTAATGTCCTTGGGTTCCCACAACTAAGTTATTATGACTAACTGGACTCTCATCCCTATTCCTCCTCCCAGCAGCAACTAATTCTAAAAGCAGTAGAGAAAATGGTTGCATTTCCATCTGTTGTCAAAGCAAGAACATCCGATGTTAGCAGTGTTGACATTAACCATGTTGATTAGTAACAAATTCTGGTCCAGATTGTGGTCATATGTCAAGGATTACCTGAACAACTAAAGTGTAGCTTTAAGTTTTTTCCCATCTCTATTTTGCAATAGGAAATATGACATTTTTGTTTATATACTACAGTTCTGTAAGTACTCTTACCATGTTTGAATAGTCTGTTAATGAAATAATATAGGGATATATTAATATATCCAGTCCGAATGCACATATGAAAAATTATAGGGATCACTGTTTTTATTATTGTGCTATTTTCTGAGATAGTAAATGGGAAGGAATGGTGAAAGCTATCTTGAATGTGGAGGATTGCCTCTCGGCTATGAAAACTTCACGCTGACTAAATTTGCAAGCTGTCAACAAGTTTATTAAATCACTGATGCCTTAAGAGATTACATTTTTTTCCAGTACAGAATATATTCAGTAATGTACTAAGAAATATTTTCTTGGCATTTTTAAAATAATAGGAACTCCATATGAAATATAACAAGAGCCTTACGGCTTCATACATTTTGGAAAATTACTCCATACTTGATTAATGTGATTACACCAGCCTGCTTTTTAAAATCCATTAAATTAAGTTATATAAGTGGAACAAAAAAATTACAGTCTCACCTATCAACATTTTTGAAGAATTTATGGGAGCTTTGCAAAGTTTAATCTACAAAGTTAAAAGCATATTAGTGAATATTTTAGATCTTATTTGAGAAACGTGATTCTCTCGAACACTCAAGGTACTGTATGAAAGTGAAGTTTATGTAAATGAATCTACTTAATGTAACTGTATAACTTATTACTTGTCCGAATAGACTTCTAAGTACTGTAATACTGCATCTCACTATCAGTTTTCATCAAGCCAGTATTGATGTTGGTTTCCAATTGGTGGCAAAGACTGATGATGAGCACCATCGTATTTTATGTATTTAAGTATTTATTAAATTTATATAATGTCCCTCACACTCAGGCGACTCTGGGCAGACTTTTGAAATAATATAATTATAATTCACTTTTTAAGGAAGCCAGAAGTTAACTAAGGAATTTTGGACATTGTGTGGATTTGGGCTGGGTAACTTTCTATGTGGCCGAAAGTCATTGTTTTAGTTTCAAAATCTTTTTTCACTCTGTAAGAATGATTTTGTTGTGACCATGGTAACAAAACCAAAACTTGTCCAATTGAAATTTTCAAACTTCCATTAATGTGCATCTGCATAGACCTGTGTGTTTGGTTCATCCATGGAGCTACAGATAGATGATAAGTACTGTATTTGACTCTCATAGAATTTCACCTCTGTTTTTTGCCTCTTAGTATAAAATACATAAGAAATAATTGCATGAGTGAAAGTCAGTTGGTTTGTCATAAGTAGGCAACATAATCCAGGAATAGAAGGAACAGAAAAATGTGGTAGTACTTATGTAACCTGCAAAAAAAAGACTCACCCCATCCCAAACTGAGACATTGGTAATGTTTTCTGCAGAAAATAATGCTGAGGAATCTCGGCAGACTGATAAAGAGTGTGCCTAAAAATGATGTTTTAATGAAAAAACAAAGAATTCAGAAGAAACCATATTAGTGAAGAGTCAGGATGTTTTCTTAGGTATGGTGCAGTGAGGAGTGCAACATGTAATCCTAAAAAATGCTGAGCTGGTGAAATTGCTGCGGAATGATTTGGTATTGAGTACCAGCAGATAAATGCAGAATTCCAGAAAAAAGAGTCAGCAAAACCCACTTTTAGTTACTCAGTACGAAATTTTGTAACTATAATAGCAACTTCAGTCACTGGAGCATATTTGCTTTGTTAAAGGAAATTGTTTTCTTTGAAGAGCATTTACATTCTGTAGCCAGAAAACAATGGGGGTGGTATTTTCTTCTGATTAAATCACTGACAGACATGTTTATACACACGCTTAGAATGCCTGGAAAGATGCCTGTCTGGAGATTCTCTTCCTTGAAGTTTGGCACATGGCAGGAGGAGGAGGAGGAGGAGGAGGAGGAGGGGGAATGGTGGCTGTCAATGACTAAGGCTAGCTCAAATAAAAGGCATGGAGAATAAAGCGAAAGTGAAAATTAATGGTATACTAGTCTTTTGAAATGGATCCCCTGCTTTTTTCTTTCTTTAAGTAAAAAAAAAAAATTGAAAAACCCAGGGTTTTCAGTAATTTAATGGTGCAGAAAGTATTAATACTTAATTTTTGCCAGTGGCTAATACGAAAAGTTTAAGATCAAGAAAGTGAATTATCTGCATACAACCCCCCCTCCCTTTTTACACTAAAAGTTTCATTTAGAATTTTGAGAGCATTTGGTAGGTACAAGTAATCCTCAACTTATGACCACAGTTGGGATTGCAACTTCTGTCACTAAGCGGTGTGGTTGAGTGAATTGCACCTGATTTTATTACCTTTTTTTTAAAACCATAGTCTTTAAGGGAATCACACAGTTAAGTAAATCTTAAGCAAATGGTCATAAATCACTTTTGACAACACTGTTATACATTTGAACATTTAATGCATGTTTGCAAGTCTAGCATGACCTGTGCAGTCAGAAAAAGACTTCTTGGAAGACTTTGAGATCTTAAACGAGATCTGCTAATTTTTTTCTCCTGTTCCATTGCTCCTGCTATGGGACTCAAGGGCATTTCACACAAAAATACGTTGCTAGAAATTAGTCCTTTGTCCTTAGAATACTAGCTTTCACTTATATCTTTTTTCAGTTAAGAGATTACGGGTAGTCCTCAACTTACAAAACTCCATTTAGTGACCGAAGTTACAGTGGCAATGAAAAAAGTGACGTGTCACTATTTTTCACCCTTACCACTGCTAGAGTATCCCCATGGTCATATGATCAAAATTCATATTTATGACAGTTGCAGTGTCTCGGGGTCATATGATCAATTTTGGCGAACCTTCTTACAAGCAGTCAATGGGGAAGCCAGATTCACTTAACAATGGCAATGATTCCCTTAACAACTGTGGCAAGAAAGCTTGTAAAATGGAATAAAATTCACTTCACTGTCTCACTTAGCAACAGAAATTTTGGGCTCAATTGTGGTTGTAAGTCAAATCAGAAAAATCAATGGCTCTATTGCCTGGCATGATGAGAGTTACATTCTGGCTCACCTGAAAGTTATTGTGTTGGAGGAACTGTGGCTAAAATTAGTCTTCTAATAAATCAATGCACGAAATCCATTTTTATTTGTTACCTATATAGCACCTAACCTACAGTTATTACACACCCTTCAGGATCTATGATTACTTTTGGAATTTATCTAAGCCTATCATTCATCCAGTGGCTGATTGCCAGCCTTCACAGCTTATTTTTTTTCTTTTTTTTTCTTTTTTTTTTTTTGTATTTCTTTTATGTTGCTTCAGCTCTTTAAGGTAATATATCTATATTGAAAATTGTGTCCTTGTGTATTTTTAATAGGTCTTTTTTCCTTTGAACTATAGGTAAATTTGATTGCAAGGATATCTGTTTCCTCCGTGTTATTCATTGCATTCTTTTGTCTTCATTTCATTTTGCTGTATTAGGCTATTTCCTTCTCTTCCTGCAGAACTCTGAATAAAGGCGAGCAGCTTCTAGAGCTGTTGGTATAGTAAACCAATTATGAGGTACACATTTTGCAGTTTTATTCCCCACCTTAGCATTAGCAAGTAATCTTTACAACAATTTCTTTTATAGAATTCCTAGTTTAGAATTTTCATTACTAATATAAGTGGCTGTGATTGGTTAGTCTCTCTATTTTTATCTTGTGGAAGACCACTCAAGGAGTCACGATGAAGGTCAACAAAGCCAGCTACAGGTAGTCCTCGACTTACGACCATAATTCAGCCCCAGATTTCTGTTGTTAAATGCGACATTTGTTAAGTGAGTTTTACCTCATTTTATGACCACAGTTGTTAAGTGAATCAGTTGATAAGTTGGTAGCCCAGTTGTTAAGTGAATCTGACTTTCCCATTGACTTTACTTGTCCAAATATAATAATAATAATAATAATAATGATAAAGTTGGAGGTCATCTAGTCCTATCCCCTGCTCAGGCAGGAAACCCTATACCATATGGCTGTCTAGTTTCTTCTTAAAAACTTCCAGTGTTGGAGCATTCACCGCTTCTGGAGGCAGTTTGTTCCACTGGTTAATTGTTCTAACTGTCAAGAAGTTTCTCCTTAGTTCTAGGTTGCTTCTCTCTTTGGTTAGTTTCCACCCGTTGCTTCTTGTCCTGCCCTCAGGCGCTTTGGAAAAAAACTTGCAAAAGGGGATCACGTGACCTTGGGACACAGCAATGGTCATAAGTATGAACCAGTTGCCAAGCATCTGAATTTCGATCACATGATCATGGGGATGCTACAATGGTTGTAACCTTTGAAAAATGGTGATAAGTCACTTTTTTCAGTGCGGTTGTAACTTTGAATGGTCACTGAATGAACTGTTGTAAGTTGAGAACTACCTGTACTTGCCAGCCTTCTTTCAGTTCTGTATTTCTGCTTAATTGTGAGATTTTTAAAAGTAACTGAGGTTTATTAATTGGACTGATTCCAGAAAAAAATGTTTTTATCTATATTTTTAATAGCTGTGGTTTTTATATCACTTTAACAATAGTTAGCTTTGTAAATAATGCAACACAGTTAAAGGGGGTTCCTGATGAATCAAATGGGAATAACTTCCCATATCTTTTTTTGGCTTGTTATATACGAGAAGTATTGCCTTTGTGCTTATTCTTCCTTCAGAGAAATATATACCAAGAAAAATATCCATAGAGAGTATTAAGAATCTACATAGTAATATCCTTAGTTTGTACATTGCTGCTTGAATTTTGGAATAAAATTAAATTGTGTGGGAAAGCGGACTTGTGTGTGCTTCTTCAGCTATACTAATAAATGCATGCTTAAGATAGAGCTCTTAAGAAATTTGAACTACTTCCTAAGAAGTAGTCAATTCTTGTTGCCTTGATTAATTACAGGTAGTCCTTGACTTATGATCAGTTAATGACCCTTCAAAATTATGACAGTTGTTAAGCAAGTGGCCTATTATATGACCTTTTTTGCCACAGCTGTAAAGCAAAGCACTGCAGTTGTTAAGTGACTCCTGCGGGTTCTTAAGTGAATTGTGGTTGTTAAGTGAATTTGGTTTCCCCCATTGATCAGTGGGAAGGTTATAAATGGTGATCACATGACCTCCGACGCATTGCAACTGTCATAAATACATGCCAGTTGCCAAGCTTCTAAATTTTAATCATGTGACCATGAAGATGCTGCAATCGTTGTGTTAAAAATGGTCATAAGTCATTTTTTTCAGTGCTGTTGTAACTTTGGAAGGTCACTAAACGAACTGTTGTAAGTTGAGGATTACTATATCTCCTATAAGCAAGTGGTACTCTGTGATGGCACCCATATTGTAGGCAGGATCCCTCCATAGGTGATAGCTGCAGTTCCCACTGTTGTTTTCTATTCTGTGTATGCTTATCCAGCACAAAATTTGTGCTGGGACTTTCCTTTTGATGAAAGATAAAGGGGTCAGGGACACTGCACTTGCTTCTTCAACAGAACCAATTATTGTTAAATATCACCATGCATTCTGCATCTGCTCTTTCAAAGGTGACAGAACAGGAATTAGTGTTCAGTTAGCAGAGCTAATAAGTAGATGTTGATTCACAGCTATTCATACCTCATCTTTAATCATGTATACTGTATATAGTTGGATTATTTGATGGATCTGCTGTCTTCAAGGCATGCTTAACCTCTCTCATACTCATAAGGGTTAATTCCACAGTGTGTATACCGAATAGTTTTAATATGTATCACTTTACTATCACAAATTAACTTGAACCTTCACAGAGTTATACATAAAAGAATCTTTATAGCAAGCAAGAGACTAATGTCTCTAAAGCCCTCTTTTTGTGGTTCCCAAACCTCTTGACTTTATGCTCAAAACTGACATCTTGAGATGGCAAAGATGGAATATTGAAGTGTAAACTAACCCCCCCCCCAAAAAAAAACTATCAACTCTAGTTATAAAACAAAATCCTGACTTTGCTCACATCACACATTATGGACCTTTTCCTCCTCTCTCTCTGGAATCTCCCCCACTCCACCCCTCCAAAAATAAATGAAACTCTCAGCTACTAAATAATTACCCATGGTTGCTTCCTGATTGTTGGCACCCTAGGGCTATTATCATGTATGTGAGTCAAGAATAGCTTTCACAGTATTTGGGGCTATATTGATGTTGATAGACTCTCAGATGAAACATTGCTGTAGGTCCCTTCCTTTAAATGTGGTCACGTTACGGGACCTTGGAGACATGCTTTCTTTGTAACCCTTTTTGGAGTAGCATCCTACTTCAATTTTGAGAATTATAGGAGTTGGAGATCCATTACATTTGAATTTGTCAGGTAGGGGAAGACTTGAATAATAAAATGGTAAAATATGCATGATGTTCCTAAAATTTATGGTTTTTGAAATAAGAATGCTTTAAATGCTTATTAAAAATTGATTTACAATACATGCAAATAATACTTTTGCATAGGATATTATAATATGTTCAGGCTTTTAACTGTTAGTTCATTTGATGTTTATATTTCTGCCTTTATAGGTATTCCATATAAGGAACTGAGTATAGGTGTTCCAAAGGAGATCTTTCAAAATGAGAAAAGGATTGCCTTGTCACCAGCTGGAGTTCAAGCACTGGTTAAGCAGGGTTTTAATGTTATTGTGGAGTCAAATGCAGGAGAGACGGCTAAGTTCTCTGATGACCACTATAGACAGGCTGGGGCACGGATTCAGGGCACCAGGGAAGTACTGGCTTCTGACATAGTTCTCAAGGTAATAATTATCTTTTTATTACTACTCCTATTAGATCATACTCTTCAAGTTTTTCTTCAAAAAGAAATGTTTCTCCACTTTGTTGTTGCCAGAGAGGTTGAGAGTTATTGCTCTTTTATTGTTTTTATAGTATGTTTTTATCCATGAAGCTGTCTGAGTCACTGAGAATGGGTTGGGCAGTCATATAAATTTTCTTAAATAAATAAAAAATAAAATTTGAAGACTAGTTAATAAGGATGCACAAAAAAAATTTCAAATTCAAAATGAGTAAAATTTATGGAAGAAGTTTGTCTTCATGTAAAAAAGTTGCAGGGATCCTACAAACACAATCTTAGCATATTTAAAATCATTACGGCTCAGGTATTGCTTATCTATAAGAGACTCATTTAAGGAAACAGGATAAATCTCTATTAATGAAGGATTAGGTGGGACAAATTTATCTCATAGATATTTCTACCACATTTTTGGAATTGGTAGGAACACATAGGCACTAATAGGAGACAAAGCAGTATCAGCTTCCTAAATGTAAGTAGATAGAAGGCTACAGGTGTTTAATGTAAAAACCAGACATGTGAAAGAGGAATTTCAAGAAAACTCATTTGAATTCAGAGAGCCTGCATATACAGTAGACCTATGGGATAAGGAATATTAAAGGAAGCCAGTGCGGCTCTGTCATTAGTTTATCCTTAAAGTGCTGGTCAGTAAACATGGAATAAATAACAGGGAACCTGTCTGACAATGAAAATGCATGAAGTCTGTCAAAACAAATTTAAGTATATACAGGCAGTCCTCACTTTATTGACTATTCAAAGTTATGATGACATTGAAAAAGTAAATTTATAACTGATTGTCACACTTACAACCATTGTAATATTCCCATAGTCAAGTGATTGCCATTTGTGTGCTTCACAGCAGGCTTCGGATGCGCAAAATTAGTGGAGAAGCAAGCAGTAAAATCACAGATCATGATCACATGATGTCTCGTTTAACGATGAGATCTAGTTGTGGTGGTTAAGTGAGGATTACCTATATATATGCATTATGGAAAACTTTTTGAATTCAATTTGTTAAAATCATTAAGTTCAAAAAAGTTGATTTGCATTTGAAATTAATCGTTCTGATCATTTTGGAAGCATTTCCAGCTCAAAACATGTCCCAAGTAGTGGAAATAGCCATTTCAAATGGGAAGCAACAGTTTCAAATATCCAAAGCCATTTTGAACTCAGGAAGTAGCCATGTTGAATTCAAAAGTTTGATTTTGAAAAATTGCACATACCAAGGTGTCAAGCATACCTAATGCTCCTGCTTCTTATTTTTCTCACAACTACCCTATGAGGTAGGTTTGGCTGAGAAAGAGTGATTGGTCCACAGTCACCCAGCCATCTTTCACACTTAAGGTGGGACTAGAATTCAGAATCTCCTGGTTTCTAGGTCAGCACCTTAACCACTACATCATAATGGCTCTCTATGTAAGAGACTTGATACATAATCGCTATGTATCCTCATATAGGACTTGCTATGCTGCTAGCTATTGGGAACTGCGGGCCTATCCTAATTCTTCAAACATCATCTTAAAATACTATTTGCATAGTACACAGTGTATTTTGATCTATGGTGGTATAAATCATAGCATTTGAGTTATAAAATTCAGTCACTTTACTAGCTAGATTTATTATTTGAAATCTTTCACCAGCAATACATTTTAAAAACATGTATAGCATTAGAAATTCTGACACAGGTTTCTTTGGAACTAGGACAAAGCGCATCTGATAAAGCTTTGTCTTGTGCAGAGAGCAAACTTTAGTTGTTGAAGAGCAGATGCAGTTATTAGGCAAACTGTTGACTGAGCAAAGTCCATTTTGCTGTTACTTTTCAGTGGCAACACTGTGTTAACATTCTGCTTCCGCAGACTGAAACGTTAATTATGATTAATTGTCCTTCCCTACCCTTCTGTCTCCATTGACAGTAGGAATGCTGGTTTTGAGTGAAAATAAATGATTCAAAACAAGAAGGAGTAAAGTTGGTGAAAGCTATATAGTTAGATAATTTATTATTTTATATAGTATTATCTAGCCAGCATGGGTGGCTGGGGAATTCTGGGAGTTGAAGTTCACTCACCTTAAATTAGTTTAAGTTGAGAAACACTAATCTAAAAAAAATATCAAATAAAATAATAACTAGCTAACTAGCAACAATCTGACTCCTTGTTTTGAATCATCGATTTTCACTTAAAATCAGCATTCCTGATGAGAAATGATCTTGAGAAATACTCAACTAGACCAATTCTTCTTAAAATAGGGATAATTACTGCAAGGATAGTTTGGGCGTATCCTAGTAGTAATGGAGCAATTTGTAATTGCTTGTTTGTGAGTGAGGATCCAGTTTGTAAGTTGTTTTTGTAAAACTGTGTGATTTTTTTTGGGGGGGGGAGGTTGAGGTTAGTGATGCTATTCAAGACTGGGAGAAGGATAATTAGGTCAATCAGCTTAAGAACCACTGACTTACATTGGTGGACAAAATCTGCCCAGGAATTCTGTTAAGATATTTTTTCAGGTGATTAGGTGATTATTAGGTGATCTCAGGAATGGAACTCTTCATCTTTTGTTATCATGACACAGCAAGTGTTACATTAACTAACAGCAGAGTCTTCGGGAAGAGGCATTATAAAGCATGACTTGGCAACTAGGATGCCCCAACTTAAAAAATATGCAAGACATTGTCCTTGTCCAGTAGCTCATGCTCTCCAAAACATTACAAGGTCATTTCTGAAATATTTTGTGAGAGATTTATAGCCCTAAGGGGAGAGTTCAGAACGAACCATGAATCATTGACTAAAAACTTACCTACGGTACCATTAACTAAAGGAATTTCCTTTTGTAAAGAAAGGAAAAAAATCTTCCACACCATTAGCAACTGTATAGATTCTGGATTCTTCTTTTCCAATATCCTTTTGCATTGGAAGAACATTTCTAGATAACCGAAATAGGGCTCCCCCCCCCCGTACAATTGGCAGACGTTGCAGCCCCATCCAGCTGAGATGGGCCTGCAGTATAGGAAGAAAGAATTAAACGTTCTCTGTCCTCCTCCTTGTCTCCTTATCCAGCGCCAGTTCTTATGGTGTTTCTTTTTTAAACAAATAGCTAATTGCTATTTTGAATCTTAATCCCATTTAGGACTTACATGGCTTAATATAATGATTTATAAATTGGTAATGTTAATAAATTATATGTAATAATGTAACTATTAAGCATAAAATTATTAAATAGCATTTTATTTATTTGTTTACCGCGTTTGTAGGCCTATTCCACTTAGAGTTCACAAAATAAATACAGCAATTAGAACAAAGCATGAAATGCTTTTAAAAATTAATGTATTAGAATATTGCTTTATTTTACTTTATTTTCATTCTTGCATTATGAGTTTTTGTGATTTACTCTTTTTCTACTCTTCTCTAGGTGAGGGCTCCAATGTTTAATTCTGTACTTGGTGTCCACGAGATTGAGCTTTTAAAATCACATAGTACTCTGATCAGTTTTATCTATCCAGCTCAAAACCCAGATCTGCTGAACAAATTAGCAGAAAAAAACACCACCGTCTTGGCTATGGATCAGGTTCCACGTGTGACCATTGCTCAGGGATATGATGCTCTCAGCTCTATGGCCAACATTGCTGGGTATGATGCCACATATTTTTTTTTACTCATTTGCAGAATTCTACTAATAAAGAATTTGAGATGGAGTGGAATTCATATTTCAGACAATGCATGCTTTCCTCTTCAGTGAGCAGAACAAATTCATTGCCCTTAAGCTGACAAATTCATTGCCCTTAAGCTGTTGTCCAGACAGAGAACAAAGAAATTCCAGTTTCTAACAATTGGAAAGTTCTCAGAAAGTAAGGCCTACAGATAATCCTCAACTTATGACCACAATTGAGCCCAAAGTTTCTGTTGCTAAGTAAAACATTTAAGAGAGCTTTGCCCATTTTATGAACTTTCTTGCCACAGTTGTGAAGTGAATCAGTTGTTTAGTGAATTTGGCTTCTCCGTTGACTTTGCTTGTCAGAAGGTCACAAAAAGTGATCATATGATCCCCAGGACACTGCAATCGTCATGATTACATCCAATTGCCAAGCATCTGAATTTGGATCACTTGACTGTGGAGATGCTACAACAGTCATAAATGTGAAAAATGGTCATAAGTCACTTTTTTCATTGCTGTTGTAACTTTGAATGGTCACTATAGAATGGTTGTAAGTCAAGGACTACCTGTATTTTAGTTCAAAGGAAGAACAAAAATTTAAAGCCATTATTTATTTATTATTTATTAATCAAATTTATATAGGGTCCCATTTCACAAGTTTCTCATATCCACTAGTTGAAGAAGGACTTCTCTGTGATCAAGAAATCTGAAACTGAAGAAGGAGACATGCTACAAGAGAAGCAGAAAAGTAAAAATGGTGCAGTGCTGTAAACAAATCTGTTTATGTTAGATTAACATTCATCTTGTCCTCTAGGACTTGAAGGTGGTTTCTCAGCATTTCCTCATAACCATCATTTAAAGTGGGCTCAAAATAGCAGTTAGCCTGACGTTTTGCTGTGAGCTTCTGTAGCTGATGGTGTGTTTCCACGGACTTAACCTCCCTGTACGTGAACTGCTTTGTCAGGCTGACTGAAGCAGGACTCATATTTTGATATCTGGAGCAATTGAAGCATACAGAATTGATGGCAAACAGAATTTTGTGTCAGTGACAATTTATTTTTCACAATTAGTAGCTGTGCTTGAGCATGATTCTCTCATTCCATGATTTGCATTGTGTCCAGCTTTCTGATGACCAGTTGCGACCCATTCTTACTTTCACTTGTCAGATTCATTTGAATTATCCTTTATACCAGAGGTCCCCAACCTTTGGGGCACCAGGGACTGGTTCTGTGGAGAAAGGTTTTTCCGTGGACTGGAGAGTGTGTGGTTTTGTGTGCTGCCTGTATCCCACGGATGGGGCTTTGCTTGTTTGTGCAGACCGGTTGCTGGCATGCTGTGGCCTGGTATCAGTCCACGGACCAGGGGTTGGGGACCCCTTCTTTATGCTATGTTGGTTATGTGAATGGGAACAGAGGGTAGATGGGTAGATCAGCAAATGCTACTCTCTGAAGCCACACACAGAAACCATACTATATCTATGGAAAAATGTAAATGCAATAATACTGATGGCTGGTCTTCCTTCTTTTAACAGTTACAAGGCAGTTGTACTTGCAGCTAATCATTTTGGTTGCTTTTTCACCGGTCAGATCACGGCAGCAGGCAAAGTTCCTCCAGCTAAGGTATGTGTGGGAAAAATGGGTAATGAATCAATCATAAGCAGGTAGCAATGCTCTTTGTGCCTTCATATGCTGATTATAATCTCTTTTAGTGAGTTTTCTTCTCCAGAGACTCTGTTTAACCTTTCCCTAATAAATCAAATGTAATTTCTTTTGATGTTGGCAGTGGTTTGTTGAATTGTAATGAATAATGAGTAGTTTACAAATCTCTCTCAAACTAAAGTTTAAGATATGCAGATTATAAAATTAATATACAATCTGGCTTACTGCTGCTGGTAAATAGTAAAATGTCTGTCATTTCTTCATGTTAATAACTTTGTCTGATGAACTGCTATTATGGATAGGATGATTCTGTAATTTTAATCTTGACTTCAGGCTTAATAACATGACTAGTCCAGTCATTAGCATCATAGCTAAAATAATTTTCTAAAGTGATATGTTTCATTGCAGTCCTGTACAGAGCCATGCAATCTTTTGTAATATTTGTGTTCTATTACTACAATTACAAAATATAATCTGCTAGTATTGGATTTTCTACATTATCTCTTCCAAAGTGGAAGATAATCACATCCATTCTGGACTATGTTTTAAAATATTAAATGATTTTGTCATGTGCTGCCCTGTTCTTCAGTATTACTATAAAAGTACAGACAGTAGCACCAAAATCTACTGAAGGAGGAGAAGAGTAAATTCCGTTCTTCCCAGCTAACAGAGAAATTAGTTACCTTGGCACTCAGAAACTATCTGATATCTGTTAATGATAACATAATTCTTGCCAAGAATGCTGAAAATTCTTCTCCAGGTTTCACAAATAGTTTCTTGCAAACAAGTATGGAAAGCATGATTCAGCATCCGGTGAAGCAAGCTTTCATTCTTTATAGTGATGAAAAATAAAGTTCAGATTTGTAAAAAAAAGTCTGGCAAAACCTCTTTAGTCTAAAGATAAGCCCGATCAAAAGTGATGTTTTCTCTCCGTGTCAATCAGGAGGAGGATAAATTAGGCATGCAGGGTTACAGTGAAAGGTAGCATGATGTGATGTTCTACAGAATTAAAGCAATTCAGTATGATTACTTTCTTGCTTTCTTTTTTCCTCCTAATTATTGTTCCACAATTGCAAACTGCACTGGGCTTTTTAAAAGGTTTTTCCTCCATTAAATTCTTTTTTAAAGACATGTTTGTAATTTTGAAAAAAGTTGTGGTTCCTGTAAGAATACTTGCATTTTTTTATTGTGTAACCCAGTAGACTTGTTACATGTCCACAAATGTTCCAAGTCCAATTCCTCTGGAATCCCATTGACACTTGCCTAATGCCAATTTAGTGCTGACAGTTAGTTGACTAGATTCTGGTGTATAGGCTTGAGCAATAAATCAACTGGAACTTAATGTGTGGTCCTGATTCTTCGCAGTTGACAAGAGTACGATGGAAATTGTTTAGGCCATTTCTAGATGTGACTAAAGAAATTAGATTTTTAAACCAGTGCTGTTTATTGTTTGTATTATGGAATCAAAAGAATGAGGCATATGACTGTTTCAGAAATCTTTATTTTTAAATACTTATTCAAGTTTTCTGAAGCTGGGTAATCAACTGGAAATCAGACATTCCACTATGGAAAAATTCAACAGTACTTGTATTGATTGCTAATTTTTCCCCCAGCAAAATCCTTAAGGGTTGGATAACTGATATTCAATACTATTGATTGGCTAGTATTTTTCTTTTCAAGAAGCTTTATGTTCTTAGGCAAACATGTGCTGTTGGATGCTACTTAAAACCATCCTATATCTTCACTCTATGTTGAGTCATGCCAGCCATTTAGTATTTGCAATTTAGATTGGTATAAGATATTATAATTCTTTGTTTGGATGTAGGTTCTGATCATTGGAGGTGGAGTTGCTGGATTAGCATCTGCAGGAACAGCTAAATCAATGGGAGCTGTAGTTCGTGGATTTGATACCAGGTAGACATATATGAATCTTAAAGATTTATTTATTTATTTATTTTGTTCCTTCCTGTCACTGTTGATTCCTGGCAACTGTCTGAATTAATCCCTGCAATTTTCTTGGCAAGGTTTTCAGAAGTGGTTTGCAGTTGATACCTTCCTAGGTCTGAGAAGGTGTCACTAGCCAAAGATTACCCATCTGCTTTTGTGCCCAAGGTGGGATTAGAACTCAGAATCTTCCAGTTTCTAGCATGGTGTCTTAACCACTACGTCCAAATGGTTCTCAAATTTTATTAGTTACTAATTCATTTGCATTCTGTTGTTCCTCAAGGACAATCAGAACAGCTTGCAAAGAGTTTATTTCCATTTCTTCTTAAAATAAATTTTTGGCTTTTTTTCGGAATTATTGAATAGCCCAAGTACTATGACTGAGCACCACTATACTACATGGTGTAAGGAATAATTCAAGCTTTTAAATTTTTCTGAGATACATCTTAATAATTTACATAAGATTTTGGAGTAAAGGAATATCATCTTGATTTATTTTTGGAAATACAAACTCATTCATGAAGTGGGGTTGCTACTATTATGGTTCCTGTAAGAATGCTTGCATTTTTTATTGTGTAACCTAGTAATTCTGTGTTTATAATGGTACTAATATAGTCATGCACCTGACTAGCTGTTTGTGTTTCAAGCAAAGCTGTAGAAGAGACAGATGTAGTCAAGAGACAACTCAGCCTAGAATTTCAAGTTTTATTACATCCCTATGAGATTAAGAAAGCAAGTAACTTCAGGCATTTTCTCTGTACTGAAATAATTCTTATGTGACAAACTCATCATCACTTTAGTTACACATCTGAATTCATCCCAAGCTTCTATTGGAGGTCATTTTTAAGGGAAAATATGATTTTCTAGTTTGAAGTCACCTGTATAGAATTATTTCTGGTATTAATGTTCTGTATATTATTTGCCCTTTTCCTTGTTATTAAAGAGTTTGCTTTATTTTCTACTTGGCAGAGCTGCTGCATTAGAACAATTTAAATCATTGGGTGCTGAGCCTTTGGAAGTTGACATGAAGGAATCTGGGGAAGGCCAAGGAGGATATGCAAAAGAGATGTCCAAAGAATTTATTGAAGCTGAAATGAAACTCTTTGCTAAACAGTGTGAAGAAGTTGATATCATTATTACAACAGCACTTATTCCCGGTATATACATTCATTTTTCTCTAGAATGTTTGACTGAAGTAATAATCTTTGCTCCAACTCATATTGAAGAAAATAAGTTAAAGGGCAGGAATTTATTGACTGTAGTTCTGGAATGGTGACTGACATGATTTTGTTTCTCAACAAGGTGGTGAGTTTTGCACTATGTAGCAGGTTTGTGGTCCAAATGGCCCCCTCCATGTTTATACAGGTAGTCCATGGGTTATGACAAAATGGAGTCTGTCTATCACAGTCGTAACTCATGATAGTCATAAAGTGAGTTGTCTTTTTACAGTTTTTTACAGTTAATCACCACAATCATTAAGTTAACTCGCTCTCATTAACCAAACACTGCAGTTGTTAAGCAAACCAATGGTTTGCTATGGGCACCGTATTACTGAAAAGCAGAACTAAATACCAGTTTCCAGAAAACCGTCATAAAATGCAGTAATTTGACTGGGATGCTGTAACATGCCCAAAATAAGGTCATGTGACTGGTGGGGACTGTTGGCACATTGACTCCATAAGTACCTCTCAGGTAGGTTTTTTGAAGCTTGAAATGGTTACCAGTTGTAAGTCAAGGACTACCTATAAGTTTATGTAAGTAAGACAGATTCTCTGGAAAAAGCTTAAGTGTTCTTTTTATCTAGAGAAAAATTATAGAACAGGTTATTAAGTACAGCTTACAACTTTAGAATATTGTTTTTTGTCTTTTCAGGTAAAAAAGCTCCGATCCTCTTTCGAAAAGATATGATTGAATTGATGAAGGAAGGGTCAGTAGTTGTAGATCTAGCTGCTGAAGCAGGGGGAAATATTGAAACTACGAAGCCAGATGAACTCTATGTTCACAAGGTAGCTTTGTCAGGTTCTTTATAGCTGTACTTTTAAAGTATAAAATAAGGAGTTCCTAACCTAACTCTTCCAACATAGTGCTCTGTGAAGTGGTTATTCCCTAATATTTCTTGTCTCCAAATATTTAGGATGCTGAATATGGTAGTTATCTCATACTTAAACTTAGTAAGTTTCCTTACTTTGTTTACTCACAGCTAAGTGGAACAAATGTGCAACAGATTTGTTTTAGTCAATATTGGTAAAATGTTTAATATAGTTGGTGTTCCGTAGGCAGACACATGCGATATAACTACTTGGGTTTGCTAACAAGTTGTCCTCAGTCTATGACTATTACATTCAGCAGTCTTTCAAAGTTATGACAGTGAATGGTGGTTATGATCAGTCCTTGGAGTTCCAGCTGTCCTAGCACACTGTGGTCATCGATTCACTCTTATGATTGGTTGCAGTGCCCTGTGATCAGATGATCACCATTTGCAATCTTCCTTGCCGGCTTCCCCAGAATGTCAATGAGAAAGTCAACAGGGAAGTTGCAGGTTGGTGGGCTAAGTTTCCACACTCCATTCCTCCCCCAACCCCTTTGCACTTACACAATGCTGGCCACTTGCATATCTCTGTCCACCCTCCCCAGCCCATCTCTGTCATAGCTTTGTGTGCTGTCCCTTGCTGCACCCTTGCATGCCTTCTGTGATGCATCTCTTTAGTGTACTCTTAGGCACCCTCTCCAACCCACACCACACTCTCCCTGATTCTCATCTCACCCTCTGAGCCACACTGCATCTCTCCCCACCTCCATGCACCATTTTGCTTCCTCCTCCACTTGACACCCACTTGCAGTTTCCAGCTGGCTTTCCTTCTCAATTTGATTGTGGGAAGCCAGCAGGAAGTTGCCTCACCTAATGGACTGTCGGAGTCAGTTAACAACTACAGCTGGGACTGCAGCAGTTGCCTTCACTAAGTGATTCAGTCATGCTTTATGATTGCATAAAGCTTAGCTATGGAAATTGTGGTCCCAATTGCCATTATGAGTTGAGGACTACCTTTATTTCCTTGTACTTTTTTCAGATAAATTGTGCTATAAATAAATAGGCCCATGAAAATAGATAAAATAACAATATAAAAGCACAAAGTATGTTAATTCAGGTTTTTGTAATTTAATGAATAACTTTTGTTTAAAAATATGTCAAGGTATCCTAATTGAGCTCCTAAACTAGATTTGATAGAAGACTTTCAGACATGGCTAGATTACAATCTTGATTGTAAGGAAGAATAAAGCTATTCACAACAGTTAATTGCCTGAAGATATAAATTCCTTTTATAGCTTCAGTATTTCAACTTAATAGCTTCTTCCTCCTGGTTTTCTGAAATAATAGATACTTGTTGTTCTTGGAGGCCTTGAAACCAAGTTACTCTGTGTTTACTTAACAGTCAACTTCATCCTAAAAATCACTGCTTCTCACCTTAACCCTTATATTTGTTAATCAGGGTTGGCCTATGGACATGGAAGATGCCCCATATACACTCAGAAATTGCTTTCAAAAAGTTAATAGGAAAACAGTTGCTTTATTTATGTCAACATTTATGTCATGACTAGATTTAGATTTTGAAGAAATGGATTTTCTTTTTCCTTTTCTTCCCACAAATTATTTTTAAGTTTATTTAATCATATGTACAAATATATGACAAAGGGCATGTAGAACTTTAGTATCTTCTGGAAAAGTTAGATACGTTAGGCCTGTAACCCTGAAAAATTGGCCCCAGGCAGCAGCAACAATATTGGACAAAGTAGATAAAGAATCTGACTTGGCATAAAGCCCTTTCTTATGTTCTTTCATCTATATTTTTGTTGTCTACAGGGGATCACGCATATAGGTTACACAGACCTGCCCAGCAGAATGGCAACCCAAGCTAGTACCTTGTATTCAAATAACATCACAAAGCTCTTGAAAGCCATCAGCCCAGATAAAGAAAACTTTTATTTTAACATAAAGGATGAATTTGATTATGGTACTCTTGACCACGTTGTTAGAGGAACAGTGGTAATAAAGGTAAAGGGCTCTTTTTTTCTGAAGCTGAGGATGTATATTTTATTTAAGTAATATTGTTTATAGCTCTGCATTTGAATTTCCTGTGAGTGAAATATAGTCATTCCCATTTTGAAATGTATTTTGCAAGGAAAGTAGCTTATTTTTCATTTATTATTTAAAATTAATATTGGTAATGAATATTGTTGATATGCTATTTGGTTAGGATCTTTGACTTCAGAAGGATTAAAATATGGATTGCTAGTTTTTATGCTTGAAAAATCCCTTTTAGGTGGTCATTATAACTTTTATTTATTTATTTGATTTCTGTAGCCACATATCTCAAATGACTTTGGGCAGCATACACTGTAAACATGTAAAAATAAAACAGTAAATATACATGATGACCAAGTAAAATTGGCGACAGGGAACTTCCCATACAACATTTTTGGTTACATATTTCTCCTTTCCTTTTAACTCAGTTGAATAAGAAAAAGAAGGATATGACCGGTATAAAGAGTTCAGACATGGTAGGCAAAGAAAATCTGTGTGCATCTGGGTATTAGACAAAATTAATGAGAAAAATATATGGCTGCTATGATGAAAGTGGTTAAATTTTAATTGGGAAATCTAAGTGCCACTCTGCCCATGGAGAGGAAGATCTTTAGGGTGCCCAAGTATGATACCTATAATATTGACAGTCTACTGAAATAACCATAGGAAGCTGCTGTTAGTAGTGGTGGGAAAAATGTACATTGAAGGCCCTGGATCCAAAGTCTCTTCATTCCTGTGATACCCCCATAACATCAGCCTGAAATTGCTACAACCGTGAAGTTGATTTACTTTCTGCCAACCAGATTCAACAGACTAGGAGTCAATGTATTGTCTTCTGCAAATGTACTTTGGAATTCCTTCCCAAAAGACAAATTGCCTTGTCTATTGCTTTGTCTGTTACCTTAATTTATCCAGCCAGATGGGACTATCCTAGTCAATAGTTTTGAAGGAGTATAGGAGTTGAAGCATTTTCAGGGTGCCCTGTTGCCAAAGACTACTTTAACTTGATCAAAAAGAAGAAAAACTGTCTAGATATCAAAGTTACCACTCCCTTTATATTTCCCTTTTTGTTTTCCTATTGCAACTTTGAAGGTAACAGGGCCTCTGGAAGGTTTGACTCAGAGACTGTGGTTTTTGAATCATTAATGTAAATCACTTGATCTTTTAATTAAGCCCTTAGTTCTTCTTTCTTCTTAGGATGGGAAAGTGATTTTCCCAGCACCACCTCCTAAGAACATTCCTCAGGCAGCACCTGTGAAGCAGAAGACAGTAGCAGAGCTAGAAGCAGAGAAAGCTGCTACTATTACACCTTTTAGGAAAACAATGACCTCTGCTTCTGCCTATACAGCAGGTGAGAAATGAGTGCCACTCTTCGGCTTTTCTGGAATTTGCTGACACAGTTAAGGGCTGGACTTGCCCAATCCAAGAAAACTTTCTTTATTTTTGCCATGGTTCAGATGTTTGGATATCAATTCCCACAATTTTTTTCAGAGATCATGTTGGCTGGAGAATTCTTGGAGTTAGATCAGGCATGTCAAACTTGTGACGTCACGTCGCGCGACGTATCGTGATTTTTTTCCCCATTGCCGGCAATGGGTTGGGCCTGGTTTCAGTATGATGCATCCAGCTCGCGGGCTGGCAGTTTGACATGCCTGAGTTAGACAATCCAAGATGACAGACTCAGTCATTCAAATCCAGTAGCATGACCTTAAAGCTGGCAAACTGTCAAATGGGACATCTGTTGAGCAATATAGAATTCCTTTAGACCACATTCTTTACCATCTAATTTTGGCAGACAGAAGCAGACAGAGAGAGATTGACTCTTCTCCTATATGTTAGTTCAGCTAAGACTTAGTGATTTACAGTATAACAGCATTTTCATCCAGGATTAACTCCTAGATCATACATGTTGACGTAGGTGGAATTTTGCAAGGTACAAGGGAATGCCTTGTATGCTATCATTTTCTAACTAGTACAAACTGCCATTTTTCTCCTTGCAACTGCTAAGTTGCACTATATGCCCCTCTGCTCTTTCTTGCTTCAGTGTTTGCCCCCTGGCCATTTTTCCTTTTCCATTCACCTACATTTTCCTGGGACAATTCTTAACATCAGGCCATTGTAGTTCAGATCTCCAGACAACTTCTAGCATAAGTAAAGACTGAAGGGGGTGCCCTTCACCTAGATGCTTTTCTAACGTGTCTTTTGAGGGGGTAAACCTCTTTAGAGTCACACTTTGGCGTTCTTACTTGGATGGTGACCTCATTTATTCAGGGCTGTGTTAGACAAGGCTGTGGAAACCGATGCAAAATTGAACGGGCTGTCTCTAATGAGAACATACAATTAACGGTTTAAGGGAACTGTTTTCCATAGGTTGCCAGCCAGTTAGTATATACGTTCTGCCTCTATCACTGCCTACCTGAAACAAACCATGGTCATCTTAGCCTCCATTCATAGGGAGGTGATGACAGTATTCCAAAAGACTGATTTTTTTGTTTTGTTTTGCAGGAATTGCTGGCGTGCTTGGGCTGGGTATTGCCTCTCCCAATTCAGCTTTCACTCAGATGGTGACAACCTTTGGTTTGGCTGGGATTGTTGGATACCATACTGTATGGGGTGTGACTCCTGCACTCCATTCACCACTCATGTCAGTGACTAATGCCATCTCAGGTACAACTATAACTTATTTATTTTATTCAATTTGGTACTACCCGACTGAGGAGATTCTGGGTGGCTAGAATAAAAACAGACATACTGTATAACAAAAACTAGACCTAGCAAAGAAGAAGCTGGAAAATTCAGTAACAACCCAAACATTCCACAACTTCCAATAGGCAGCAGGGTGTTCAGCCAGCCTAGGCCAAGGCTTGGGATATCAACCAGATCTTTATCCCTCTAGAATGCCAACAGGGTAAAAGCCACATGGATTTCAGAGGGAATCTTATTCCAGAGGGCAGGCACTGCAATTGAGAAGACATGCTTCCTGGGTCTGATTAATCGAAAGAACCTGGAGTATACCAACCCTGTCAGCTGAAATTAACTGGACAAATATTTTGGCAGATAGGCAGTCCCTCAAATAAAGGGCCCTATGCCATGTAGGGCTTTATGGGCCATAATCAACACCTTGAATCACATCTGGAACCAAGCTGGCAACCAGTATGGCTTGTAGAACAGAAGTCTCACAGGTATATCAAGGCATAATTTGCTGTGCTGCGTTCTGGATCAGCTGAAGTTTCTGAGCTCAAGGGCAGCTCCACACACAGTGCATTACAATATAAAGGATGAGGTGGCTAGCACATGTGGGTCTGAAGGACCTCTTGATCCAGGAGCAGGTACATTTGGTGCAAATGCTTCTTTTGAACATTAATATTTCTGTTCTTACTCTCCTGTGATTGAAGAGAAATTTTATACATTAAAAATGAAAATATGTGAATGGAACTGGTGTGTATCTGAGTTATGTGTTAATTACGATTGTCTATTTGAGGGTGCAGTTGATAGCAGTTCAGTATTCTGAAACTCAAAGTTTGACTTTCCTTATCTATTTTTGCCATTAGAGTGAGTGCTATAATGTCTTAAAATATAAATTATATATTTTATATATACATTATTACATATTACAGTTATTACAGTCTTCTCCAATCTGGAGCATCCAGATGTTGGGCTTCAACTTCTATATTCATTCTAGCACTGCCACTATGCGTATTGCCAGACATACTAGAATCAAAGTCCTAAACACCTGGAGTACATCAAGACGGAAAAGAATAATCTAGATCTATTTCATCTTATCTATGATTTGCTGTTGTAGTTCAACCAGTAATGGGTGACTTTGGGCCAATCACTCTCAGCTCAGCCCATTGATGTGTGGAAAATAGAAGGAGGAAGGAATAGTAAATATGTTTGTTGCCTTGAATTATATATATATATATAAATAAAGACAGAATAAAAAATGGCTAATACTGTAACAGAATCTTTAAAAAGGTAAACAATGTTTTCTCTTCTCTCCCTCCTAAAACCCGGGCAGTTTTAACTTCTTTCTCATTTTGTTTGACTTTCCTGGACTGAGTTCATCTTTTGCTAATAGCCTCTGCATATTTTCTCCAAGGACCTTTCTGTTTTGCTCTACGTAGCAATGCAGCATATATTTCCATAATAAAGAATGCATTGGATAGATGTTTGTATGCGATACATTTCTTAATTTGATAACCTTTGTTGACTAGCTTCAGGCATTCTTTTAAAAAAAAGGTGTGGTAGAGAAAAGTCCGTTGCATGTTCCTAATCCATGAAAAGATCTGAAAGTACAAAATTAAGTATTTAGACTATGTATAGCAAATAAATAAAGATAGTCCTTGACCTGTAACCAGAATTGGCACCAGTATTCCTGTTGCTAAACAAGGAGATTGTTAAGTGAGTTGTGTCTGGTTTTGTGACCTTTTTGCCACAGGAGGGTTCATTTAGTGAATCACTGTAATTGTTAAGTGAATTGTGCAGTCATTAGGCAAATATGGCTTCCCCCATTGGCTTTGCTTGTCAGAAGGCAACTGGGAAGATTGGAAATGGCGATCAGATGACAGCCGAATGCTGCAAACATCCAAGCAACCAAATTTTGATCATGTGACTGAGGGGATGTGACAGATGTAGGTGGAAAGACTGGTTGTCAATCCCTCTTTTCAGTGTCATTGTAACTTTGAACCAACTGTAAATGAATGGTTGTAAGTCAAGGACTACCTGAATATAGCAAAATAATTGCGTACAAAGAAATAATTTTGATTTAGGCATTCTTTGTTCAGTTACATTGAATTTTATATAGTGTTTATAAAGGATATGGTTAAAGTGAGGTTAAGGCTAAATTTAGTAATGCTTTGGGGAGGGTTCTTTTGATCTGTTGGGACAGCAGTAGACCCGACAAAGCTCCCTCCCCAAAGTAGAAGAATTAGTTTTATAACAGGATTGGAAAGCAAAGGAGAGACGCTACAAATCATGAGAAAGGACTGAGGAAACAAAAGAACATACTTTGGCATCAGTACCATGAGGGGTCCACCTATGTAATTAAAGACTTAAAATGCATTTTGTGGAGGATATGCTGGTACTAATTAGTCAGGATAATCAGAATTACATCTTGCAAACAGAAGTGCTACAAGGATCTCAGTCTGTTGATGTTTTTCTTTTTCAATAGGACTGACTGCTGTTGGCGGATTAGCACTGATGGGAGGGCAATACTTACCTGGAACTCTACCTCAGGGCCTTGCTGTTCTTGCTGCTTTTATTTCCTCTATCAATATTGCAGGTACCAAGCAGTTCCTAGCTTTCCTACTTCCTATCTTCAGGAAACCTGTGTTTTCAGAAGTGGTGCTGAATAGAATAACTCAAAAGGTACAATTTTCATGGGTGCTTGGAGAGCTTGAGAGAGTCCAGCAAACAAAGTGAGTTTGAAGCTTTTGGGCGATAGCAACAAAATTCATCAGATGTTGTAAATGGAATATCTTCCATTCTGGATCTGACCTGGTTTCTTTGCATGTTTTTTTTTGTGTAATTTCTGGCCAGTGCCACAAGGTTTTCCAATAATTCTCAGCTTAAAGGTTTCTTGAAGCCAAAGCTACTCCGGTATTTTCATGTAATTGATGGCATACTTCAAATGTTCCAAAATAGTAATTGTTCTGCATTATTCCTTGCTTTTCTTGTCTGCATCAAAATGTTGCATAGCCAGATAATAGTCCTTCATAGAGAAGACTGACAATTTCCTATTTAACTGAATTTGTGGATTCACTATAACACATACATGTCTTAAAGCACTTCTTAGTTTTCAGAACCTAATTATTATTATTTTTTATTATTTTTTGTGGCATAGGTGGTTTTCTGATCACTCAGAGAATGCTGGATATGTTCAAGCGCCCTACTGACCCTCCTGAATTCAACTATTTATATTTGTTGCCTGCTGCTTTGTTTATAGGAGGATATGGAACAGCACTGCAAAGTGGTTATAACATTGAACAGGTACGAAGATTGCTCAGGCATCCATAGATCCATTTTTTTATACAAGTCTACAGTCTTGTGAACAGGTTATTAAAGGCCACATGATCCTGATTTGCTAAGATGTAGTCCATCTTACTCTTGTCTGATGTCTTTCTATGCTCGCTTTCTATGCTCGCTAGGATGAAAAGGGAATGTTTGTAGTACCTCATATATAAGTACTGATAGCCTTTGACTTACAAAGATTTTTTAGTAAACAATCAACGTTACAGTAGTGCTGAAACAAGTGACTTACAGCTAGAGATGGGAAGGCCTGGAAAAAAAACCGGAAAAATTGGGGAAAAAAACCAGGGATTCCCCCCCCCTTTTCCCCCCTTTTCCCCAAAGCCATTTGGAAAAAAATGAACAAAAACACGTTTTTTGGGGGGGAAGGCTTGGAAAAAAAAACTAGAAAAATTGAAAAAAAAACCACCCCTGTTTTTCCCCCCTAATTTTTCCAGTTTTTTTCCAGACCTTCCCATCTCTAAGTTACAACCTGTTTTCACATTTCCGACCATTGTAGCATCCCCAAAATCATATTATAAAAATTACTTAATTGGCAACTGGCATGTATTTATCATGGTTGCAATGCCCTGGTGTGTGTGTGTGTGTGTGTGTGTGTGTGTGTGTGTGTGTGATTTGATCTTTATTGCAAAAGTCGCAGACAGATTTACAAGCAATCTGTGGGAAAGCCAGAATTGCTAATGACCATGTGATTCACTTAATGACTAGAACAAAAAGCTTGCAAAATCACTTAAATCAATTTAATGATCACCTTGCTTAGTGACAGAAGTCCTGGTACCAATTGTGGTTGTAAGTTGAGGACTTGCAAGAACCGTATCCTTGCAAATGGATTGGAGGCTGATGATAATTTGTGTGTTTTGTTTTGATATGTGTTTTAAGTAAAACACTACATAGCATTTTACTTAAGACCAGCTTTGTTTTCTTTGCTGCGATGAAATTGGAAATGGCAATGTCCATTATAATAGTAACACAATTAGTAGCCATGCCACAACGATATAGCTAGAGAAATATAACTTCTTGGTATAATCTTGGTAGGAAGAAAGAAGAAAGCTATCTTAAGAATATATTTGTTTTCCAAAACTTCATTTCCTATGTTAATGCGATCCTTTAGACTGGAATGATAATGACCTCACTTGACAGAACTGGAAGCTGGTAGCCTCAGAAGTTCTTATACTCCTTGTAGCAATTCCAATCCTGTTTCAGAAGTCTGCTGTTACTACGCCTGAATATCAGAAATCATCTTCAGAGAAGATTTTCAGATTAAAAGGAAATCTTGGTTAACCTTAACTATGGTTTGTGTTGGTTTAGATAGGGATCTGGGTTGAAGGTGAAGTTATACAGATGGAAGTATGCATTTCCTAGTATATTTCTTTATCCCCAAATCAATTTAGCACCTGCACTATGACAGCATCCATTGAGCAGAGCACACTCTTTTTCAGTTCCTGATCTTCTAGCAAATGCAAAAACTGTATTGATGATAAAAAAAAGAGCTGTGATTCCTAATGAGCATATTTATTTTCCTTTGTAGCCAATCTTGATATAACACTTATTATGTTGATTTGTCTGAAATGGTATAGGACAGGGGTCTTCAAACTTGGTCCTTTTATGACCTGTGAACTTCAACTGAGGAATTCTGGGAGTTGACGTCCACAAGTCATAAAAGGGCCAAGTTTGAAGATCCCTGGTATAGGGTTTCTTGCCTGAGCAGAGGGTTGGGCTAGAAGACCTTCCAACTCTATTATCATTATCATTAATCGCACAGTCAGCCAGATGTTCTGACTGGATTTGGCATTTTTGTCTACCTATCGATCTGGATGTTTGATGGTTGTTGTTATTATTATTACTACTGCTATTATTACTATCATCATCATCATCATCATTATTAATATATCATCATCATCATCATTATTAATAATCATTGCAGAATTAGCCAGATGTTCAAACTGGATTTGGCATTTTTGTCTACCTATCAAGTCCTTACCAAGGACCTGGGATAGGCACATCTGGATGTTTGATGGTGTTTTGAATTGTTGTTGTTATATTGACAGAGCTCTTCTATATAAATTATATAATCAGTTCTGCCTTTTCTTGGTGCTGATGATATTGCAACAATTTTGAACAGGCAGAACAAATTTCCTTTCGGCATTAACCCACTCCATTGCAAACTGCCAGATTTGCTCAAAATCTCAGTTGGGCAGAAATATATTTGTAGAGAAAGCGGCATGGGCAGTATCTGCTGTGAGGATTTTGAAACCCAACTAAACAGTGCTTTGTATCCCCGTCAAATCAATAATTTTAAGTCCTTTGTAAAAAAATATGTCTATATTATTTTCATCTTTTAAAGATGATGTACCTGGGTTCAGGATTGTGCTGTGTTGGTGCTCTGGCTGGCCTTTCTACCCAAGGAACAGCTCGACTTGGCAATGCTTTGGGTATGATAGGTGTTGCTGGAGGTTTGGCAGCTACCCTGGGAAGTCTAAAACCATCCGTTGAGCTTCTGGCCCAGATGTCGGGTGCGATGGCCCTTGGTGGCACCATAGGTAAGTGCAAAGCAAAAGGGTTGCATGATTTGAAAGACTTATCTAATTCTGTTGTGGCATCTGCAGTTAGGTGATGGGAAAGTAGATCTAGTTGGAAAAAGTTATAGGACTGTTAGGATGTCATATAAACCTGCTCTTTAGCTTTTTGTGTTTAGATACTGATATTTCTGATTAAATATATAATATAATATAATTAAAGCACAAAATGCCAGTCACAGAGATCACAAGTCATGCTGATGTTGAAGAAGCAGTTGTTCCTATGGTGTGTACTCTGATCTGAATTATTGAGCAATGTTATCCCCTTTCATAGTTAACATGCAACTGTTTTTTGTTTCTGCAGGTCTGACAATTGCTAAACGTATCCAGATTTCAGATTTACCTCAGCTAGTGGCTGCTTTCCATAGCTTGGTTGGCTTGGCTGCTGTTCTCACTTGTGTAGCAGAGTACATGATTGAATTTCCCCATTTTGCAACTGATCCAGCTGCAAGCCTCACAAAAATTGTGGCCTATCTTGGCACATACATAGGAGGTGTAACCTTTAGTGGCTCTCTTGTTGCTTATGGAAAACTACAGGGTAATTTTCCCTATTTTTCCACAGTGTGCTCTTTTTTATATATAAGTGTGTGTATGTGTGCGTGCATGACATGTATTCAGTATCTATTTACTTTGGCTTAAATTGTGCTAAGATGCTAAACTCAATCTTTCACAGCTTGGTGACTCTAAAGACATTAGATTTCAAATACTGTAATTATATGCCAACATTAGTGTGTGTGTGTGAAGATCATTCCATTGGAAAAAAACTGTAGTTGGTCCATATATGCGCTTTATGGTGTCAGGTATGAATTCTGTTGTTCCTTCACATGCTTCAAAATGTGCTGCATATGGAAAATTAATATGTCAGAGAGAAACATATTTTGCTTAATAATTGACAAGGTAGAACTAGATGGGGTAGAGGCCAGATGTAACTTACTTACACAGTGAGCATTGTGCTGATCATCTGAGAAACATCTGCAAGGTAAAATTGAACAGAAATACTTGGGAAAGTTTTTCTTATGCATTTGTGCAAAATACAAAGTATTAATGTAGGCAATACTTATGGTACCCCAAGTCCTAGCATTTGTTTTAATTAAACTACAAGATTTTAGATTTCCTTAGGAGGGCAGTCTTCTAAGCCTGTAGACACTTTCCAGTCTCATGCTCTCTGTCTACAATACTGAGTAGGATTATTGGGGAACTAAAATGGAAGAAAAACAAACCTTGAGCTCCTGGAGGATATAAATCTAGTAAATAAATAAAGGTTGGTCATAAGTTCAGCTGTTTTGGTTGAACTTCTTAGCAGCTTTGCATTCTGTTTTATAAGGCCCATATCACTGAAATCATGGAATGATAAATAGTAGAAAAAAATGTTTAGCCAAGTATTTGGTCCATGTGGACAACAACTTATAGTGAATTGTTAAGTATAAGATGTAGTTTTGTTAATATGACAGAGGAAAAAAAAAGACCCAATATTGGGTCTGTGGGATTCATCCTGACTTGTTTTGCTATGTCTGATTAGTTCCAAATTTTAAATTAAATTATTTTCGTATTTCTAGGTATACTGAATTCTGCTGCACTCCTCTTACCAGGACGACATTTACTGAATGCTGGTTTGTTAACATTAAGCATAGGTGGAATGGTTCCGTACATGATGGATCCAAGTTACACAACAGGGTTGACTTGCTTAGGATCTGTGTCTGCCCTGTCTGCTGTAATGGTAAGTATGAATTTATAATAACTCATAAATAGTGAGTGAGATATTCCAAATTTTCACTGGATGTGGTAAATAACCCGATCAGAGAAGAGTACAGAGAAGAGCAACAAAGATGATTAGGAGACTGGAGGCTAAAACATATAAGGAACGGTTGCTGGAGTTGGGTATGTTTAGTTTAATGAAGAGAAGGATGAGGGGGGACATGATAGCAGTGTTCCAATATCTCGGGGACTGCCACAAAGAAGAGGGAGGCAAGCTATTTTCCAAAGCGCCTGAGGGCAGGACAAGAAGCAATTGATGGAAACTAATCAAGAAGAGAAGCAACCTAGAACTAAGGAGAAACTTCCTGACAGTTAGAACAATTAACCAATGGAACAACCTCCCTCCAGAAGTGGTGAATGCTCCAACACTGGAAGTTTTTAAGAAGAGACTGGACAGCCATTTGTCCGAAATGGTATAGGGTTTCCTGCCTGAGCAGGGGGTTGGACTAGATGACCTCCAAGGTCCCTTCCAACTTTACTACTACTACTACTACTACTATTACTATTACTACTACTACTACTACTACTACTACTACTACTACTACTATAGTCCTTTCGAGTACAGAGAATTCTAAAGAGCTTTTTAATGAAAAGGAGACATAAATAAGAATTAAGATGATACATCTTCAGTGGAGACATTTTTAAAGACTTTTGTGTTAGTGTATATAAATATATATAAATTCAGAAATCATTTCAGAGAATGATAGCAAAAATAATAGCATGGGAAACAAAACTATGGAAAACAAAGCTTATGTAAAGGGACCAGATATTGATAGAAAAAGGAAATGAAAGTCATCATTAAAGAGCTGGGTTTTATTTAAAGGATAAGATATATTTTCAATTACTGATTAAGAAAAACAATACTGTTTAAAGCTGGGAATTTATTGGGGAAGTTCCAGTTCCAGGTATCCCTGGAGATTTGCATGCAAAATTTCTCTTCAACTCTGACCTTCTAACTTAAGCAGATTTCTCTAACCATGACCCTTCCTGTTTGATTAAAATTTCCAGAAATGTTAATTGGCTGGTATAACTATAGGCTAAGATGGCTAGAAATTCGTGAAATTGCAGCCCAACACATCTGGAGGCTTCCTTTTGAGGTTAAAGCTGGCTTCAAGGATATGCAGAGTTTATGCAGAGTTCTTTATAAAGAATTGAATAATGTTAGGCTCCCCTCATGGATATATTAAAAGCCTAATTATGAATACAGAGAGTCCTCGACTTATGATCATTTATGATTTTGACATTTGTTTAGTGAGTGTTCAGAGTTATAGCAGTACTGAAAACAATGACTTACAGTTAGTCCTTACTCTTAATGACTTGCAGCATCCCTGTAGACATGTGATCAACACAGCTGACAATCATTGTGCATTTATGTGGTCACAGTATCCCACTCTCACATTGATTACCATTTGTAACTTTCTCAACTGGCTTCCAACAAGCAAAGTCATTGGAGAAACTGATAGGAGATGTCACAAGTTGTGGTAATGTGATGTCTTACTTAAAGTCTGCTTGCTTTACAATGAATTTTCTGATCCCTACTGAGGTCATAAGTCAAGGAATTTCTGTATTAATGAAAAGTACATTCAGAGATATACAGACATTACTTACAAACTTCCAAGTTATAAACTTTTGCCAATATGAACAAACCTGTCCATAGCTCTAACCTAGAAGGTCCTGGAAGTCAGTAGAAGATGGAAAGGGGTTAGTTTCTGGCACACTGCTAATGTAAGCAGTGTGCTGGAACCTAACCCTTTCCTGCCTTCTCCAGATTTCACTGTCCACAGATCAGTTTGCATACTGTAAAGTAAGAATTTTATTGTGCATGTTTTTTTATGCTTCATGGACTTACAAACTGTCTCTTGGAATACCACCTATTGATAAGTAGAGCATTGTCTGTATAATCATTTAAATTTTGTTTTATTTTGATGCCACATTTGGTATATCTAAACATTTCTGTGGATTTTGTTTTAAAGTAAGAGTACATCTGTAGGCTCTGGATTCTATTTAGAAATGTTTTGAGCTAATAATACTGTCTGCATTAATTTTTCAATTCTGTCTTTGTTTCCTTTCTGCAGGGAGTTACTCTGACAGCAGCCATTGGGGGGGCTGACATGCCGGTTGTTATTACTGTCTTAAACAGCTATTCCGGCTGGGCACTCTGTGCTGAAGGATTCCTGCTTAACAACAATTTATTAACCATTGTGGGTGCCCTGATTGGTTTTTCTGGTGCCATCCTGTCTCATATCATGTGTGTGGTAAGGAGATTTTGGAAATGTCCATTCCAACACTGTTTTGTTATTCTTTGTCTGTGAGAAAATCTTTTTATTACATATTTTGTTCTTTTTCTGGCCGTATATAAAATCCCAAATTAAACAGGGACAAAACAAAGCTAGACAAAAACATTAAAAAAATGAATTTTAAAAAAAACAACAGGCAAAAACACATATTATCCCCCCTTAACTGGTCACTGACAAATCTATTGCAGCAACAATAGCTTCCCCCTTTGCAAAGTAGGTCCAACATTTACGAGCTTGTACATCTATTTGCAACCCAATTGACCTGTCATACCTTACATATATGAAAATAAAAAAAAATAGTTAACAGATTAAACAACAGTGAAGTTAAATTTCAAAGCACTCTATTAACAATATGTTATTGTAATATATTCACAGAAAGTCTACACGGTTTCTTAATTATCACAAATATTGTCAACGTCACAAAATTCTATCTGTTAGTTGAAGATTTGTATTGTCATAATCAAACAAGTCATTAAATCATTTTTATCTGAGATCTGATAAATAAAAGCCCTTGCCCAGGTCTTTGAAAGGTTGGGCGGAAATTTAGTCCAAACCAAAAGCAGGTTCCAGGCCAATTCCAGGATGTGTTGATCTTGAAGGAAGAGCACCAAATAACTTTGTCTTTCTGGTTGGCTCCTTTGAGAAGCAAAAGGCCTCTCTCTTTTGCCAGGCTTTGGGTGGTAGTGAGGATGCTGGCATAGGTCAGTGATGGTGAACCTTTTAGAGACCGAGTGCCCACACTGCAACCCAAAACCCACTTATGCATCGTCAGGTGCCGGGTGGGTGTGGCCAATTTGGGGGATGTGGCCCATTGGATAGGTGTGGCTGTGGTGGTAACGGCAGACTGGGAGGGACTAAAAAATTCAATCAATCAATTCCAACTTTGCAAGATCTTTTTTTTCCCCCACGAGAAGTTGAAATTGACTGATTGATTGAACCTTTTTTTTTTTTTTTTGTACATGGTGACGGAGGCCTAAAGCGAAAAGGTTTTATAAAACCCAGCTGAAGGCCTAGGACTGGGGCGACAGCACGCGTGCCTACAGAGAGGGTTCTGAGTGCCGTCTCTGGCATCCGTGCCATAGGTTCACCACCACTGGCATAGGTGGTAGGAATGGTAGGATGGACGAAGAGGGCTGGGACAAGAGGCCAGCCAGACATTTTATGCAATTGCTTGGTATGTTAAAAAAATGGTTTAATAAGAGTGTGATTGGCTGTATTTTTAGTATTGTGAGATTTAGGTTATCTTGTTTCTTGTTATTTTGTTGCTTTTTCAATTTTTATATGGCAGTGTTTGCATGTGTTTCCCTTTCTCTGTTTGGGCCAAGTTTTTGCAGACGAGAAGAAGATACTTAAGGCATATTGTGACCATTCCAACAGAGGCATCCAAACTAAATATATGGAATACTGAAGTCTTCTAGGTCTGAAGTCTCGTAGGGACTTGAGATAGAAGCTTTGCCTGCCTCATATTGACACCAAGAGCACATTGTAGTTTAAGAAATGATTGCAAGTGATAAAGCACAAGAGTAGGAGCTTAAGTAATGGTGGTGCAAGATCGGGAGTGAATATGAATGGGTGCTAAAGCAGGAGTAGCAATCAGAGAGAAGCTGTATTAGGTCTTCTTCTTGATGGCAGAAAAACTACTCCACTATTGGATTGTTTGGCAGATGGCCATCTCTTTGGTAGCTCCTGACTAGTTTGATTTTACCTCATCTAAATGATTTGTGCAGTGAATCAGTTCACATGGCTTCAAGTAGTACCACAACATTCTAATATTTCTATATTTCCTTAGGAAACAGCTGATTGAAATGTTATTAGATAGCGCATATGTTCACGTCACTATCTAATAACATCTGAGTCAATTCTATTTCCTGAGTATAAAAATAAACTGGGCAGCAGTTTGATTAAATACTATAATATCAGAAATTTGGGGAATTGTTAGTATAATATTGTTACTCCTCAGCTGCTGTACTTTTTTTCTTAACTGTCTAATACTGGTTGTATTCATGTCAGTATCTAATTTTCTGTGTATTTGCTTACATTTTTTGATTACACATTTGATAAGAAGACACACATATAGGTTAAAACAATGTTGGAAACATGGTATCTGTGAATTACACATAAACACAGACCATTTTTTGTAGACAAATTGCTAAAACGTTTCACCTTTTAACTTACAGTTTTCTTTTCTTTCAATTGACGGCCACTAGATGTCGATAAATCTACATAAATGAGTTCCTAGAAACAAAATGTCTAATAAAACTGATTGTGGAGATTTAATAATCTCTACGTGATGATGGTACTGCTTTCTCTTCCCTGCCTTTTTAAATAAATATTTTTAAAAATAATATTTTTATATCATGAAAACAGTAAATATATTGACCTTAATGCTTTTTTCAGTAATCCTCTTAATTTTTTTTATCTATTCAAGTCTGTTCTGCCTTCTTTTCTTTTTTCTTATTTCTCCAAAGAAAGACCTTTGATATCTTCCAATGCCTTTAGGTAGAATTATGTTTGGTATTTGCATAATTGCATCATCTTGAGGTTGGAATATTATGGAAAATCAAAACTTGGAGTGGGATGAAGGGAGGACATTACCAAAAAAGCACACTTTGCTGAAATAATTGCTTTGTGGAATTGTGTCCATTGTGCTTGGTTTTAAATGTCAACTTATTCAAAACACCCAGTTATGCTTTATTTTTGCTCCCTTAGGCTATGAATCGCTCTCTTGTTAATGTGATTCTTGGAGGATATGGTACTACTTCAACTGCTGGTGGGAAGCCAATGGAAATTACTGGCACTCATACAGAAGTGAATATGGACAGTGCAGTTGATATGATAAAGGAAGCCAATAACATCATAATCACTCCAGGTGAAATTGGGCTGCCCATATTCTGTAACTGTTGAATGTAAACTGAGCATTTCCAAGTGTACAAATTGTTGGAGGCTAGAGGCCAGCAAGAGGCTTTCACTAAACTAACTTTATGCCCGCAGTTTGTTAAAAATAGCTACATTCGTGTGAGTTTTAAGCTCCTTTCTCCTCAGAATTCTCAGTAGCATACATCTCATAACAGAGCATGTAAAAGTAAGATTGTAGGGATTACATCAAGAGGCAATTAGTCTAACAGACAGGAAAAAAACCCCTTTCTCTATAGCTTATACTCTTGGGCTTCTTGTTAAAGAATATACAAAGGTATGTCAAAAGACTCCTTTGGATTTTAATGTAGAACGTGTAGATTTCAAAAGGAGAACTAACAACAACAATAATAATAAACATAAACTTTATTGTCACATTGAATGTACACCAATCAACATACATCAAAATGAAATTTTGTTGCATACAGCTCTTGAAGGGCCACCACCTCCGATATACACTCCTTGTTTGTGGCTAGTTCAAGTTTCAGATCGTCCATTTTAGTCTCTAGGGAGCGAACGATGGCAAACAGGACAGATGGAAATGGAGCTCCATGTGGATTAGCCCTCAAATCAGCTTGTATTCTTGCAGGACAACCTCGCCTCCTTTCCTTTTTCTGACCCTGTTTCCTCCACCTTTTCCTTAAAGGGGCCTCACTCCTTTTCACCCCTGGAGCATGCTGTCGCCATCTCCAACTCATCCAAAAGCCTCTCTCCCTTCCTCTGGGCCTGCCGACAGCCTCATTCAGTTCCTTCGCTCCATAAGCCCTAGAACCTGTCCTCCTCTGCCTCCTTTGTAAATAGCCCCATTTGCAATAGAATCTGTTGCTGTGCCAGCAGTCAGATCTTGCTGCCGACAGAACAACTACATCAGTCTGTAGTGTTTGAGGACTGAATTATTCATCATGGCCTCGCCTCTGCTTGTATGTTGAGGAACACTATTGAATTATACCTGCTTCTCTGGTGTGCTGTAGACTCAGGTTCAAGTTTGCATTCAGCAGTGGAAGTTCACCATTCATTGTCTTTAATCCAAACTTCTAGTGCTATAAGATGCTAATCTAATAAATAAAATGCAATATTAGAGAATCATATCATAGCAAAGTTTAAATGAGTTAGCTTAAGGCTTGAAAAGGGGAATGGTGCACCTATCCAGCCACATCTTTGCATGACTTTCTTTGATTATGTAGCCCAGATTGTAAATGAAATGGATGCCCAGTTTTACTGCCTGATTCTAAAGGGACAAATTGAGATCCATGCCAAATTGAGATCCATGCCAACTTAACATAGGGGAATTGAGAAGGAAAACCCATTTGTTTGCATTTGTCAACAATATAGAGGGCAGCTTTACCTGGAACATCTTATGCTACAACGATAGCTTTACGATCATTAAAGAACAACAGCCTGTCCCAGGTTCTTGGGAAAGGCTCATTGGGTTGGTAAAAATGCCAAATACAGTTCACACATCTAGTTGATGTGCAACAAACTACAGTAATAACTTAAGCCTGTATACTGCTTGACTCCTAGTCTGCAGTATAAATTATATGTTTGGAGTCCTATAACCCATCTGCCCACAACCTTTTGGGCAACGGAACCGTTCTGTGGAAATAGGTTTTCCTGCAGACCAGAAGGGGCAATGTTTTTGTGTGCTGCCTGCATCCCGCAGATAGGGCTTCGCTTGTTTGCACAGCCTGGTTTATGCATGCTGTGGACCAGTGCCAGTCCATGGACTGGGGATTAGGGACCTCTGTTGTAACCGAAAGTCCTTATCTTGACTTTATCCCATCTTACTTTTGACATTGCTTCTGATAATTGCATTCTATGTAGCAACAATTGTATGCTCATAGAACTGTTTCCTAAAAAAGTACTGTGTGGTAGGTTGACTGAATCTGTGCAAACATTATATGATATTTCAAGTTATAGCCAAGTTATTTCCTGAGAGTAAATAAAATTTAGTAGTATTCCAGTATCTGAGGGACTGCCACAAGGCAGAGGGAGCCAGGTTGTTCACCAAAGCACCAGAGGGAAGGACGAGAAACAATGGTTGGAAACTCATCAAAAAGAGAAGCAACCTGGAATTAAGGAGAAACTTCCTGACAGTGAGGACAATCAAGCAGTGGAACAGCTTACCCCCAGAAATCGTGGGCGCTCCATCACTGGAGGTTTTTAAGAAGAGACTAGACATTCACCTGTCTGAGACAGTATAGGTTCTCCTGCTTGAGCAGGGGGCTGGACTAGAAGACCTTGAAGGTCCCTTCCAGCTCTATTCTATTCTAAAATAAAAGTAAATAAAAACTTCATGGGGTAAGTTGATTGATTGGTTGATTGATTGATTGTGACCCCAAAATCATCCACTGAGCTTCCATGGGTGAAGGTAGACTTAAACCAGTACACCATGGGAAAATTGGCCATGAGATTGATTTTATTTACAGAGGTTTGGGGCCCCTTCACTCCCACTGAGTGGCTTACAATTAGAAATACAAATTGATGAAAGGGGATTATGAAATCCGCTAAACCGATATGTAATAAAAAAAAAATCTATAAAGCAGGATTCAACTTTCACTTTGCTCCCAAACATGAGAGAATAATCAGAATTTTAATAGATTCCTGAAAGCTATCAGGATGGGAATTATCTGGGTTCTTGGGGGGGGGGGGGATATCATTTCAGCAGGCACGTGCTGCAACAGAGCAAACATATTTCTGGGTTTCACAAGACAATACTATTGAATTAATGGGATCTGGACCATGCTGTATTGCAATAGAAAACAAAAACACATTAGGACAGGAGTCCCCAACCCCCGGTCCTTGGCCTAGTACGGGGCTGTGGCCCATTGTGAACCGGGCCGCATAAGCGGCAGATAAGATGTGAAGTTCCATTTGTGCAAGTGACAGGCGCACATACATAATCATCCCCTTTCCCTTGCCACCGTTGCTGCTGGTACATGGAGCTGGAAAGGTTTGAGACCACTGTGTTAGCGTGCTCACCAAGAGGTGCTTAACTAAGAATATGCACCAATCATTTATTGCAGATTGTATCTTTATAATCAGAACATGAAAGTTGTGAGTTTAAATTTTGGAAGAATTAGAGCTTTATTCAAAGACATCATTTATCTTGGATCTTTTCTTATTTCTACAGGTTATGGCCTCTGTGCAGCAAAGGCTCAGTATCCAATTGCTGATTTAGTGAGAATGCTGAAGGAAAGAGGCAAGAAAGTCAGGTCAGTGGATAACATGGATGGTGGTTTTTATGATGCCCTTGTCTGTTTTAAGGGCTCACTGTTTTGGCAGAATTTCTCTTTTTCGTATTTTTGATTTCTGATAAATACAAAATTTATATAATCTATTTGGGAGCTTTTCTAATGCTGTCATCTTTTAAATGCTGATATCTCTCAAGGTGGCTTGCTTACTTACAGTAAAAAGTAAGGCAAGGATTCTCAAAAGCTGGTAAAAGCCATTTTCTTTAATTTATGTTTTTTTCTATTTACCTCATCTTTTACCATGAAATGTCGTAAGGTAAACAATGTGACCAAAAATTCAAATACAGGTAGTCATAAGTCACTTTTTTCAGTGCCATTGTAACTTTGAACGGTCATTAAACGAATGATTGTAAGTTGAAGACTACCTTTAGAGTCCCCCATACTCTGTTCTAAGAATACAAAACAATTAAAAGTATATCATTTTTGTATTATCCCCTTCCACGGACCAGGAAGCAAATCTTTTTATAATGCACATTGATGCTTGGTAAATTAATAAGGTAATGCATTTGAGAGACGCAGTTGAAGTATGAAAATATTTGCTGTGAGTAGGTTCTGCTGCCATACCTTGCCTATCCTTGCTTGAAAAGGAATAGCAGCAATAGGCTCTAACTGTGAACAGTTGTTTTGTGATCAGTTTTATGTTTCATTCAGAATAGAGCTTCTTTGCCTCTTATATTTCACCTTTTCTTTACCCACTTTAAAGCCAAGACTGGGTTTTTTGAACTACTTTTCTCCAACTTGGTGTTTCCTACCTCCCACTCAGCACATCTGGAGAACACCAGGTTGGAGGAAGTTTGTTATGTACCCCATTAGAATGGAGGCAACTAAGGACATATTTCTTCCTTTCATGTGAACAGGAGTACTGACTTAAAATGCCAGATCTGTTCATATTTCCTATTTAACACTCTGAATCTTTGAACTGGTCTTAGGTCTTTCAACACTCGAATTGAGTTTTCTACTACTGAAAATATGAATGCTGCTATTGTGTAAGTTACTCAAGGATAATTCTAGCAGTTAAATTCTAGTGTGAACATACTTGTGGTTGGATCTAAGAAACCATCACTTTGCTTCTTATAGCAGGAATTAACCCACCAGCTAAACAGAATTTGACTGCCCTTTTTCTTGTCCCTCCCTTAATCTTTTTTTTTTCTTTTTGGCTCCTGTGTGGGCTAGTTTTTCACTTTGATTTTATTTTTACTCTGTGACAGAAAGCATAAAAGCCTCAGCTTTTGTATATCAGAGCTTTGTGCTGGAGAGACTGGAACTTTTTGATGTAACTGCATTAGTTCTTAAAGCCCGTTTTGGCAAGCGTTCGCCACAACCATTACCTAGAGGGTTTTAATGAAAGAAATCTGTATTTTCTGTTTGTGGTAAGTTGGGTCTTTCATCATGGTGTTTATTGAGTGCAGCTGTTCACCCTCTCCTTCCTGTAGGCCCATGGAGCCTTAGGTCTCTGCCCACTTTGCATCCAGATGTAATGACATATTTTCATATCTGTAACAGATAAAATGCCAGCATGGACACACAGTTGTCATCAGGGCATAATATCTGTGTGCTGGTAAGGAAGACAGCGTCTGTCATACTGCCTGACAGGTTGCCTGATGGCAAGGCACTGCTCTTTTGGCAAATCTTCTCCACAGCTATAGCATGTTCTGAATGGATCACAGTTGTGTTGTATTAATACTTGTGCCAGATTTTTCTGATTCAGAAAGATGCCAAGGTAGAGGTAAAGCCTGCCTGAATTTATTAAAATATTTCCTAACCTCGCCATTTATCACAAAGTTCTCCTTCATAGCAAATTCCATCTTTGATGTGTTAATAAATTCAGTTAAAAATTATGTGTGTGTGTGTGTATACTTTTTTTTCTACTTCTTTCCCTTCTTCTCAATTCCTACTATCTTACTTCATATAATAGGTGCCTTGTAAATGCATGCAGTATGTTCTTCTAAAAAATATTAGTTTTCCTTGAAGTCTTGGCTGACTAACTTTCAGGTGAATGTAGGAACAGCCATACTTGAAAGCTGACAGAGAGTATGGGAAAACTCTGTATAGTATACTGTATATTCTCACCAATATTTATTTTCATCAATTGGTGTTTTAATTGAAAAATAACAAATAACCAAGATTGAATCTTAGCATACAACAATGATGTACTGTTCCACACTGAGCATATGTATGCCAACTTGATTTGAACTGGCTTACTGGCAAGTAGCAAGCAGTCAGACATAAAGGCCAGCTGTGCAGAAGTCTTGCTGGACTCAGTCCAAAGTCAAATTTAAGAGGGTTAATCCACAGCGGTCCAGGAGTCAAAATCCAAATAAGTTAGCCAATTTGAGTTTAAGAAACAAGAGACAGAACAAGAAACAAGGACATAGGACTAGATGCAGACAAGGTTTAGTGACAGGTGTTCATGGCTTTGGTCTCAGTATGTCCTAGGGCTGAGTTCTCTCTTGGAAATATCTGCTCCCTCCTGCATCTTCCTTGCTTACTGAGTGGGCCTCAAATGGTTGATTGCTTATAAACTCCAAAAGCCAATAACCTTCTGGATGATGCCCCTCAGTCTGGGTTTCCAAGTCAAGGAGACCATAAGTGGAGCATAAACTTGGGTGGATAGTGGGGTCTTCTGAGTTTGGTTGTTTTCTTGAAGATGTTTCATTACCCAAGTAGGTAACACCAGTGCTAGAAGAGAACAGGGTTTGCTCTCTGTTTATGTACTATAGGCAGTCTTCGATTTACATCCATTTGTTTAGTGACCATTTGAAGTTACAAAGACACTGAAAAAATGATTTATAACCAATTTTCACACTTATGACTATTGCTGCATCCCCATGGACATGTGATTAAAATTAGGATATCTGACACCTGGTTCATATTCATAATGGTTTCAGTGTCCCGGAGTCACGTAACCTTCTGACAAGCAAAGTCTATGGGAAAGCCAGATTCACTTTACAACTGTGTAACTAATTTAACAACTTCAGTGATTCACTTAACAACTGGCAAGAAAGGTTGTATTATGGGGCAAAACTCACTTAGCAACTATCTCACTTAACAACAGAAATTTTGGGTTCCATTGTGGTTGTAAATCGAGGACTACTGTGGTAGCTTGCCTTGTCAGTGTCGTGGGAATGTTCTTGATGGTTTCTTGATTAGGCTGTTCACTGTTAGGTTTTCTGTCTGAGTTAATACTTCCTTGACTGGGATATGGTTTACTCAGTGCTTTTTTCCTTAAAAAAAAAAAAAAGGTGCCGGAACTCACACCTGTCATACAAGCCACCTTGCCTACCCTATAATGTTCCATCCCAAAAAGGTGCCGGAACTCCATTCTGGGTGTTCTATGAGAAAAAAAGCCCTGGGTTTACTACTTGATTGTTTATCTAACATGAATAGAATAGAATAGAATAGAATAGAACAGAATAGAGCTGGAAGGGACCTTGGAGGTCTTCTACTCCATCCCCCTGATCAAGCAGGAGAACCTATACCATCTCAGACAAATCTTTTGATTTGTTAAAAACAATAGAATGTTCTTCATAAAATGTTATTCTGAGCTATTTCAGTAATACATTGTATTAAACACAATCTTAAATTTTGGAATTCATGTAACAGTTGGAGAAAACATATACCAGTAATGCAGAAAATGAATTCCCCCCCAAGTTATTCAGTATAAATATATCCCCACTTAATAAAATATAAACAAACTGTTAATAAAATGTTTATTGTGCTATAGTCTGAGAGCCTAAAATAATACTATTTCTGTCTTTCTTATGGTTGAGAAAGGATTTTTGCATTCTTAGATATACTTTTGTGTTTTATAATTCATTGGACTTATTTTTCAGTGGTATCACAAACATCTGCAAGGCGCTTTAAATTTCTATTTCTATATGCTCATTCAAGGACTTGTAAAACTTTATTTATTGGGTGATGTTCTGTCCCTCCTCTCTTCTTTATAAGCCAAGAGTGACTTGGAGGCTATGACCAGAACTGCATGCTTGTGTTTTTCAGAATTATATTGTAACCTCCCTTGAGCATAAGATATACTCAAATTTGCTAAATTTCAATACATTGCTGCATAATTTCCTTATTCTGTGTCCTGACCCCTATTTAAATCTGTATTGAGATGTTCTAAAATGTTGTTTCCAAAATAACATAAAGATGATAGTAATGATCTATATATTTTAATTTGAAAATAGAAAAAATATGCAGATCTGTACTCTTACAATAGGAATTTGGAATTATTTTAAAATGCCGATCATATAATTATGCTCTTTGCTTCTTCTTTCATTATTTCTTTCAGATTCAATACATTGTGACATTGTATATGACCTGCAAGCCTCTTTTTATTCATACTGCCTGCTCAGTATTTTTTCAGTATCAGTATATTAGGAGGTCAGTGTGTGCAGTACAAATGTTGTGTCAGCACAAAACTACTGACAAGCTTCAATGCTCTTATACTGACAGTGCTTTTTCTGCAGTGTTCCATGGATCTAAGAAAATTATGTGTGGCTAACTTATAGTTGCTTAGAATAATAATAATAGTCTAACCTGTGTTTCCCAATTCCATGAAATTGGAGAAATAACACTGGCCTGCTTTGGATGTAATGATAAACAATAGTTTAGCATTAAGGAAATAAGACTTTGAGTCTGGGGATCTATTGCCTTTTCCAGCCTTAGCATTACTGTAAAATTCAGAGCATTCACTTACTTAAAATAACAGCAGTTTTAATATCTTAACTGTGATTAATCTTTGCTGGTTTCACTAGACCATAGTTTAAAATAAGCAGAACCTCTGCTTTGGATGTTAGTTTAAATTAGAGCTGAACAAACTTGGCCACTTGAAAATGTGTGGACTTCAACTCCCAGAATTCGCCAGCCAGCCATGCTTGGGGAAGGTTGGGAAATACTTATTTCAACCAACCTTACTTTATGTTTATACTTGACTCCTCATGACTGTTTAGTTACAGCCATTTTTTTCCTGAAACCTGCCCATATTACCGATCAGAATGAGTTTTGCTGTGTGTACCTTATCATTGGAAATGGCTATTGTTGTTGATAACAGATCTAGTTGGCATAGTGGACATTTGTCTTCTATACCGAATAGAAGGAAAGTCCAGTTTGTGTGTACAAGATTGTTCTGCTGGTAGGCAGCCAGATTCCATATTACATAAAGCTGGAAAAAATATGCAGTGATTATTGGCACAATGCAAACTCATATGTCTAACTTATCCCAGAACTTGTTTGCTATAATTTCATTAATAATCCATGTGCAAATAACTGTTGTAGCTTTTGCCAAATTTCTGGAGACATAAGTGATGCTAGTAAGCTACATCTGCTTGATGTCTAGTTGTTTTTTCATAACATTTTTCAGCTTTATGAAGAGTTTTATAAGTTTGTTGCATCATATACTGCCGCACTCCTGATCATCCCAGAATGCACTTTCTTTTCCATTCTGTGTCTGAACTCTGCTGCCAGTTTTCCTGGAAACACACTTCAGGAATACAATATGGATTAAAAAAAAACCTAAGAACATACTAACCATGCAAGGCTTATCTGAAACACATGACTTCAAAGTCAAGGCATTGTGAAGAATGGATGTGCAGTCTTATGGAGCAAGAATTGAAGACCTCATTACAGTGCTGTGATTTTTTTTAGATTATTTTTAATTTAGGCTTTTTTATTATTTGGGCTTTTGTTGGAAATGATTGATCAAATGACATAGCACCTGTTTCAGGCTTTGCGTGTTTCTAGCATCAATTTGATAGGAAATATTGCTGCCAAATTTTGGCATAAGTGGTTAGAAGGGACTGGGAAAAAATGCTCAGTCAGGAGCCACATGTGATGATATGACTTCAGTTTTTCCATCCTTGCTTTAAAGGGGGAAAAAAATAGTGGAGGTATTTGTGATCTACAGTACAGAGAACAGAATTGTGAAGGCAGTAATTTCACTTGTGACATTCTCTGAAAATGCAAGTGGGACTTTAAAGAAGCAATATTGACCCTTTTTGATGTTGGGAAGACTCCTGAGAACAATAATAATACCATTGGCAGCTAACAAAAGAAACAAATGGATAATTGAACAAATAAATTCAGAGTTAACACTTGAGGCACAAATAACTCAAATAATCCTACTTTGGACACATTATGCAAAGAGTTGAAAAGTCTAGCTCTCTTGAGAAATCCTCCATGATAAGAAAGATACGAGAATGACAGCAGCAAGGTGAATAGACTTGATTACAGCGGTAATTGGTGCACTATTGAAAGACCTGAAGAGTGAGATTGGAGACAGATCAGTTTGGAGATCTGTGTTTGTGGCTACTAAGAGTTGACACCATTTTGATGGTAAAATTAAAAACCAAATCTTTAAGGGCTTGATCTGGTCCTTGATAACAGAGGCAAATCTGAATGAAATATAATCTATTATGATGATACTGACAGTCTCCTTATATCTCAGACTAGTGTGGAAGCCTAAATTAGAAGCTTGCCAGTGACCTATTGTTAAGAAACATCTTTATTGGACTCACTGGGTTTCTCTTGGCTGAACTTCAACAGTTCAAGTAAATAAAAACTCCTGTGCTTTGAAAAAAAATGCAGTTACTTTTGAAAGCTTGATAGCTCTCAATTTGCAGATGTGTATATTCTTTCAAAATACTTGGCATGATTTCAAGAAAAGATATATTGCTTTCAGAATTGCTAATAGTGTATAAAATCCAAATATGCACCATAATTAAAACTGTTTAAATATAATGTTATTAGTTGCCTGAATTCTAATATACTTCAGTGCAGAAATTCTGAAAACTCTTGCACTTCATATTTTCTGGAAAGAATCAGGATTGTTTCACATGGCTTGAGTTACTTAGTGGCTGGCTGAAACTTTAAGCTCCCTAATATTTTGCCCTATTTGTTCCGCTGTTGTATATCTGATTCTACATCTGGTCTTCGGTAGAATGATAGCAGATATTTCCTCCCCCCCCCCACCTTGCCCTTCCTCTCTCTCATGGCTCTGTGCAGTTTTCTAATGTTTTTTTGTAAGCAAAATGCTCATCATCCTTATGGCTGTTTTACTCCATTCGCAGTCTAAGTGCTTATGAAGATAGTTGCAGCATTTGTACATTTTAATCTACAAGGCAAACAGCAACTGAAAAGGAATCTCAGTTGGAAACATAACGTAGTAAATAAGCCATTCACTTAACAAGGTCATGAACAATTAGAAAACAGAAAACACTCGTAGAGGTAGGGCTGTGACTATAATGCAGGCTGCCCATTATGGTTGTAAATTGTGGTGGTCATTAAGTGAGGCATCCGTATGATCAACTTGCTTAATGATCATAATCTCTGCTTTCCCCCTTGTGGTTGTTAAACAGAGTAGGGGGGCTCAGAAGATGGGATACACCCTGGGAGCATATCTGCGGCACTGCAGCAGCTCCCACACTCATAGGTGGGCCAGCCCTGGGCCTCCCCCACCCCATGAAACACCCTGTGCTCCATTTCCTGTCCTACTGAGCCCCTCACTCTTAGGACTATCTCCCACATGTCTGGGTTCCTGCAGATCCAACCCCCCTCCCTTGATCCACTCACCAAGTCACCATGCAGTCTTCCTATACAGAAGCCATGTAGTGCCATCCTGGAAGCAGGCATCATTTTTGGGAGCAACCACAATTCTCAGATTGTGAAAATCAAAGCTACTTTTCAAAGTGGCAACCGCTTCCAGGCATGCAGCCTCTGTATAGGAAGGCTGCTTGGTAGATCGGCATCTTCTCCTTCCCAAAGACGAAGTGAAGCGAGATGTGATGGGGGGGGCATGGAGGAGGTATGAGACCCAGTGGGATGAGAAGCAGGGCCAAGACCTGCAGGGACTCAGCTGGGTGAGAGGGTTGCCCCAAGGTACCCAAAGGGGTGGGATGTTTGAGAAGATAAGCTGGAGAAACTGGCTGCAGCATTCCTGTGGTCAGTTTTAAGGGCAGGCTGATTGCCAAATGCTAAAATTTTGTAAATGTGACCATGTGACCAGATTCCATGACTTCAAGTACAGCTCATAAGTCCCTTTATTCAGCCTCATTATAATTTCAAACAGTTGCTGAATGAACAGTTGTAAGTCAAGAACTGTTGTATTTGAAGCAACACAGAAGCTTCATACTAGTTATAAAAAGCAAATTTCCTTTTTCAGAGTAACTCATTCTTGATTCCAATATTTTTTTATTCTAGTATTATATTCTGCTAATCAAAAGATATATAACCTATAAGCCAAAGGCTACACAAAATCCTTAGATATTTTGCTCCAAACTCTTTCAAAAGCTGTCATTAAAATATAATTCTTTATACAACAGGACAAACTATATTGATTTCTTTAGGAACAATCATATTACTTGTTTTTATTAATACAATTTAAACTTCATCAGATTTAATATTTGCTGTAATTTTGCACAGTTTTTGGAATATGCTCTTCTCTATGCTATTCAAAGGCCCAATGAACCCAGGACATCTAGGGAGGAAGGTTGGACCAAAAGAGAGGGACAGAAAGAGAGAGTATTGGATAGTATGATCAATTAGATCTTTGGTAACTATATTGAACTATTGAACTCTACTTGGATGTGACATTGAATAAATTATTTTCTTAAGCTTAGGCTCCCATCTCTAAACTGTGGATTTATATCATTAAAATTTGCTGTGATAGTGAATAACAAAATGGCTAACACACTTATGATGTTTTTTGAATATTCAGTAAATGAGTTCACCAATTCTTTCACCATCTTAGGTTTGGTATTCATCCTGTGGCAGGTCGTATGCCTGGACAACTGAACGTATTGCTTGCAGAAGCTGGTGTACCATATGACATTGTTCTAGAAATGGATGAAATTAATGAAGATTTTCCAGGTGAGCGAAAGATGATAATTGTTGCATTTTTGCAACAAATATTTTTTTCAAAAAGTAGTCTAATATTTTACTAGTTTGTGTATATTATAAGTAATAATAATAATTCCAAAATACAGCTTTACTTGGAACAGCTTATATCCTGAGATCTTACTTTTAGCACCATTAAACAATATTTGCCTATCCCAGGTCCTTGGGAAGAACTCAATTGATGGAATGCCAAATCCAGTCAAAATATCTGGCTGACTGTGTGACCAATCATAATATACTAACAGACCCCAAAACGTCTGGAGCGCCACTTGAACACCTTTGGCATTGACAAAATCACCATGAATCAATTGCAAGAGGCAATTTTACTTGAAACAGTTTACATCCTGTGATGATACCTTTATCAAACAACAACATCTGTGTATCCCAAGTCCTTGGAAAAAAGGGCTTGATAGATAAAAATGCCAAATCCATTCTAAACATCTGACTGAGTGTATGGCCAAACATAATAATATATTAAATTTATATGCCTGCAGTTATTATGTTTGCATCTAAAGCTTTTTTTAAAATTAATGCTCAAACCAACTGATGTTAGGAGTAGAAACTGGCTAGAGTCAAATTTGATTTCTGTTGACTTCATGAATGTGCCCGTTAAATTTTCTTAGGAACAATGCAAAAGTAATTTGCCTTTGTTTTTTTCCAGATTGTTTTTGTTTCAATCTAACATATAATGTTGAGATTTCCTGACAGTCTCCCATCCAAATACAAGCCTAAACCTGCTAGGTTATGCCAAAATCAGTTAGGATTACAACCTAATAACAATATAAAAATAAAAGAGAAATAAACACTAATTAGAACTTTTTTTTAACAAACAAGACTAAATTCTGTCTAACATAGTTGTCTGGCCTCTGAGAAATTGCAGTTTGGAGCTAACCTGGTTCACTTAGCAGAAAGTTGCATTAGAAGCAAATTCAAGAAGGTTTGCTCTTGTGCACCCCGACTATTAACTTAGATAATAGTAATTTGAAGGTAGTACTCACTATTAAAATAGCCATTATTTATATCCAATGTTTTTCAAGTTGAAGTAAAATAAATGTGTTATGTGTTCCAAGATCTAGTTTTAGGAAGTATCATTCATGCCCATGCATAGTTCTTAGTGGGATGAGGGACTTCAGATTAAGAGATACCTAATCCAGAAATTAAGATGTTACTAATAATAATTGGAGTTCTATTCGTTAATGAATATGTGTTTTTTTCCTTGTATTTTTATTGCAGAAACGGATCTGGTCCTTGTCATTGGAGCTAATGATACGGTTAATTCAGCTGCCCAAGAAGATCCAAATTCTATCATTGCTGGAATGCCTGTTCTTGAAGTTTGGAAGGCAAAGCAGGTGAGTGACAAAACATTATAGTAGAAATTCCATGCTTTATTGAATTCTTTAAAGTCATTTACATATTCATAAATCTGATGATATCCTGCAGCTGTTCTTTTTTTCTATGAACAGCTTAAGTCAGAATGCTAATAAGTGTAGAGGAGTACATAAGATGATAAGGAAAAGAATACAATTATTTGAAAACTGTCCACTGAAGGCTGTGCCATTAACACCCTTTTTTCCTCATCCCACTATTTTTAGTGGACTGATGGGTATACTAAAAGTATACAGTTAAAACCATGATTTTTATGGGGAAAAGCAATTGTGTTGTTAGCTGCATTCTTTGATACATTGGTCAAGAACCCCATATTATCTTGAGATCATTCAATCTTTGAAGAACTAATAGGTGGAAAAAGTGGATACCATCAAAATTATTTTTAAGAGAGCTTTTAGCTTTCCTTAGTTGTAATTGACAAAAGGTTTCTTCCTTATTTTTGGTTTTTAAAAACTGAGGGCCAGTAATTATCAGCTAGAGCTCTGTATATCCTCTATCACCACAATCCATAGATAAGCCTTAGAAATTATGTTACATAACAAATAGAATCCTTTCTATGGTGTTTTGAAGAAATAATATATTTTGGAATGTACAATGAGCCTAAGACTCATTGTAAAGAGAAGGAGAGATAAAAATCAGAAGAATAAAATTTCAGGGAACTCCATGTGGTGAAAAAGTTGCTGTGATGCAGCAGTTAAAAAGATCAAGGGAATCTTGGGCTGTATTAAGGAAAGGATGGTGCCCAGATTATGACAGATAATGGTTCTATGATGCTTTGTCCTGGTTATATCACACTTTGAATATTTATCTAGTTCTGGGAGTTAAAGCTAGAGTAGATTCAGAGGAAATTATCACAATAATAAAGAGTTTGAAAACCAACCACCTAGAGAAAATTTAAAAGAAGCCAGGGACTAGCTTGTAAAAGAAAAGGCTGAAAGGAGATCTGGTAGTCATCTACAGGTATCTTAAAAGCTAAGAATAGGACAGGATACCATGGGTTGAAATTAAAAGAAAGGTAAGTACATGGTGATTATTATGAGGAGTTTCCTGATGGCAAGAACTATTAAAACAGTGAAATGGTCTTTCTAGAACTGTGATGGGTTCCCTCTTGCTGTTTTTTTTTAAAAAAAATACTGGATGTCTCCTATTATTATAGATTTAATGGATTCTAAATTGAGCAAGGGATTGGAATAGGTTTCTATAAAGCCTACAGATTGCCTGTCCTATCCTTAGTTTTCTAAAGGAATTAAACCTATCCCACTTATACGATCTATGATTGTGTGATATAATTAAATTTACCCTATACATATCATCTCTGAATTACATTTGATAAAGAGTTCATTAGTTGGGTACATTTGTTTATTTAAGAAAATACATATTGCTGCTCATCTTACCTATGAACCCTGGGTGGCTAACAACAATCAGCAAAAAACAGTATATAAGATGTCTATAAATCAATCAAAGGCAGTATTATAAGTCTGAAGATGAAAGTTCCAGCATATGGCCACTCCTTTGTGGTGTACCACTAGCATGGTACTCTCTCTGCTCCTTTTTAACATCTACATGAAAATGCTGGCTGAGATTACCCAATACCATAGGATGAAGTATTTAGCTTTTACATTTACATCACGGGCAACCTAAATTTTGCTGTGCTGTGCTGCCATTTTGCGGTACCTGGGGGGGGGAGGGGACACAGACTTTGGCTAAACCCTGTTAAAACGGAGGGTCCATGGAGCTAGGATGGTCTGTGCCATGGCCTCCACCTCTGAAACACTTTGCCACTGGAAGTGAGATTTGTCTCCACTCTTCTGGCCTTTTGGAAGGCCTTAAAGCCTGACTCTGCCAGTTGGTCTGGGGCTCTGATGGGGGCATACTACGCTGAAGATGATTGGTCAAGTGATAGAAGGATAAAAGCCCAACCCCGCACCATTTTGTCCTCTTGGTTTTTAGCCTTTGTTCAATTATTGTTGATGTTAAGGTTTTTATATTTATGTTTTTATAGCACCCAGAATCAGTTTAGATAGTGAGATGGATGGCATATACATTTATTAAATAAACAAATAACAGACTTCTACAAACCTAACATATTAGTTCATCTTTTTCTTAATGTTGATTTTATGAATGTCTGCAAAGATGCTGTGTATATAATGCAAAAGTCTTTGTTTCAGGTGATTGTGATGAAGAGATCTCTAGGTGTTGGATATGCAGCTGTTGACAACCCCATCTTTTACAAGCCCAACACTGCCATGCTTCTAGGGGATGCTAAGAAGACTTGTGATGGTCTGCAGGCCAAAATGAGGGAGTTATACCAGAATTAAATATTAAAATATACTCTTTGGCCAGTATGAACAAAAAAAAAAAATCTAAAAAGTGTTATGTATCCACGTTAAAAGATAAAGGTTAGCAAGTGTTCTTGAAATGAAGTTCTAAAAAAAAAAAAAAAGAGAGAGGAACATTAAGGTCCAGAAATGCACAGGGTTTTTTTTACAAAAGAGCAGGAAAAACAAAAAGCAAAACATTAAAACATTGACGTGAACATTCTTGAGCAGATCAGAACCTGGAATACATACAGCTGAATGCAGTCTATTTTAGAGGAATTTTCCTTTGGCAACCACAATCTAACACAATGAGACTCAGGAATTTGGAGAATCTATTTTATGTGACATAAGATATAAGGAAAACAACCATTAAAAGTTTTGTGGCTTCAGAGTTTGTTAATGATTCCCAGTAAACAATTTGCTAATCAAAATTTCAGATCCTGAACAGGATATTGATCAGCCCCACTACGTAGACCAGATCTGGGAATTAGCTTTGCAGGAAGACTTACTTTGAGAATGGCTGTAATAACAGAATCGTGTGTATCTGATTGTGCTGCACCTCCTCTTCCTTCTTACACTTCAGTGAATTAGGGAGGCATCTGCCTGAGCCACTTTTGAATGTTATCTTCTTGTTGTGGACTTAAAAAAAAATGCTTCAATCCCTTTTGCTTAAGTAATGGTTTCTGCATATCTCTGTCAAAGCCATCTTCCTTATCTCTACAGTATTTTATGAGCATCTACTTATATGATTCTAAACAACAATGATGATAAAGTTGGTAATGATGATGATGATGGCCACTTTTGAAATGTATTTTGATACATTCATAGTACATTTAATGTATTTACAGAAGCTGTTAAACATATGTTGACTATAAAATGAAATTTCAGACTCTTGGAAATACCTTTTAAATTCATAATTTATTTGTGCAGATATGCTAAACCAGTCACCTCTGACAAACACACACATGTACACAATCTCACACACAAAATTCAGATGACTGATCTTCCTTTTACTTTAAATAATACAACTGTTGGAAGCTTCAGTATAGTGATAAATAGATTTTTTAGTGGCTTCCAACACAGTCTTGAATATGTTTAGTGCACTTGAGTGAAACTCAGATGTAAATGAAATGAATTTGTCATGTTTGCATAATGATGTAGCAAGCATCTGTAGTGACAGAGGCAAAATAAATAGCTGTAACTGTGTTAGAAAGCCTTAACATCTGGGCAAAACAGCCTACTATGAAGTGAGTTAAACTTAGCCCAACTTGACTGTTTATAAATCCTGATTTTATCATTGGGCTTATGACCTCTTAATAGCAAATGAAAATTATACCCATTTAGCTACCTCCTGTCTTCATATGTTGAGCTTCCTCTATGTGGAATATCAACTTATAACAGTGAACTAAATCCAGTTTGAGCTTCCAGATCCACAGAATCAAGAGAAAATAAATGTTTTTAATGAAATTCCATTTGTTTTAGTAGAACTTTTCAGAAAAAGCACTCAGCTAGATGATGTTCAGTGTTTCTCTTTTTTAATTCTGTCCTTTTTTAGCTGCTTAGCAAAAACTAATAGTGAAACATCAGTAGATTATTCTGCTATATAAGGAAACTTGAGCCACAACAGGGCAGCCCTGTTATAGCAAGATTTGTTTCGGGACCTTACTTTCATTGCATTGGTGCTATACATTTCTATGTACAGCCTGCATGCAAATGTGACCTAGAAAAAGAGCATCAGTGAAATTAGCCTTGGATTATTTAATGCTGCCTTAAAGCTGTAGCCTTTGTCTTGTTTTAATATATTGTTTTAATTTGAAGATACGCAAACCATTTCTAAGAAAATGCAAATTACAATTGCAATGTTAGAATTGGGTTTATATTATGTAACAGGAGAGAATTATTTAAATAAAAAAGTGAACAAAATATCTATTCTGCAAAATTTTCTGCCTGCCTGATTATTTTTTCAAATAGAGGTGTAGATTTTAGTGGGCAACTAGTGTTAATTTTTACATGCTTATTTATTTATCGTATGACATAACATACATGAACTTACAATGTATATTAACATTCCACTTAAATTAAAAACACAGTAAAATATGAATGTTAAAAAGATCTATATTTATATAACAATGTCTAGGCCTTCTAATCATTGAAGCGCATCATTTATCTGAAAGAAATCAGAAACTGGATCTGTATATGCCCTCAGCTTACAGCCAGTCATTATGTGATCTACAGTTTGAGGTGGAACTCTGTAGTCACACTGAGGGGAGGATGTTATACCCCATTTATATAGTGTACATTTATGGTATACATTTATATAGTGAATTCCGGCAGACATCATGTTGGGTGCAAATCCTATTCATGATTGTCCATTGCTAGTGAGGTTGTTCAGAGCCTGGCACCTTTTGTGTAGGATCATCTATATGTCTTTCTATGTCTGGGTGTTCAGCAATCCATTGGGAATCGATGTTAAAGTAGTTAAGCAGTTATATATAAGTTGTGACAGGAATTGACCTTGTGACTGGTCACCACAAGGTGAATGAGCCAAAGTCACCCAGCTCACTTTTATGCCTAAGGTGGAATTCAAGTCTCCTAAACACTAGACCAATGGTTCTTAACCTTTTTGAACGAATCGCCCCCCTGAGCCATTGAGGAAGTTGTCATCGCCCCCCTCCCCCAACATAACCTCTCAATCACAACTTAGGAAATAATTCTTCAATTTATGCAAACACTTGTTTTGTTTTCTTTAAAATTGTCATCAGGACATATCGATGCAAATAATTTATTTCCAGTCTTTTCCCCATATCTCAACTGTGTGAAAAATTTTGGTGCCACCCGTCACTTTATTCCCAAACTTTGTGATACATGTATTTCATTATTATCTTACTTATTCAAGACACTTAAATGTAATGACCACTGAAAACAATATTCAATTGCAAGAAAGTGAAATGCCTGAAAAGAAAAACAGTAACATTTAATGATTGAATTACAAGTAAAATTTAAGATGCAAAAAGAAATATAAAAAAAGTAGAGGCTGCTGCGCAATGCGCATGAAGATAAGCAATGCGTCTTCACATATGTACACGTTCTATACTGAAGCTAGCTGGAGGAACATTTGGAAACACAATTCAATCCACTAATAGCGAGCGATCTGATGTTTTTGTACGACAGATATACAGCGATTCACTGTATGAAAAAGTCTCAAAAGTGTCCCCAAAACTTCTTGCTCCATCACCCCCATGTTGCCCCCTTTTTGTTCCATCGCCTCCCTGAAAAATGAAATCGCCCCCTGGGGGGCGATATCACTGAGGTTAAGAACCATTGCACTAGACCAAACTAATTCTCTTAAACTGGGTAGTAAACTGAGTTTACTGATTCAAAACTAAGAGCTATTTTGAACATTCTGCATTCACCAAAAGATCAGTATTGTATACCTAAACTAATATCTTTACTAGGGAAGTAATTACCACTTGCATTTGAGTACTGCAGGTGCCATTTTCTCATACATATTATTTCCCTCACATACTGTATCTCTCCTTTACTAAATTGTTTCCCTCACATACTGCATCACTCCTTTACTAAATTGAAAAGTGAATTTTTTCAAGATTGAAAACTCAGTTGGCTTCTAAGCATCAGAAGCAAAAAAAAAAAAAAAAAAAAAAAATTGCATTTCCTTTACTTCAGGCTTCAAAACATCTTGGCCCAGTCCTTGACAGTAATAGAAGATAAATGTAGATTGACCTTTCCACTGATGGGGAAAATTCCTCAAACCCTTTAGTGAGTGGAGAACCACACTCTTAATAACAAGTTAAACTTTATTTACTGCACAAGAGGAGAATAGAAAATTCTGCCCAGCCTCAATGTGAAGATAATGGTTTATATAGTACCTTGTTTACATCCTTGAGCATTTGAAGCAAATCCCAGTTGGATTATCCTTAACGGTGTAAATTGTTAATTCAGCATGCGTCAGCAATTTCCAAATTTCTCACTTCCTTGTTTTTTTGATAGTTTCCTAAAATTAGAATGCTACATTCCTAAAATATATTTATATGTTTAGTAATTTAAGCAATAAGCTGTTCTGAAAGAGTTCTGGAACTTGCAATCAGGGTAGGTTCCTTTTATCCATTATTTGTTCATTGCATTTAGATATATTCTCTAAATGTTATATGGAATTCAGTGCATGGTCAGCATGATAAATCCAGAACATCTGGAAGGCATCAAATGGATACATGTCTTGGGATCACTGCCATCTTTAGGAAGAGTTAAAGTGGCTTCCATGGGTAACAGATTCTAAATGAAAAGGAGACAATTTTATTACTGATACTTTAGTCCACAAGAGGCATAAGTAAGTTTTTTTTTTTTTTTGCCCTGGACACTAAAACAAGTTGATTAACCTGATGTGATAGGACCTTTTGTCATGGGGATTCTGGAGTAGACAAGGATCATGGAAACATGGCCATTCATTGCAACTCCACCAAGCCAATTTTTAAATTGGCATATTTTCCATTCTAAGATTTGGTTGATTTTAGATTTGAGAAACATTAATGAAGTGTCCTCTGTGTGCCCTTTTCTATATCACAGATCTGCCATCATTCACAAATTCCCACAAATCCTGTTATGAATTTAGGGCATTGTGGATAACTAGAAATTGCTTGTGTCTGTCCATCCAGAGGATAAAAAATATAAACATAAGGAGTTCTAATCTACTAAATCATCATGGAGAAGGCCTATATGATCAGAGGTAGTACATAATCTGAAGCATAGCGAGATAACAACAACAATAATAAAATTGGAAGGGACCTTGGAGGTCAACTAGCCCAACCTCCTGCTCAGGCAGGAAACCCTATACCATTTCAGATAAATGGCTGTCCAGTCTCTTCTTAAAAACGTCCAGTGTTGGAGCATTCACAGCTTCTGGAAGCAGGTGTTCCACTGATTAATTGTTCTAAACTGTCAGAAAATTTCTCCTTAGTTCTAGGTTGCTTCTCTCTTTGGTTAGTTTCCATCTGTTACTTCTTGTCTTCAGGTGCTTTGGAGAATAGTTTGACTCTCTCTTCTTTGTGGCAGCCCCTGAGATATTGGAACACTGCTATCATGCCCCCCCTCATCCTTCTCTTCATTAAACTAGACATACCCAATTCCAACAACCGTTCCTTATATGTTTCCGCCTCCAGTCCCCTGATCATCTTTTTTGCTCTTCTCTGTATTCTTTCTAGAGTCTCAACATCTTTTTTACATCTTGGTGACCAAAACTGAATGCAGCATTCCAAGTGTGGCCTTACCAAGGCATTGTAAAGTGGTATTAACACTTCACATGATCTTGATTCTATCCCTCTGTTAATGCAGCCTAGCACTGTGTTGGCTTTTTTGGCAGCTGCAGCACACTGTTACCTCATATTTAAGGGATTGTTCGCTAGGACTCCAAGATTCCTTTCACAGTTGCTACTATTGAGCAAGGTACTACCTATACTATACCTATGCATTTGGTTTTTCTTGCCTAAATGTAGAACCTTACTTTTTCACCATTGAATTTCATTTTGTTCGATTGTGCCCAATGTTCAATTCTGTCAAGATCCTCCTGTATCTTAAGCCTATTTTCTGGAGTGTTGGCTATTCCTGCCATCTTAATGTTATCTGCAAATTTGATGAGTTTTCTATATATCCCCTCATCCAAATCATTGATGAAGATGTTGAAAAGCACTGGGACCAGAACAGAGCCCTTGGGCATCCCACTCTAGATACATATATCCCTACTCTAACACACTCTCATTCTGCTTACTTCACTCCTGCCTTATGGTATTTTCAGAAAAGCATTTTAATTCACATACCATGCCAAGCTTTTTAACCAAACTAGAGTTTATTTAATAATTACTAATTTGTACAAAATAAGCAAACATTAACCATTATTTACAAATCAATGATTAATTTATACAACACACTACATTATATACTATGGCTCCGTAGGTTTTGGCTTATTGAATTGGTCAAACTAGCTCAAATGCCAAGGTGCAGATTGGCTCTGTAAGTGGAAACTCTCATATCAATAGAAGTCTAAACTCTTTTGATCCTACAGGTTCTGCCAAATGCAGAGTTAATTGCATCTTTTGTGCCATTTTTACTGCCAGGAAAACTTCTGCATTGCAGAATTTGAATGATGTGTCAGGGTACCCCTTCTTGTTTAAATATGCAGATCTCTTCTTGCTGCTTGTTTTTTCACTGGCTGCTGTTCCAGCAATTGTAGACTAGTGACCAATGTTCTGCTCCTTTAGCAGTGACTTGTATAATCCAGCTGGTCTGAAGTTTCTTAAGAGAAACAGATAATTCTGTTACTTTAAGCTTCAGTCTACAAACATGTGATCCTTGTTAAATGAGAAGGTAGAATGTACCACAACAACTGGGTAATGAAGTTAATCAGTCATTTAGGTCATTTTACCACCCGTATACCCACAATTAGCTAAATTGCAAAAAATATGTTTACACCAAAAACACTGTTGCAAATTTAGAGAATGGGTTTTTTTCATGCTAATAATCACAGGTTTAAAATGGCATGCATGTATATGATGAAGAATGAGGAAGAGAAACTCTTTAAAACATTTAGCTTGCTATTTCTATTAATTTGTCTCTTTTCCCCTTCAGAATACCATTTCAGTTTTATCTACCAGAAATTATTTGGGGTCACGGATATACTTTAACTTCCTTTACAATTGTCTGGAATGTTTGTCTTCAGTTCTATAGGCCACCATTCCTGACTCTGTCTCCAAGGAAAACTGCCTGGAGAAAGAGAAGGAATAAATGACAAGCTGTTTAGATTAGATGAAAGGAAGGATCCTGAAAATAGACAGTTAAGAGTAGATCAGGACTTCCGGTTTGCCATCGTGGTGCCGCAGATACTGGAAGACGAGCTCCATCTTTCGTGTCCGAATTCGTCCCACTGGGGGA